AGGTCGACAACATCGGCAACACGTGCGATCTCCCGCGTCAAGAGCCTCACCAGGGTAACTCGAATGACCTTCCGGAGCCTTGTCGAGGTGATGCCATCAACAACTCAAACGATGCCCTGGGGCTACAATTCGAATTTTACACCCCCAAGCTTACGAAGCCTACGAAGCGGAAATCATTGCAGATATGGAAAACAAATGCAGATGAGCTAGTTGGGAAGATATCTACAGATCAATCGATAACGAAACATGATGATACGTATTGGAAACATCGTATCAGGTCAATATTATTAGGAGTTTCAGTATGTAATAGGGTTACATGGTCTTCGTCCACAGCGGAAAAGTCGTTAAGGGACTTCGCTAGTATCACTAAAGCAACAGGAGAAGTTAGTGTTTTTTCACGACAAGTCTACGCCTTCCAACAGCTTATATTTGTGTCAGCATGCTTTGTCTGGACAGCTAGTGGGGTCAAAAGGACCAAAGTTAACTCTATAATGCGATTATGTGTCTCTGATTCAAAGCCCGCTCAACTCCGTCGTTTGCGGAACGGTTCGCAGTGGATCAATGAACAAATCTCCAAGGTGTACGCTACATTAGGGCATCAAGCGACAGAAAAAATATTTCAGAGTAAGTTAAATTCTATTACTTGCGAAGAAGTTGTAACTGATGTGTCTTAGGTCCGATGTCCATAAATCAGTACGGTACTTTGGGCCAGTCTCCGAAGGAATCGAAAAAATACCTCTCCGAGCATCTGGTGTCTGCAAAAGTAACACCTACTTTATCACAAGCATACATTCCGTTGTTTCTTCCATCTTTTGTGCAAGTCATGCTAGGGGACGATTATACGTAAGCAAAGCTTTACTAAACATTGTCATGTGGCTAATCTATCGGTGCAGCCTACATCAAGTCTGTAAATTGCTAAATGTCCCCGAATCATTTGTTAATGAGAAAACGATATCACTCTGTCATCAATATGCTACAATTCGGGATGAGCCAGGCGAAGCTTCTCCAGAGTCCCGAAAACGTACAATGGACGAGCAGCCAGGTTCGAGTGGCAAATCCAAGAAACACAAACATAATGTTGATGATGAGCCATCGACTTCATCGACGCCAACAGAATGTCTGTCTGAAGTTGCAGGCGAAATTAAACGTACGACTCAGGAGCGCCCGCAAGGACCTACTTGCGAAGCTAATCATTCTCTGGAAAGTGCGAGTAGTAAGTCCCAAGCTCAGCAGTCGAGTACCCCGGAAATAAACATTGAGAACTTGGTTTCTGGCCGTCCTGACCTTGGTGGCTCCTCCGGTAATGGTGCTGCGAATTCAGGCTTTTCGACGTCTCTAGGTAGCGATCCAACCATATCAAACCATCCTTCAAACGAGCCAAACCGTATGCAACATGTTGCAACGAACCAGATCGCGAGGAATCTCTGTAAGTAACATACCCTTATTCGAAGTCCTAGATTTCAGATTACTGATTCCCTTTAGCCCTGGAATCGCCAGCGGCGGATCTAGCAGCAGCGACTATGTCGCAAACAGGAAGGCTCTATAATTATGCGCCAACTTCCCATGCTTGCGATCTCACTGTTACAGAACACCAACAAAGCACTATTAGTCAATTTCCAAGCAATTTGGACTTACTTGTGTCTGCTCAGGTTGGGGAACATACGCCTATAACTGCAGAATGGGGATGTCAGAGAGAAAGTATTGGACAGGAGGTCTATAATGATGGCGCGTGTGGGGAAAGTTGGGGAATCCAAGAGGACTTTATACGCGGGCGGCCAATGTCTGGGCAAGAGGAACTCACAGGAATGCTTCCGACCGCGCAAGAGGAGGTAATTCTACCGCCAGAGCAGCAGGAAATGCGTTGGGGAATCCAGGATGAGTTCATACGCAATTGGCCAACGTCTGCGCAGGAGGAGGGAATTCTACCGGTAGAATCCCTGCTAGAGCAGCAGGAAATGCATTGGGGAATCCAAGATGAGTTCATACGCAATTGGCCAACGTCTGCGCAGGAGGAGGGAATTCTACCGGTAGAATCCCTGCCAGAGCAGCAGGAAATGCATTGGGGAATCGAAGATGAGTTCATACGCAATTGGCCAACGTCTGCGCAGGAGGAGGGAATTCTACCGGTAGAATCCCCGCCAGAGCAGCAGGAAATGCATTGGGGAATCGAAGATGGGTTCATACGCAATTGGCCAACGTCTGCGCAAGAGGAAACCTGGGCGGATAGCACAGGAATTCTACCACTAGATCAGCAGGAAATCCAAGATAAGTTCATACGCATACGCGATTGGCTAATGTCTGTGCAAGAGGAGGGAATTCTACCGCCAGAGCAGCAGGAAATGCGTTGGGGAATCGAAGATGAGTTCATACGCAATTGGCTAACGTCTGCGCAGGAGGAGGGAATTCTACCGGTAGAATCCCTGCCAGAGCAGCAGGAAATGCATTGGGGAATCGAAGATGAGTTCATACGCAATTGGCCAACGTCTGCGCAAGAGGAAACCTGGGCGGATACCAATGGGAATTATACCGCCAGTGTAGCAGCAAATACGTTGGGGAATCCAGGAGGAATTCATACGCCCAAATTCTGGGCAACAGGAATCATAGGCAGAACCAGTGCTTCTGTAGACGTAATTTAAGGAGCAAAAATATATACCTCAATTTGTGTTTATAATCACTACTGTCGTATTTTGTAGCAACTGAAGAGAGTCCTCATTCTCCACACTATGTCCTAATCCATCTCCATCGACTCTGTCCCCTCCAACTTCAAATGCGCCCTTGATGAGAAAAACGACGCACTTCGCCGTAGTTAAACGAACTTCTCTCGTGTCTTCTTCGGTCCGCTCGGATGTCGCAAATCCTGACAGGCCCAGCTACAAGTGCATAGTATTAGCACAGCTACCTTCTAGTATTCTGGCTACTACTTACTTGGGCTTTAACCTCGGCGAAAATAACATTTAATCCCTTTTGGTCAGGTTTCGTAGCCTCAATTTTCGAACGAAGCTCCGTCGATTTCTTGGGTGTGATAGGGGTTTTGCTGACAGGCATTTGATCTAGGTCTGCTTGCAAAATGATATAGCGAAACTAATATGACTTAACACTGTATTTATGCGCACTGGAGCTATGGTTTGTTTGCAAGAGGTGTTTGAAACTGTGGGTTTCCAGGTGTACGACAGGATGCGCACCCACCTTCTGATGTGTTTAATCTAGCTACTCCGTTAGCTTTGATGATCGAATACATAAATGTCAATATTACATACTGTAGCTCGAAGCTGATATTGTTGAAAGGTTGTTGGCTTGGGTTGCCGTTTCTGACAAATTTGGCTTCGACTTCGATATCGAGGACGACGTTTGAAACATAACCCCACTAGCGACACGTGCGCTTGGGCAGAAACGTTTAGTTTCATGGATCGCCTGACCGCCTGATCTTTCTGCCTAATCTAGTTGCGTCACGTGTGCAGTGTATTTATCTCATCCACCAGAATTCCGTATGGTCCAAGCCGGTCACTATTATGACCCACCTTCGGAACATTGTAATTGCGAATGAGCACTGACAGAATCACAAATAGCTCTCCGGTCATCGTCAAGCATCAACTCTTGCATGGTCGTGCGAGTTTGGGTCTCGCCAACCACATCCATTTTGAGGGGAAATATGGCCATGCCCTCACGCAAATTTCGACAACTGGCGTCAGTGACTCCTGGATGCACAAACACATCAGATGGTTTATCATTGGACCACTCTGAAGCTGTGCCTGCTGGGTATGCAGGAGAGCTTCGTGTGGGCGGCCAATGTGGGAGCCTCGTCGGTGAATGTTGGCCACAGCTCCAGGTATAAAGTAGCGACTCCATTTCTGTATCAAGGGATTATTTTACATTTCTTCGCACGCACTGTTTGCTGGAATCGAAGAACGTTCCAACTTGTGCTTTCATGATCGGAATCTAATTATCGTCGTACATTCCCAGATTGCCTCTCAAACCGAAACAATCGCAACAGCAACCACATAATGACATGCAACCACGCAAGGGCAGCGAGTCTCTTGCCATCTTTGGAGGCTCCAAGCTCAATTCGGGATTGACTATATGAATCGTTTGAAGAACACCCGCACGCTATTGTTGCCCCTTCGCTGCATGAAAGCAAACCCGAGTTTGACGATTCCACAAAACCTACTATCCAATCCGTTCATCCCTTACTGTCATTTGAGCCGTTGCCACATGGGCATACGGTCATGGACCAGTATGGCGAGCCAGCCAAACTCGATGTTGTTGCGCAAATACATGGGAAGTTTTTTTTATCTGAGATAGCAACTCATACTGGCGAAAACACTATCATGCAGCCGGAGCTCACCTGCTACCGGCGAAACCTCTTCCAGATATCGGGTTCCATCATATGCCCAGCAGGGCCTCTGTCGGTTGACACTGGCTACGGCGAGTCAATGTCTATTGTGTCGCATGAAATTACGGTATCAGCTACGGAGTCTGTGGAGGGACACAATATCCGACTAGTTGTCATCCCGTGGAAGACCCCACCAGCAAATTCCCCAGATCTTCCAGAACAAGAGCCAGTAGCCATACCAATCGACATCCTTGGAAATGAAGACAAGAACAACGAGACTATCTCTCAACAAATTGCATGGAGTAGGCTCCAGTTCCGTGTTGCAACAGCCAACAATGGTCGCAGGAAAGAAATACAACAACATTTTATATTACGCCTAAAACTAATATCCACGCTAGCCGATGGATCTAGAGTGTGCACAGTCGAATCGGCGACAGCGCCTATGGTGGTACGTGGACGGAGTCCCAGGAACTTCCAAGCCAGGAAAGAAATACCGCTGGTAGGATCATCAGCTTTACCTAGGGGCCACAATTCTCGCGTATCTCCTTCCCAGAAGAAGGATTCCTTGATTCCCAAAAGACCTGGCATTGCAAAGCCAGCAACGATGGGCTTGCTGAAGCGACCTTTCCAGTATGTAGTGTGCACAGTTTGAAAAAACATAATAAAGGATGTGTGCTGACCATATATTGATAGCTATCCGCAGTGGAATCAAGCGCAACAGCAATCTAGGCATGCCGCACCTCCAACAACACCGTTTTCACAACCATGGAGTAGCATAGCTGCATACAGCAACGAAATTCAAAGATTGCATACTGTTCAAGATCCACCCCCGCTTCACCGACTACCAGAGCAGATCCTGCCGATTGAGTCGTCATCTCAGCATTTATACTCGCCCACGGCTTCGTTATCCGCGCAATTTGACCCTAACCAGCGTCCGATGATATCTCCACGCTACACGGAAGTGCCTCACAACCCGCTCTATCAGCCTTTTGAATATGCACCAGCTCCTGCGCCATGGTCAATCACCAAAACAGATGGGCCAACCTATGGTGCGGCACTGCATCTGCCACCCCAACAGCCGCCCTATCAGACGGAACAAGTTCATGCTAGAGATGACACCCAGAATATCGCATATACATGGAGCGCCGCTGGCTGACTCATATTACGCCGCATTTCAATCATTTATCTATAAGAAAAACTTTGTACCATAGCGGGTTAGCTATATACTGCCAAATTAGCATTGTGACGTCTGTTATTCGACTTCTTATATAATATCTTCTTGTTCCTCGCCATTTTCTTGTTCTGATAGGAGGGAAGATAAACATGGGATATACAACTCGGAGACGAGTCTTGGGGTATCTACAGAACAATATATCATTACAAACGAAGTAACCTACCCTATTGTGGCTCATGAGGCTGGAAACTTGGCCTCTAGTTAGGGAGGTGGTTATCTATCATCTTATTGAACAGCCGGAAGTGAAATCGTCATGTAGAAACCAAATATAGCCCCTCACACAATAGTCTAGGTGACAAACGGCCCCACCTGTCAGGTGGACAGCACGAGGAAGATCACTGTCTTCGCGTTTTAAGCCTGCGGTACCAGGTATCCCCTGATGCAGCGTGGGAATGCCCTTTCCATGCATCAACATAGATGCCGCTATAAAAGGAACTGATGCAGCGTATGTCACGCTGATGCTGCATGGCACACCGGTGTAATTTGGGACTTCGTGCTTCCTCATTCAGCCCGCTGCAGAAAAGAACGCAATTGACTCATAGCTGGCTTTCACTGTCACCCAATTATTCCCGCTCTTACATGAGTGAGAATTTTAGGTTGTTGGCGACCTTCAGATTCCTTCCTATATAAAGTGCCAAATTCCTACTGTCTTTCTTCCGTCCTATCCACAGATCTACAGTTCTCATTATTGATTCGACGTCTCAACAAAACTTTATCCTCCCAGATATTGCGTCCAACACACTTCGACGTAAGTTCCCAGCTAGTGCATTCATGATAGGAATCTAACTATCGTGGAACATCCCTAGACTGCCTCTCAAACCGAAATTTACTCAGAGCCCGATAGTTAAATATACAAAATGTGCGAACAACTGATTACTACAACAAAATACAGTGGCTGCCCGCCATCGTGCAACTCAACGTCATTTATCGTGGTGAGATGCCCGACGGCCAGTAGCACAGGTGTCGAATGTGCAACGAAGAAAGAAACTCCTCTTGCCCAAACTAGAAGCCGTGACCAATGCAATGCCCATAGAGATGAAGGATATTCTAGATAGGTATGTATCAATGATAACCGATCGACATCGAAGCTTCTGCTTATCATGTCATAGCGCAAGGAGTCTGGATCCGTTCTCACTGCGAGCGAGACTTAGGATTGAGGTGTATCGTTTGATGTCTCTGATTTGGGACCTGGGAAAGCAGTCAGTAGTATTGGCGGGTAAACACAAGAATAACAGAACTTACAAAGTTCTTTCATTTCCGTCTCAATAAAATCACATACAGTTTGAGCAGAACTGACTTCTCCACGCCAACATTGATTGATAATCTCCCCACATATGATTTCTGCCACACTGGGAAAATTTTGAGCCTCAAACAGTTCTATAACGTCGTTACTATTCAGCTCTTGAAACGGGTAATGACCAGTGATGATCATATATATTGTAGAGCCAAAGCTGAACAGATCATCCTTCACAGTCGGCGCACAGCGAAGATCAAGGCCAGGTCGTTCGAACCTAGTCCCTACACATGCTGAAGCACGCGACCCATCAAGTGAAGAACCACTGAAGTCAGCAATTTTGAGACCAAGGCCTGCATCCAGCAAGAAATTTTTTGGCTCAACGTCACAATGTATAATGTTCTTGGAATGTAGAAGTTGTAGTCCCTCTGCAGCCTCCATAATCCATTGAAGGCGTTGACATGCCGATATCTTGTCGTTATTCGCCAATATATAATCCTTAAGGCAGCCGTTAGGCATGTATTCCATAGTAAGGGAGCAGTCATCCGAGCTCCAATTAATTATCTTCACTAGACGTGGATGAGGCCCCAATATTTTGTATATATTGTATTCTGCCGTCAAGTCTCCGCGACACTTCTCTGCTCGCAAACCAGGCCATGGTATTTTAATCACATCACCGGACGGCAAACGTTGTACCAGCCCTGATACTCCGCCTGATATTGTTTCGCCTTTCGAGTCCATAGAGACGTACTCGTCAATCTTTGTCAATGAAGCTCCCTAGGTTTCAACTTAGCTTGGTCCTCTATACAGTGAAATGTTTTGAGATTGAACATTTAAAGTGAAGGATATACTGACCGCTTCTTTATCGGAAGCATCTTGCCCCCTCTCAATGTCCTTCCTCGTTGCTCTACTGACCCATTGAAAGCTGAAAAACCAGATGGTCGTGCCGAGAATTTGACCTGTTCGACTCAAAAACCACAGGAATCCCCAAGAAACCCTGCAGTCGAGATACATGCGTCCCCAGCTCATAGGAGCGAAGTGAGGTAAGCTAGCTGGGCGTCGTCTCGTAGAAAGTCGAATATTTCTTAGACCGTCACGGATATTAGAAGCTGAAGGCAATTCTTTGGTCTGGTAGTACTGAGGAATGGTGGGAAGCCTGAGCATGTCCGTAAAGGCAGTACCCATCTCTCCACGGACCTGCAATTACAATGTTCCGTAGTACACCGTTTTTGGCCAAATACCTAAACGTGGCACGTGATTACCCGAGATATGACTTATGTAATCGTGAATTTGGGCACAGCAAAACTTTGATGATATAATATGGACCCTGCATCATACTATAGATTTGTATTGTACTAATTGCGTAGTTGTTGTTTATTACTGTTTATTTGTGGCTTGTCCTAGAATCGAGATATGAGACCACGCCACGTTTATAAAGCCACGAAAGCCCCTGTCTGGGGGCTCAACCGTAGGTTCCAGTTAGTAGTTCCAGTGCTCTTTGTTGGGAGGGTGCTCCCCGCCATTGAACTCAAGCCATCGCTCAGCATTGGTCTCGCCAAGTGTGACGTCTCCTTTGTAGACACCAGCTGCCCATGCCATTTCTTCCTCCCATTGGTGGCTCGGATTAGAGCGCTGTCTTTCTTCGTGTAGCCATTCTTGCCGAAGGCATGCCGCGTCTTGAAAAGAAACCGGTGTCGTAGGCGAGGGTACGTTTGAACTTGGAGCACCGAGGGAGGTTTCCTCCATGGTTGCCAGATCTTGCACTGAGTTAGAACGTCGACGACGTTTCCGGGATCGTTGATGCTCATCTTCTCGCGATGAGTCTGTGTCTGCCTCCCGTACACTGTCTTCCGGTCTACCGCGTTTCTTGGGACTAGCATTTCGAGACTTGTATGTCCTCGAAACTAGATCCTCGCACTGCTCTGCCGACGCGAAGAAAGCTGCCATCTCTGCCCCATCTGCCTTGTTTATCATCGTGCTTAATCGCAGGCGTCGTTGTATCCCGCAGGGTTGACAAATTAGGACGAGTGCTTCCCCCACGGAATCGTATCAATCAGGCCTCTGTGAACATTGGTTGTAACAAGATAACTGCTTGTTAATTAGTATATGGCCGATAAACTCAGTAAGGACTGCACTTGCAAGGACTGTTCCCCCTCAACGACGCGAAAGCATTCCAAGTCGGCATTCTTCAACTCCGGTTCCGATTCGCGATAGTCGCAGTCAACAAGGACATGGCACCGGGCCCTCTCTTTCAGTATCTCCCCTTGGGTGTGTAGAAAGTCCCTCTCAAAGTCGAAGCTGCGATTTAATGATCTTAAGCAAGCTGCCGTAGCGACAACAACTGGCTTTTTGGTAGGCTCTCCTAGGACTCGGTCTGTCCGAAATTGGATAAAGATGCGGCGAGTCATGATTCATATGGGTTAATTGCTGAGTGTTGTATCGACTCATCCAGAGTTACACGGGCTGTTGAAATGATTGTGTAAGTGTTAGGTGAGGGTAAGTTGTTCAACCGCCAAATATCTCGGGGTTATAGTTTCCCCGCATGCCGGGGCATTGCCACTATTGGTCCAATGCAGCTAAGGAGGACCAAAAACAACCTAACTCCATCTGCCAGTCCACACGAGATGACGTGTGGAGCCTTATCATATGCCACATGACACGCGTACAGTACTTCGGTATACACGCGCTTGCCAAGCATGGCTGTTGTTCGCCAGACCAAAATAACAATTTAAGCGAATCAACAACACATGACTCTCCTCCATCATACAACACATCACGACAGCCTCTTGTAGCCTTGAGGCATGCCGACGCGACAGAGAGTTAACGATACCAACAGCGACGAACCCCGTAATGATATCAATTACAGGATCGGCCTGCGCGACAATCGCAAGCGGAAACGCGAGTTTAGGCCGCCATTAGGCACTGTTGACAACGAATCCACATACACACACCGGCCGCCATCATCGAAACGTCAAAGAGTGGCTATCGGCGATAGCTATCCTAGAACAAAAGTCGCTCCTCGGCTAGATACCATTCTAAGGGCTCTGCGGTGTGATGCGCTCTCTTCGTACGTCTCCGACTTCCAGAATCAGTTCCGACTTGGAATTACGCACTAATGAGGGAACGACAGCATACACCCGGCAGCATATGTACGCGACAACCGCATCATCATCCCCTCTGTATCTACACAAATATATGAGTGCGCTCGATTGAAAATTCCCGTCATCACAGGCTCGAAACGCATCCGTCTAGAACATTCATCGTCGAAAGCTTCCTCGAAAAAATGCGAGCTCATCATCACGATGCCAACGAAGATCCACGAAGTCATGAAGGCGCTTACATCGGACATAAAAGACCAGATGTTTGCACGAGACTCTTCTGGTCGAGCATTTGTACCTGCCACGTGGCAAAAGGATCGGGTTCTTGAGACGGGATCGTCAAGTCAGTCGTGCCATACTTACCTTTCTTGATAAAAGGCTGACTAGTGGTTGCGAACACAGCTTTATCTTTAGCCTACAACGGGAGAACATTTAAATTCGAACCTGATTCATCGTTAGCATTCGAGCCGAATAATCCATTCCTCGTGCTTGAGGTAGCAGTCACGCAAGATCCGGTAGCTGTGAAAAAGAAGGCCCACGATTATATCAGAGGCTCTCGTGGAAAGGTTGCTTTTGTGGTGGTGATCATAGTCAGACGTCTGAGACGGCGCAGAGAAGAGCAGGCTGGAGACCAGGGCAATGCGAATATTATGGATGGGCATAACGATTTCACTGGCCAAGCTACGAATTCGAGGCTTAAAGTCAGGCAACATGGGAACGACGAACAAAGCGAGCCGCCTGATCATAGCCAAGCACGAGAATCAACGAGCCCAATATCCACACTCACGGATCCCCCATCCGATTTGTCCAGATGGAGTGTCTTCCCCGAAAGAAATTTGCCAGCTAAGCAAGTCAGCCTACCCAGCACTAGTTTACATGGCACAGAAAACTCAGGCATCTCACTCCCACCCCTCCTGTACGAATGTCTCGACACCAACGATATTTTAAACCCCAACGATACTGTGCACGTTAGCGTTTTCAAATCCGCCACTGTCCCGTCCAGCACGCCAGCTACTGCCCAGCAGACATTTTGCACAGTGCAGCCACTGATTGAAGAAGTCGAAGTCTATCCACGCAACACAAATGCTTCATTTACTCTTGCATGGACTGATATCGCAAAGACTGCACCTTCTGGGGGGAGGCCGAGTCTGCATATCAGTCTCAAACCCTTGAGCCGCCTGGCGCAGAGACTGACTGGGGATGGCCGCGCTGAATGGGGTGATGACGGGTTCAGCCCACTGTCTAGCGGGGTTGAGGAGTATCTTGTCACCAGCTCGAGCGTTGAGATTGATCATGAGAGAAGTGGTGGGACGGTGCCTTCTTCGGTGGAGAAGCGTCAGGACCCCAACTTCAGTCTATGAGGTATGGCCTTTTAAGCTTTCGAATCTGATAATCCAACAAAGGACGGAAACGGAACTGGTCTCACGAGGAAGGGAAGCATAGGACTGAGCTGACGAGGTTGGTGGGCAAAGGGGATTGTACGATACAGACGAAGTCCTAATTTAGGACGTGGGGAATTCAAGAGATATCAGTAAATGGAGCAGTACGAGGTCGATGTAGAGTATGATGGGGATGAGGGGATTATGGGGTCGTTGGATGGGATCTGAGAAGGATGACGCGTTTGAGTCAAGAGACTGTTTGAATGAATGATGGCGGTAGAAGCGACGTCAGCCTTTCAGCAAATTTTATAATTCGTCTACCTAGGCCCTCAGGGATTCACTGCGCATCCTGCCACGCCACCGGTCCTGCCGGTAGGGGCTTTCTAGTCGTTCCGTAGCAATGCGTTCACATTAAAGGTCCGCGTCCTCGCTGTCAGGCTCAAACCTCCCATACTTATCATCGAACATACTTTGAACCCTTTCATGTCGTTCTCTAGCAATGTGGGTATAGTATGGTGGCGTAAGCATAAATACGCGTATTGCTTCATGAGCAGAGTTGTCGATATTATTCAAAATGTGACCAGTGCAGATCTCCTCAAGTGCCTGGAGTACATCGTTGGCATCTGCAGTATGGCGGCATGTTGAGGGATCGCATATGCACTGCACCCCGCCATGAAAATCGGCATGGCGCCCGGGGCGGCTTTGAGACTCGAGGAGCATAAACTCTGCTACTGCACTGATGCTTTTGTCAACATGGATGATAGCCTGAAGCACTTCAGCCAGGTTGTCAGTGTGCTTCTTCTTTCTTTCGAGATGGTTCCATTCCAGATGCCTCTTTTCCTCGCGATGCCGCCGCCTGGTATGGTGTCTTCTTAACCCGTTTAACACGAATCGCGCGTTTTTCTTCTCGCCTTCTAACACGCCTTGGCCTATCATTTCTTGCTGTCTTGAAGAAAATTGATCTAGGATCCATAGTTCCATCCTTACGCCACTGACGGCAACTTTACCAAAGCTTTCTGTTATGCAAGTGAGTGCCACAAGTGCATTTGCCCAGGCAGTCCATGATGTTTCCAGTGTAACATGGTCGTACATAGTATGTAGTGACAAAAGCAATATGTCATACTCTTCAGTATCTAACCGTCCCGAAAGCATATCTGTAAAGTCGCAGTTTCTCCTTGCTGAACCGCTTCTACCTCCAGGGCTATTCCAAGTAGCTTCAAAAAACATTAGAGCTGTTTTCGGATCGCGTTTTTGTATATGTCTGATAATAGAGTCCACTGCAGTATCAAGTGGAAGCTCTCCGCTTCTGAATTCTGCAGCACGGGTAGAGTTATAATAATCCTTTTCTCTTCTATTAAAGACAGTCCTAAACGCCTTGGATACTTGGGAGAGATTTGAAAGCGTTTTTAAGTCTGAAATTTCGAAAAATATTTGTGACTTTAATTCAGCAGGTAATAGGGACGAATTATCCGTCAGGCATTGCTTCTTTGGTAGTAATACGGCATCCTGGATAAGGCTCTCTATGCACTATTAGTACAGCTCAGGATGCAGATAATAATACCAGTATCTCCTGATCTCTTACCTGGCTTAAAATCATCCTGGCCGCTAGCTTCAGTATCTGGCGTGATATTGTCACACATAGTTATTCCTTTTAGGACAGTGTAACTTGTTTTTGCTGGGAGCGTATAATCTTAGCTTCCTGTTGTTCGGGATTCGGAAAGGCAATGTATATTGTTTTATATCGCATTAAAACTAATGAGATTGTTAGACGGCACAACAGTATTTAAGGAATTAGTGGTGCTGGCTACCTTGACCTCTGGCCCTCCGAGCACCGAAGCCAGCCGACCATCTCCTGTTCCCACGAAGCCGCTGCCATGATCGAAGACACAGGATGCAGGAACAGGGAAGCGGAAGGTCGAGAACGGGGGACGGTTTTGGTAGTGGCCTTGGCGCGAGAGCGACTATGGCTGTTGGAAATAACTTCTATGGCCATCATCATAGAGAGCGGATTAAGCTATTCAGCAAGAATTAAAGGGGCGTCTCGGGATAAAAATGGACCGGTATCGAGAGGCTCAAAACTACCTAAGGCTAGAAAACAACGATATCGAGCACATGGCACTATTTTATATTTCGTCTAATCATATAATAATATTAAGCGTTAAAAGACAGTGTTTCCATAAGTCCATCGTATTCCTTCGGCCCTGTACCACTGACTTCGAAGTCTGTCCAGTGATTCTTCAGCAACGTTTTCATAGTCTGGTATGTATTTGAACACACGTACTGTTTCGGTAGCATCCTGCCACCGATCCTCTGAAATGGCACCACTGCAGATCGTTTCAAGTATTCGTACTAAACTGTGAATGTCTGCATTAAGCTTTACCAGTTCAAATACTTGATTAGAGGCTTCGACCCATTGATGTTCCTGGACAGCAAGATTGAGCGTTACGTGAAGCACTTCAGCTAGGTCGTCGTTAAGTTTCTTCGTTCTTTCAAATTGCTTCGCTTCAAGATGGTGGAAATTCATCCTCTTCTCCAGTTCATAATACCTTTGTAACTGATTTAACACAAGGTAGGCGTTGCTCCACTGACCATTTGAAGCGCTCTGACCCAGTATTTGTTGCCGTTTAGAAACAGCTCCATGCCGTATCCTTCTGATCATCTTTATGGTGTCATCATTTCGATATTCCTCGTGTAAGAAATCTGCTGCTGTAAACGCAGCTGCCCAGGCCTCCCATGAAGTTTCTAGAACAATGTCATCATACATAATTCGCAGTGACAGTAGCACTGTGTCGAAATCCTCTTCATCTAGTCCGTGACTAAGGCGGTTTAGGAAAGAAACAGCACCTTTCAACTGCCCTTCACGGATCATGCCTTTCCAAGTGACTTCAAAAATCATCAGAGCCGCCTCTTGATGTTCTTTTATGTGTTTGGTAATGGTGTCGATCGCATTATCGGACGTATACTCTCCCCGTCTAACTTCTTCCGTGTAGGCAGAACGGAAAGAATCCATGTTAAGGAAGCCCTTGAAAGCCTCCACTTGGCCAACACTCAGAAGGGTTCTTCGGTCTATAATTTCGGATATAATTTGCGAAAGTATTTCGGGAGGTAAGCGAGAGAAAGAACCACCGATGTGTGAGGAAAGGCGTGGCTTCTTTCGCGGCAAATTGTCATCCCAATTAGGGATTTCTATGCACTGTTAGCACGGCCCCAGTTTGCAAATGTTGATATTCTTACCTCGAAAAACACTGTACGGCCTCTTGCGTTTTGCTGCTTCCTCGGGACAAGACCGATTGTCACCTTTAGGATCCGATACCAAGATAGACGGCATGTTGCCACGATAGTCCAACGAATTTTGTCAGGAGTATAGAGTCTCAGTTACTAGTTCAGGGTTTGGAAGGGCAGTGTAGATTGTTGTATATCGTGGTAAACCTGACGAAGTTGTTTGGGGAACTTAGGGGGAGGCCACGCTGAGTCGATGAATGGCACGATAGTATTTACGGAACTAGTCAACTGTTTTCGCGCGTCTGAAGTTGCTGTTAGCCGCTGTCGTGATCGAAGACGCAGGATCCGACCTTTCGAGAGGCCGGAGGCAGAATTCTGAAGCTAGCCAACCATCTCCTGTTTCCATGAAGCTGCTGGTATAATCGAAGACACAGGAAGCAGCCATCCGAGAGGCCCCAGGCAGATTTCTGTAACCAGCCAACCATCCCCCGTTTCCATGAAGCTGTTGTTGTGATCCCAGACAAAGGATGCAGCCTTTCGACAGGCCCAGGCAGACTTCAGAACTCGACCAACAGTTTCGCGTTTCCAGGAAGCCACTGTCGTGACCGCATACAAAGGATGCAGCCATTCGAGAGGCCCCAGGCAGATTTCTGTAACCAGCCAACCATTCCCCGTTTCCATGAAGCTGTTGTCATGATCCTAGACACAGGATGCGGCCATTTGGAAGGCCCGAGGCAGACTTCAAAAATCGACCAACAGTTTCGCGTTTCCAGGAAGCCGCTATCGTGATCGAATACACAGGATGCGGCCATACGAGAGGCTCGAGGCAGATTTCAAAAATCGACCAACCGTTTCGCGTTTCCATGAAGCCGTCGTCGTAATCAAAGACACAGGATGCGGCCTTTTGACAGGCCCCAGGCAGATTTCGGATTCAACCAACCGTTTCGCGTTTTTTATGGGCTCTTAGGCCCCCCAAGCGAAGGGGTGTGGACCTTGTAGCAGCTTGAGGGTAAAACCAGCGGAGATCAGCCTCAGCTGGCCAATCGTTTCGGCTCTGTAAGCGCTCAAAACCCTTCATTTCCGAGCGCAGGGGCGATGGCCACCGACAGAGGATGGGAAGCAGGAAACCGTGTTGGACGGGCTGATAACCACCCACAGTGGACGGAAAGCAAGAAGCCGTGTTGTGCATAATTCTAAAAACAGTCTTTTGTGCCAGCGAGAAACTGGGCTCAGGAATCGGAGAATGATAAAACCGGACCCCGAAGCCAGGCATCAACTTTTTGTTTACTAGCTCCGGAAAAACTCACGAAAAGCAGCACCAGTTCTTGTAACCCGTTAGGGGTTTACCGTCCAAAGTCTTTGATGGTCTAACGGTCATGATTTCCGCTTGTCATGTGACAAAGCGCGGGAGACCGGGGTTCGACTCCCCGTCAGAGAGATTACCACCTCTCTGAGCTCATGCTCAGATAGATATATTTTTGCCTTTTTTTTCTTTTTTGCACTTCCGTTGTTTAGCTGAATAGAGTTGAAAGGCGGCAAGTATATCGCCACCCAAACTTTTGTTATGTCTCTGGATACATGCTCTACCTATTGTCACATGACAAGCGGAAATCATGGCCATTAGACCATCAAAGATTCGCCATACCAGGAAAGCAAAACCCACGAATTTTAATGTTCAGAAGCTCGTGCTTGGAATCAATATATATATATTTTCAGTTCTAATTGGTATTTTGCCGTCTGATGCATTTGTCACTTGGAGAACCAATGGTCGAATAATGCGAAGTACCCCAAAACCAGAAAGAGTTCTATCTAATAGTCTATAACTTCATTATGATCCTCCCAACACCCGTCACGGAAAAGAAAACAATCAACGCGCTGAACAGACAAAAAAGTCATGACACACAATAAAGTATATCCGGGTTTCATTTCCATCTAAAAAGTCTGAACATCCATGGTTGCAAACGGCTATCATAAAGTCTAAGACTCTTTTCTTTCCAGATCATCGTCATCCCTTTACCTCGCCGCCTCCCTATTTCGTGGTGCAGCAACCGTCATCGCATCGTGAGAGAAAACCGTATAATTAAAACGTTTACTCGACATCCTCAACGGCGGGCGTGTCGGCATCAGTCATATCCTCCTCCTTGCTGACCGGCTCTTCCGCGGGCTTCTCGGTCTTCTTGGCCGCCTCGGCAGCCTCGCGCTTGGCCGCAAGCTCGGCGTCCAGCTTGGCCTGCGCAACTTGCCTCTCCTCCTCGAGCTTGTCGAAGTAGCGCTGGGCGATGGGGCCGGCGAGGGAGCGGATGTCGTCGTACTTGGCGATGTAGACGGCCTTGGTGGTGTCCTCACCCTCATCGTAGAGCCAGTCCTGGGGTAATAGTTAGTATAGTTTTCTTGGGATATGATGGGGTGGGTGATATAGACATACCTCGACCTGCTCGAGTCTCGCCTTTAGCTTCTCCTTCTCAGCGTCGCTGGCGAACTCGGCGTACTTGTCATCGATGTTGTTTCTCATCTCGTAGATGTAAGTCTCGAGCTCGTTCTTCTTCTCCTCGGTATCCGCAACAAGCTTGTCCTCCATGAACATGTTGTTCTCCCTCTCCGCAGCCGTGGCCTTGGTCTCTGGGTCTAATGATGCGGTGCCGGCGGAGATTGGCAGATCGCCCTTGCGGACCTGCTTCTTGACCTTGCGCATCTTTGGTGCCTTGGGCTCACCGTCGGTGTCCATGGCATCGGCATCCTTCTTCTCGTCCTTGTCCTCGGGGATTGGCTCCTCGACCTCGACATCCTCGACGAAGTATCCCTGCTCGACGTTGAGGATACCGTGGAGGTTAATGCGTGCCTTAAGCTTGCAGATCATGAAATCATCCTTGGAATCAGCCTTGACGTTCTTGACAGAGAAGCGTCCGATCCATGGCTTAATGGCTCCGGGGAGGTCCTCTGGCTTGGCGTACCTCGCCTCGAGGTCGAAGTTTTGCTTGCGGTAGAATGTGAGGATCTTTGTCGATGGCATGACGTTGCCCTTGTTGAAGACGGTCAGGGAGGTGTCCTCATCTGGGATGTCCTCAGACTTCTCCCAGTTGAACTCAATGGGGTATGGGACGATGTCGTGGATGGTGAAGTCGCGGACACGGAAAACGGGCGACAGGATGGCGCAGCTGAAAGCGCAACCTCTGGCGACACCCTCATCCTGGTTGATGGTGAAGGATAATTGCTTGCCGAAGAAGTTCTGGATACGCTCCTTCAGGGCGGGGACACGAGTGCAACCGCCGACAACCTCGATGGTATCGATGTCCTCAACCTTAAGCTTGGCCTGTGCGAGGGCCTCCTCGAGAGGAATGTGGGCACGCTTGAGGAGCGGCTCAACAAGAGCCTCCAACTCCTCACGCTTGAGCACGGACTGGACGTCAACATCGTTCATCAGAGACTCGATGTTGAGGGGCGCCTGCTGGTTGGCGGAGAGGATCTTCTTCAGCTTCTCGGCACCAGCCGCAACTCTGACCATAGCCTTGGGGTTGGTCTTGATGTCAATCTTGTACTTCTCCTTGAACTCAGCCGCGAAGTGGTCAACGAGAGCGGTGTCGAAGTCACGTCCACCAAAGTCGCGGTCGTATGCGGTACCCTTGACGGTCAACTCGCCCTTGCGGAACTCGACAATGGAGCAAGTGTAGTCGCTGTGGCCGATGTCGACGAATGCGACACGCCTTGGCTTCTCCTCTGCGGTGGGGAGGTCGAGCTTTGTAATACCCCAGCCAAGCGCGGCTGCGGTGGTGTCGTTCATGAGACGGAGGAGCTGGAGACCGGCGATCTCAGCGGCGTCCATCAAGCTTCTGCGCTGGACGTCGGTGAACCATGCTGGCACGCTCATGACAATCTCCTTGACTGGAAGCTTGAGCTCAGCGGCGGCGGTGGCCTTGACTCTGCCCAAGAACATCGAGATAAGCTGGGTAGCGGTGAACTGCTCCTTCTTGCCAAGGTAAGTCACCTCAGCACCGACCTGGCCATTGATGTCGATGAGGGGTGCGGAGATGTGCTTCTGCTCCTTTGCGACATCGGGGTCGGACAGAGCACGACCAGCCAGGCGCTTCAGCGACCCGACTGTGTTTTTTAAGTTCGAGATCTCTTGTGTCTTCGCAGCCTCACCGAGGTATCTCGCTTTTGGTCCAAAACCGACGAGGGAACTGTGAAGTGAATCCGTTAGCCTCTTTGATACTGCCTTGTCTGTGAGAGTGACTGTAGGGGGAACTTACGGAGTGGCACGGTTAGAAACCTCATTGGTAATCTATAAAACGATCAGTAAAGTGAATCAAAACACAATATTATGTCAGAGTTGCGCGGAAACATACCACATCGACGCCACGGTTTCTTGCGACAGCAATAACCGTGTTCAAGCTGCCAAAATCAACACCGACGACAGACATCTTGATCTGTTGTTATGTTTTTGTGAAAGTGAGGGTGAGGGGAGGTGAGGGGGTGAACAAGCCACACAGAATATTGGCTCGAGGCTTATCGACAGTAGCGTGTGGGAATTCTAGGCCCGAAGAGATTTTCTGAAAAGGTCCTTCGTGTTGGGAATGTCGGACGTTGTATGTCAGATAGAGATGTACTCGCTTGCAAATCTGGACGCAATTGAACAATTAGAGATCGTCACGTTATTTTTAGTTGTTTGGAGGAGACGATGAGGTATTTCGTTTTCACAGCCCTCTTTAGCTTTGTATATGGGAATCTCGAACTTTTTGAGCCGCGACTATTTGGGTTTAGTTCGGATGGACGATTCCTGAACTGACTCTCTACTTCTACGCATTTCGACCCATAGTCTTGGCGATTCTTGGGGAATAATAAACTTACGTCATAAATATCTGCACTGTATTAAATGATATATGTGAAAATAAAACCCTTTCCTCACTTAATTCTACGTTTTTTTTGGTTTGGTCAGGATAAAAAAAACTCTGCTGTCTCTGCCTTGACTGACACGTCGCCATCCCGTAATGCAAGTATAACACATGGGAGTCGAAGTAGCGTTGGTGGCGAAGCCGTGTTCCTCAGGCCGCTATCGATAAGCCCTCTACCCTCGCAATTTTTTGGCGCTTGTGGTGGGGGTTGAAGGAGGGCCACTGAGGGCAACCCCTCACCACCCGTGACTTTCTTGGCTTTTCTTGGTCGCTGCCATCATATCCTGAATGAGAGCAACTATCCCACCAAAATTAATAATGCCAATAATTATATTTATTTAGTTTTTCGTGTTTCCGGTTTTGCCGTTTTATGATCGCCATGAACGTGAGTGTACTTTGAATTCCCCCAAAGTCTAATTATCAAGCATCTATTTGTGTTAAAAGTGTGTTCTCGGGAAAGCCCTATTTCTTGGTCGCTCCTTCGGGTTTGTGGTCGTTGGTCGTGGCTTGTCTTTCGCGTCTCTCGTTGGTCGCCAACCCCGTGTTGGTGGCCGCTCGGAGAAGTGGTGGACAGAATAGCAACACATTCGTTACATTGCCAGCGCAAACGTGCAAACATACGAATGTCGTGACTCAGGACACATCTTCTATCAACATGAAATCAGCTGTAAGTGAAGGTATAAAGTCCGCTGCTGGAAGAGGAAAATACCGTGATCTCTATCCCCAAAGGTGACTATCAATCTGTGCCTGAGAACACACACTGGATGTGAGAACAAAGCCGACTTCCAATTTTTATCTCGGACAAAATCAAACTTCCATTTATATCTTATCTTGTCGAGGAAAACATACTTGCTATTTCTATATTGCTAAAGACACCCCGCGGAGTTGCGTTATATCACCAAGACCTGCCAAAATATTACTAGTCAGCCCTTCTTTCCTAAACGGGCGGGTGTTCGAATTTGAGAAGTGCACCTTGCTACACTCCGCTGCGCTGCACTTTTGACGACTGGTACCTATTTGACCAATATATTGCCATACGGTATATTACATCCATCCCTATGAATATCCTATAACACCTTGCTGCCATGGAGCGATTATGTTGATGGCTCCCTGTAGTAAATTATATACTTACTTCCCTGTGGATATGACGTTCATTCGAAACTGGATATTCATTATCGCCCTGTCCATACCTTGCTGCATAGCGACCTTTTTCCCTGGGTGAGAATAATTTGATTGGCCCAATCAGCTCCGTTTGAGATTAATATGGGATATCTAGGGATTCGCTACTTGGAACACTGGGAGCGAGCCTCTTCCCTCCATTTCTGACGAATAACGTGAGATTTATATCCCCATTCCCTTCCGCGCCCGGCAGTACTGATAAGGGTGGGCGCAGCCTCTCCCAGACGGATTCCCTTGGAAGTTATGTTCCGCGAACAATACAGATCCAAAAGATGCACCAAACACTGGTGTTACACGATATTATGACTTCACCATAAAACGAGGAAAAGCCGCCCCGGATGGTTATGAGAAAGAAGTAATACTAATTAACGGAGAATTCCCAGCCCCGACAATAGAGGCCAATTGGGGAGACTGGATTGAAGGTGCTCTCAACCTTTCGTTTTCCGACTTGTTTGCTGACATACAAGTTTAGTCAAAGTGAAGAATGCAATAACTGGACCAGAAGAAGGCACGAGCCTTCATTGGCACGGATTATTTCAAAAGGAAACGCCATGGTACGATGGTGTGCCTTCTATCACACAATGCCCTATTGCTCCACGGGCCACATTTACGTAGGTTTGAATACCCAATAAAATAATAACTGTAACTGACAGTAAGCAGGTATAGATTCAGGGCGGACGTCTATGGAACAACCTGGTACCATGCTCACTACAGCGCTCAATATTCTGCCGGCCTCACAGGAGCATTAATCATTTATGGGCCATCGCATGTCCAATATGACGAAGATTTGGGCCCAATAATGCTTCAAGATTGTATGGACGATCATTTGCAACAACCACTCTCCTTGAGATACTGACCTTTTCTAGGGTACCACAAGGATTACTACAGTGTTGTTGAAGGCGGTGCGTATTAACAAAACGGCAAGTTTACTCTGAGTTCTGGCTAACAACTGTAGTTATGAGCAATGATACTGCTCTACAAGAGCAATACTCGGACAATACCATAATAAATGGGAGAATGCCTTATAATTGCAGTTTAGTTACTGACGGGACGCCATGCTCTCAAAGCACATACTCGAAATTTAGGGTGACGCCCGGAAAGACATACAAATTGCGGCTCATCAACACTGCCGCTGGTGGCTGGCAACATTTCAGCATTGACGGGTATAATTTGACAATAGTTGCAAACGACTTTGTTGCTATTCATCCGTATAGCACTAAAATTGTAACTTTGGGGGTAAGTCGGTTTCTGGAAGCTCGAATACCGTAGATATGTGGGCATAGGCTTACAATTATCCAGATTGGACAAAGATCAGACGTTTTATTCACTCCCACAGGAAACGCCACTGGCGCGGTCTGGATGCGAACAAACCAATACGCAGATTCTTGTGCAAGAGCGCTTCAGCCGGAAGGGAAAGCAATCATCCTTTATGATAAAGCTTCCGAAGATACAATCCCGGCCACAGAAGCTACACCCATCGTCGACGATGGGACCTGTAGAAATGTATGAATTCCTTGCAAAGAGAGATCCCAGCTAATTCCTCTCCAGGACCCGTTGAACATGACCGTTCCATACTATCCCTCGGCGCCACCAGAACCCTCAGTAACTTACAACATTACAATAACGCAGGTGGTTAATTCTACTGGTCATAAGCTTTTCTATATGAATGGATCGCCATTCCAAGCCAACTACAACAACCCAATCCTTCTACTTGCCAATGAGAGGAATTATTCATATCCTTACGACCCCCAGTGGAACGTCATCAACCTTGGGTCAAATTCTTCAGTGCGCATAAATGTGTGGAATGACAATTTTGTCCCTCATGTGAGTCTTATGAACCCGTGGAGATTGACATGATAAATACTCCTGCTAACATCTGTTGAGCCAATGCATCTTCATGGCCATGATATGTGGGTCTTGCACGACGGCCTTGGACAGTGGGACGGAACTATTGTCAATCCCGAAAACCCCCAACGCAGAGATACTCAGAATCTAGCCCCGAATGGTCACATTGTCTTCCAGTACAATCTTGACAACCCGGGAGTCTGGCTATTCCATTGTCACCTTGCGTGGCACTTATCTTCGGTGAGTAAATCCCGTGCACAGTCACGTCCCAAACAGATTTCGAAAGATGCTAATGCGGTGCTAGGGTTTATCTGTGAGCTTGTTGGAGCGACCCAAGGAGATCAACCAGTTTCAGATTCCATTTATCATGACGCAGACGTGCGTGGAGTGGGATATTTACACAGCTTTCAACACTATCGACCAAATTGACAGTGGTGTATAGGCTTGTGACGGGGCTGTAAATTGATACCACTGGGACTTCGTGCAGGTATGAAGTATACGCGGCAAATAGTATTACTCGGTTCGGGAGTTGGATGCGGACAAGGTCCCTGATATTATTAGCTGAAAATTACAGTTGGTATCATATAAGACTAAAATCTTCCGCATGTGTCGACAACGCATCTGTGCTTCCATGTCTTATTTTTATTGCCCATTTGCACCTCTATGTCTCATGTAACCCATCTGCGCTCCATGTGTTATTTTGTAACCCATCTGTATTTCTATGTTTCATATTTACAACACATCTGTGCTTCCACAGCCCTATGGATGGTTGCCCCCTATTACATTGGGTGGTTTCACGTGACTGAGTTGCTTATCAGCTCTCCCCCTGGGAATATTATTGCCGATGTGGTACGGGTGACGCCTAAACGTGCTTATGGCGCCTGTACCTTTATGTCAATAATCCTGAATTTTGATAGGCTACTTCAGCATAGTCTCCGTAAAGACATCTGTGCAGCACGAGTGCGACAAATCACGGTACTTCGGATTCGAAAGGAAGGTCAATCGGGGACCGAAGATATCTTGGTACATCGAGGCTTATTGAGGCTCTGGATGTCAGGAATGACCAGTTAAACTTGGACCAAAGGCGAAGAATGTGCCTCTCCGACGATCCGTTACCACGACCAATTCTCAATATATGGGGAATACCATACTATAGGAGTTGAATACAGAGCACAAAATATATCTGGCAGCACAGGAACACAGTTTGGAGAACAGGAACCGGCCTTTCAACGCGCTCCCCATATCCCTGGATCTGGAGCATTATAATCAAATGGAACAAAATATGCAGCAATCTCCGAATGTTGTGACTATGTTGAAGAATTGTATCCCAGACCCGGGAGCGCAGATATCAGACAATATCGGTGGCTCCCAAGTATTTGACAGTGGAGATAAGATACAGAGTAGGTCCGACGAAGTATTTGAAGGGAAATACTAAACTCCAAACAGACATTACCACTCCCTCACAAACAACAGCTGCTGCCGTGACGGAGGCAAAGGGAAATGGCCCCTTGGAAACCTTAGGGCAAAATGGGAGTTTAGAAGACCCTGAGATAACAGGAGGTCCATCCGAACCATCAGATCTCCCCAGCGGGCTCAAACTAGCAGTTTTGGTTTGCTGCACCTGCATGGCTATCTTCGCACTAGCTCTTGTAGGTACATCGTTGCCCGTGCGGAAGAATATATCTCAGAGAGTACTCTAGGACACAACGATCATTGCAACTGCCATCCCTACGATAACCCGCGAGTTAAAATCTCTCAACGACATAGGCTGGTATGGAGCAGCATACTTCCTCACGACGTGCGCCTTCCAGCTTCTCTGGGGTCGGTTCTATACCTTCTTCAACCTGAAATGGGCGTACATTGGCGCTATCATAATTTTTGAAACTGGAAACATCGTGTCTGGCGCCGCGCCAACCTCCATTGCTTTGATATTCGGCAGAGCAATTGCTGGGATTGGGTCAGCTGGTATTTTTACGGGGAGTTACATAATTATCGGATTCAGCGTCCCGCCTCGACATCGCCCGCGGTATATGGGGCTTCTGGGGAGTATGTACGGAATTGCCTCTGTTTGTGGCTCACTTATAGGGGGAGCTTTGACGGACCATGTCAGTTGGAGGTTTTGTTTTTATATAAATATTCCACTGGGAACAGTTATCGGAGCCGGAGTCTTTTTCTTCTTTTACCCACCAAATGCAAATGCAGCCCTCCAAGCCCTGCCAACTTACGTCCGGCTCGCAAAGTTGGATGGGGTTGGAACTACCATTTTTGTTGCCTCGGTGGTGTGCCTCATAACGGGCCTTCAATGGGGTGGAACCATTTATCCCTGGAAATCTCCCAGGATCATTGCGCTTCTCATTCTATTCGGGCTGACTCTCACTGCCTGGGTGTCTTACCAATACTACAAAAACGATAATGCTACCGTACCCAGGCGGCTTATCTCCCAGCGCTCCATTGCCTTTGGATCGCTTAGTTCCTTCTTGATGGGCGGCGCCATGTTCAGTGTTGTTTTCTATGTTTCCGTCTACTTCCAAGCCGTCCGTGGAACGTCCGCTACAACCTCGGGAGTATACTCACTCCCGATTATCCTAGGATTAACGTTTGGAATGCTCATAGCGGGCCACTTTAATAACTATGTCGACCGATTTCCCCCATTCATGATTTTCTCAGCCGTTACCGCCTCTATAGGCGCCGGCCTAATCACAACGCTCACACCAAACACCCCACTAAGCCACTGGTGCGGCTACCTCGCATTATTTGGTATTGGCCAAGGAATCGGATGGCAGCAGCCCCTTTTACTGGCCCAAGTTTTCCTCCAAGACTTCGATGTGCCAACCGGGACGGCGCTGATGTCAGGGGGCAAAGTGCTCGGTGGTGCGATCCTTATCTCGGTCTTAGCTTGCGTCTTCCACGCTTCTTTGGAACGGAGTCTACTGGAGTTACTTCCGGATATCAATCCGAATATAATTATTAGGGCTGGGGCAGCAAAACTTAGGGACGTGGTGGGTGAAATTGCGGGGGATGATTCCGCGAGGGCAACTGAATTGCTGGGATTGGTGGAAGAGTCTTATAACAGGGCTTGTAGAAGGGTGTTTATTGGGGCTTTGGTGGTTAGTAGCTTGGCTGTGATTGCTTCTGCGGGAGTAGAATGGAAAGAAATGAGACCTGTAGAAAAGAAAGATGTCGAAAATGGGCATGGTATTAGGTTGCCGAAGCTGTGGAGGGGGACAACAAAATCACGGGATGGCTAGAGTATGTACTGACCAAATAAACAAGACATAGTACGTTTCTGTAGGAGCTTATAGCAAGTATTAATATATAATGTCCCCCGATCACCTATAATATGGTTGGCAATGCAAAAAATAACATTTCATTTGGTTCGTTGTGTAACTCAAATCACGTGATACCCCTTTTTACCCCTTTATCATCACGTTTCGATCAAATCTTTCCAGCAGGTTTGTCATCCCCTTCTATCACACCCTATAGGAGCTCGGCATCAATCATGTCCCACCACCAGTTCCCATCTTATCTTACCCCACCACACCAGCTCCCAGCTGCATACCAGGTTTGTTTTGAGATAGACGTTACTTCAAGAGCCTCATGCATTATTTACTTACTTAACCCTTGTCGCTACATAGCCTCGAACTATCTTGCTCCGCGGGTTTCAAAATGGACCAAAGGGGCAGCTGATCGAAGATGCCGCGTGTCCCTCCCTGCTTGCAAATTATATCGCGTTGCATCCCGTCGCAAACACTGGTGTCTACAGGTACCTGAAATCGGATACTCACGCAGGAATGAATTATTCTCATTAGACGTCGCACCGAAGCGGCACGGTGAGTACCCTCGGCTGTTCACATAGCTCCGCCAGGTGGTTCGCTGGCGTTCCGCACCGTTGAGAGGCGTCAAGGTGTGACAAGATCTGCACCTGAACGAGTGTTGGTGTGGGACAAGGATCTGAACCTAGGCGTGAGCTGACGTGGGACAAAGATGCTGCAGTTAAGTCTTGAGTCGGAGCTTTCCTTCTTGTTTTAGTAGTCTTGCTGATATTTTCCGATATATTGACTCGAATGTGGGCTGAGAGTTGACAAATAGATGTAGGATACCGAGGTAAGGCATGTGGTGATCCGAATTCCAATTACCACTTTCAATGGGTGGACGCGTGGCAGTGTCAGGCTGGACTGTAAGATAGATGACCTTGAAACCAAGAATCCCAAGTTGACTTTCGGTTTGGTTTGTAGGGTCGCGTTGGAATCTGATTACAATTCTGGGAGGATTTTACGTCGGGGATCACAATCAACTCGTAGCATCTATGGTGGATTGGTTTATTGTGCGGGAAACTTCCAAATCGCAGAGATAGATAATTGTTGCAAAGGACTTGTCTAATCCACCGGTAAAAATAACATAATAATATATGGCGCTCTCAAAATCCATCAGCTGCCCTAAACCTTGTCAAATGCATGCCCTCCAGCTGCCCTGTCGATTGCTATACTCTCTCCAAGCCCGCAAACTTCGAATATAGTCATTGGAGAGACAGAGTTCCCTGTTAACCCAATACTCTTGAGTCTCTCCAGCGTATTTTTGATTGCCTCATATGCTGGCGCCAGACAGGCAAACGAGAATATAATAATTCTGTAGCCCATCTGCTCAGCTTCCGCTGCCGAGATCAATGGAGAAACGCCGTTTTCGACGCTATTGTAGCACATTGGCCACGACGCTAGCTCTCTGACAGCCTGTGCCGCCTGCTCTTTGTTTTGAACGCCCTCCAGAATTCCCATATCGGCACCGAGGTCTCTGGCCTGGCGGAGGCGCTCCAATGCTGCTTCACATCCGCGGCTCTGGAGTGCATCTGTGCGTGCGATGATGACGATGTCAGAACGAAGTTGCTTCCGCATGTACACACAGGCTTTGATACGGCTGGCATATTCCTCAATATCCACCACTTCCTTGCCAGCTAAATGCCCACATCTCTTCTGTGCCACTTGGTCTTCAATATGGAATCCTGCAACCCCAGCAAGGTGGTATTGTTGCAAAGACTTTGCAACCATAAGAGGTCCGCCATAGCCGGTGTCCATGTCTGCAATTATGGGAGCTCCATTTGGGGCTAGATTCGCTATCATCTCGGCATTTGTTCTCATATCGTGAAGTTGAGCGAGGCCAAGATCAGCAGCTCCCAACCGACTAGCAGTAGTCCCCGCACCAGCATGTAAAGCCCTTCGAAGCCAAGTGACAGGGCGATACGTGCTGACAGCCCGTCGTAAACCCCGGGACAGACTATAATCTTGGCATTGTTTGCAAGGAGCTTGCGGAGACGGGTTGATCCAGGCAATATATCCGTGAGTTGTATGTCATTATCAGCTTCGGCCGCAACCATGGAAGTGGAGATACTTGATAGTTCGCCATTAGAGCAGTTATTGACCGAGGGTTCTTTAACATCGGTCTCTAGAATGAGATCATGGTGAATTTCATCATCTGACGGGGTCAAAAGCTCTTCTGATTCAACTTCAGCTCTTTTCTCGATATTTGTGCGAGTGGTAATATCTGCAACATGGACTGTAAAGTCTTGATCTTGTATATGAACTCTTGTAGTCCGTATTTTATCCGTAGTGAACCCAAGCGGCTGCCAAATCTCTATTTCGTAGTTGCCATATTGTTCGAGGTTACTTCTTGAAGCGATCATGTCGCCGGAACACTTGATAAAAGACCGAGGGAGTACAGGTGGTTGCTCACAAATTTTGCGAAGGGCGAGAGCTCTATCAAATATTTTAAATCACACCACTGCAACTTGGCACGTGGTATTTAATTATAAACTGAGATCAAAAACAAAATTTGAGACATTCTTATGTATCATTCATCATGAAGTTTATGAGAAGCATGAACATCTCTACTGATCTGGAGAGGCTTGCGTGGCCCGCCGAGCTAATTCATTTGTATCACATTCGGTTCGTGACTGAGCAACTTTTCTCAACGGATAGCGGTTTGAGCGCCGGGTATCTAGACTATCGGCACAGCGCAATGAGATCTTGTAGCCACGATCTGATCTTAGATGACGACCGCCCCCTGCATTCCGTTTCAGATATATCATTTTTGAGAGATGTACGAGGTTAGTGACAGCAAGGAAAGGGTTTCGACATATAAATTAAACATACAGCTATCTGGATTGCTACATGTAATGCGGATACGGCCTTTTGTAGGACAAGGGACACTTAAGCAAGCGGCAATAGAGCATGGCACAACAGGGGGAAACATAACAGAGTAGTGTTGGGCTTTTTTTTCACCGCCAATTCACTTCTATCCGGATTACTGAGACGCATACCATGTATTAAAATCTCAATTTTCCACTTCCGCGGACATTGCTTGCGGGACCATTCTTCTTTACCTTATACTTGTAGTTGATTTTAGTGTCATTGCGTTAAAGCTTCTATTTTATTTGTTTTGCTAGTATGTCTTTCTCACACTTTTGAAAGCTATTTAACGGGATACCGAGCAACATTTGGCATGGCAACTTGAGAAAGATCAATTTCTTGTGAAAGTGTATAATTTGCTTGATTAACGCCTTTGTAGTGTCGGCCTAGTGTAGGGTGTGAATTTACCTAGGCGCTATTCTGAAGCTGAAACTTCCTCCCATATGAGACTGTGCTAGTATACCCAATTACTTTCTGCAGCTGCCACGCATTTATTTCTTTCGAATGCCTATAATTCCTGCAAATATTGGAAGCGACGAGAAAAGGTTGTGTATTTCGTTTCATTCGGGGCCTCAACCACGCAATGTGGAAACCATATCACCGACCGCTTGCTTCAACTTTGTTTGAAGGAAAATATCCAGTGCTGAATAAATTCCTGCGTTGCGTGCTTCATCTTCTTTGCTTGTGCAATATCTCTCTGCATATTTTTCAACTAAAGCCCTTACTTTGCGGAGCTCGTTGACCACAAGCTGTATTATCATCCTCTGGTCGTCTTCAGCGTCTATCTTATACGCGCCCACTGTAATCGGTGTAGCACGGAGATTGTCTGGCCGTAATGTATTACCAGGTTCGGCACGAACGTTGGATGTAGCTCGAATAATTGCCTCATAGCAGACTAGGATATTGTGAATGATTAATGCAATTGTAAGAGCATACTGAGGACCGAGCGAGCAAGGACATCCAAGTAGAGAACGGACGTTTTCAATTGCCGACCTGTTGTTTATGAGAACTTGGTCTATCGAAGAAATGGGGTGAAACTGATTTTCATTAGGTGTGGCTGACACCCCGCAAGTGCTCGAGTCTAGGCGCAGGAGTTGAATCGTTGACGACGCTAGAGTTGTACAGTCATGAGTTTGGAATAGGGGCTGATGGTTTGGTTTCAATGTTTGACCTGTTGACTCATCAAGGGAAGTAAAAGTGTCATTGGACTTTGATGGTCTGAGGTCCATGCAGATATCGTCAAACATAAACATGTCGTCCGTTGAAGTTCTTGGAGCTAATAGATCTGACTTTGCGTCGTCTAAAAACTTGAGGTCATGGTCAAACAGGCTCATTGGTGCTATGGATGCATCGTTGCTGCTATTCGTGCTGGAACCTGGCGAATAAAACGATGCAGTCCGCCACTGTGTTGGAATAAAATCATCTGAGTCCATAAAATAGGCCTCCAAGTTTAATGGCGCAAGGTTGCTCCGAGGAATAGAATCAGATTCCCACTTTTGGATACTAAGTAGAGAAGCTCTGATCTCGTTTATAGCTGGTACAGTCTTTGATTTTGTTGATTTGATGCCATTCGCATCCCTTGACGCTGGAGGCTTTCCCATCCTCCGCGATGCGCTGTAATTGCACTTAACCTCTATACTTCGGCAACGGAGGCATGACGGTCTTTCTTGGTTGCATTTAATTTTTGATGCAGAGCAAGCATCGCAGGATGATCTCAACTTTTTTTGAGTTGGAGCCCGAGGTGCTGTTTTGGGCGTCAAAGCCCTCTGAGATCCATCAGTTGACATTGTTCAGAATTAGAGAAGTAACGAGGGTAGATAGATTCTTTGGCAAACCCAAGCAGAAATTAAAGGATCCGAAGTAAGTAAATCTAGTTGTACCGGAAATAGAGTCCTTCATATTCATATTTACTACAATAACCGGAGGTGGCAAGGTGGTCATCAACAACCTAATGGAAGTAACCCCTTATGGAGTGGCATTTGCACTTTGACTGCTCGGCCGAATTATACCATGGCACATAACCATTCTCAGGCCCAAGTCTCAGGTAAGCAATAGACATAATCGACGAGCAAAATCTCTTCTATTGGCTCTTCATTGGTTCACAAACCCATCAAGATTCAAAATTCGAATACTATGGTCAGACGCTCTAAAATACTGAGTCTACAGACCTCAGAGTGAGGGACTCGAGTAAACATGGTGAGTACATTAATATGAATACAATGCTAGTGTGCTGGATATAGCACGCCACTACTACATCTTACATTTTTAAATTACCAGGAGAAGCCATCGAAGAGATATTTGGCCAAACTATATGTCCCATGGCCTTTGCATCTGTGAAATTCTGTAAATAGAATCAATTCACCAATTTTGTTTTGAAAAGAGCTAACAGCGGTGGTAAGTGGAATAACATATCATTCTCACTCCTTATATCCTAGACACTTAGGGGGCAGCAATCTGAATTTAGGGACATCTTAATACATTGCACTTGAGCTGACAAGTCCCACACCAAGTCACTGTCAAGGATGCCTACTATTGTGATACGTAGTAGTGTCACCCAATCGCCCCCTCCGCAGTTTTGCCTGACTTTGCCAAGTTATTGAGTCTACAGTATGATATGGCGGTCGAAACCAGAGTAATACTTACAAAGCTGTACTAGATCCCTCGGCCGTCCACTGGTACACAAGCGGGCAAATACCCCTCTTTATACCAGATTTGAAAAACAGTATCTACAATTCTTTATTGGAACGACAGGTAACCTACTATGTAGCGTTGCTCAAATATTGGTTTCATAATAATACAAGCCGTACATCGCCAAACTGGGTTTCTCAGCCTCGTGGCTCGTGGTGGTATCGTGTGCTATCTGAACCTCCCATGCCTTCCAACCGATGGATTCTGTATGACTTTCCGCACTCAAATACTAAATACAGCATATAAAGTGGAGGATTCTAATATATGATACTAATCTCATATTTTAGAAGAAGTTCATAGCCCTTTTCTCAGACTGCCAACGTTGCCGTAGCGCCGCAATAATAGTGCAACAATCTCATTAATGAATCGACTTGTTGGACAACATAGCAGATTATGGTTGCATTGTCGCAGCTGTTTTCGGGAATATCGATGACTTTGCTGGAATGAATCCGGTTCCTTACTACATCACCAAGATCATACGTTTAGACATTGGAAGGCACCACTTTAAAACCACTGGCTCGCAGACTTTGGTATATCAACGATTTTATTATTCCTACATAGATCAATCATCATATAACAAAAACTCCATGAAACTCCATAAATGCCCAATAAGCCGAGTTCGCAATTCGTAAATCCAGATTCGCGTTCCCCATGCATCGAATCACCTCCGAATATGATTTTCCTCTTCGCTTTCTACATCGATGCCACGCTGTGCAACAGAACGAAAGGCTTTTGAGATGGAATAAATTATCATTCTATCGACTACGGGATGTCAAATAGAGGCTTAAGTTTTTTGATCAGCATCCATTCGTCGTTCGTCACATCGGTTCGGTAGAATTCCTTCAGTGTATCGATCGACTTCCTTGAAATGAGAGAGTACAAGGTATCTTTCTCCTCAAGGTGGCGGCCATACGTTGGCTGATGAGATCCCATTTCAATTTTGACCGCCACTGATGGTTCGCCCTTCTTACACCTCGGCAGGTGCTTGTGATCACGTTCGATACCCGTACTATTATTAAATTAGTCTTATACCCCAAACATTGTGGAAATTAACTTACACTCTGCCAACACTGATGATCTCTTTAGCACCAGTGATAGCGTTTGTCCTAACAGCTGCAATGGGAGTATCAAGTTTAAGCTGGCCCTCAATAACGTCAACGCCGACGATAATCGGGCCAGTTTTGTTGAAGACAGCAACCGTCGAAAGTACGCAAGGGAAGACCGCCATGAGTCTTGATTCTTCCTTCCTCTTCTCGATAATTGCCTCCATGTGTTTGGTGAACTGGTCGAAAAGATGGTAAATGATGTCGGCTGTGAAAATCTTAATTCCCTGTTCTTCTGCGTAAAGCTGAGCTTCTTTGTCAATCTTGACATCGAAGCAAAGCATGACAGCATGTTCTTTCGACTTCTCCAACATGGTACCGCACTGCATAACATCGCGCTTGAATACTGGGCCAATACCCACATTGGCGACTGGGATCTTGGATACGCGGAGGAAATCAAGAAGGGCCTCGAGGGAACCGAGAGTGGAAGCCTGGACGCTAACACCGCGGCCTGTCTTCTCGATTCTCTTCATGAGGTTGCTAACGTCAGACCATACCTCTTCTTCGAGATCGGATTCATCATCATCAGGTCCCACAACCATCAACCTAGAACCTGCAATTGCACCTTCGAGATCCGGAGCGCTGATCTTTACACCAAGTGCTGCCTTCACCTCCTTATTGTGAACATAAGCCGATTTCAATCGAAGCTCTTTCATAGGAGCAGGTGTCAATAGCGCACGGATGTTAGTCTTAATAACACCGTTGATGCCGCAAATTAAAATCCTGTCTCCTTCACGGAGGATACCGTTGGAAAGGATAACATCGATCGTCATACCAAAGCCCTCAATAGCCTTGACTTCAAGAACAGTGCACTGAACCTCGGAGAGATACATCAAACTACCAACCATTCTTTCTTGAGTGAGCTGGAGAATGAGCTTGAGCATATCGGGGATACCTTCTCCAGTATGCGCTGAAGTTGGAATGAGGGAAACGTATTTTGCCATCGACTTGTTTTCGTAGAAGAGCTCCGAGTTGAATCCTTGCTCGGCGAATGCTGTCTTGGTATCGGCCAGCCTCTTCTGGAATTCGTTCTGAACGCCCTTGTTCTGGAGTTCGTACGATTCCCGGAAGCCGTTGTTTTCAACCTTCTTCCACCCGTACAGACGATCGATTTTATTGAGCGCAACAATAAATGGCGTCTTTCTATCTCGGAGCAGTTTCATGGACTCCAGTGTTTGAGGCTCCAGGCCGTGCATAATATCGACCACTAGGATGGCAATATTGCAAAGCGAAGATCCACGGGAGCGGAGGTTAGAGAAAGACTCGTGACCAGGAGTGTCGATAACCAAGAGGCCAGGAACTTTGAATTCAAAGGCACCATCCCTGTTGACAACCATTGTCTTCTTCTTGATAGCTTCGACTGGGAAGTAGGTTGCTCCAATCTGTTGTGTGATACCTCCAGCCTCACCTTCCTGGACATTGGTCTGTCTGATCTTATCCAATAACTTTGTCTTTCCTGTATCGACGTGACCAAGAATACAGCAAATTGGAGACCGCAGGTTGTCCTTAGACCGAGCTGCCAATGCCTCTTGGTGTAGTTTCTCTCTTCGCTCAGCGGCCTCTTTTTTCCTAAGAGCAAGGGCGGCCTCCGCTGCAGTGGCTTCTTCGTCCTCTGAAGATTCTTCTTCCGATGATTCTTCTTCGGATTCTTCCTCGGACTCCTCAGCCGGAGCGGTTTCCTTGGGCCTCGACGGTAGGGATTTGGCATCTATACACATTAGTAATCGTGTTTTATTTACATCTGACAGCCAGGCTTCACTCTCTGCTGTTTTTGGGAACGTACCGGCAGCTGGTTTCTCGGCTGAGGGTGCTTCTTCCTCTTCCGAGTCTGCGTCCCAACTATCTTTAACGTCGTCTTCTTCAGCAGCAGCTACTTCCCAGTCATCTTCAACTTCACTGGCTTCTGCGTCTTTGGCGGCGAGTGCAGCCGCTGCCTCTTTCTCGGCCTTCTCTGCCGCTTTGGCTGCCATACGCTCAGCCTCTGCCTTAGCCCTGACTGCTGCTTCAGCCATGAGGCGTTCTTCTTCAGCCTGGATCTCTGCTGGATTCTTTCTGCCTCCCTTTTTCTTCTTGTTATCATAGACGACCTTCTTCTTCTCTTCTCCGGCCTCCAGTCCTCCAACTTTAACACCAGCATCAATCATTTGCTGCAACTTTTTCTCATTTCTAGCCTTCTCTTCTTTCTGAGCTTTAGTCATAAACTTGCCCTCTTTCTTGAGAAGGTCGATCTTCTCCTTTTCTCTCTGCTTTTTGATAAGCTTAGCTTCTTCGCGGGCCTTTTCTTCTTCAGCTTCGCGTCTCTCTTCCTCCTCGATGCGTTCTCTCTCCTCGGCAACAGCCCGCGCCTTCTCCTCCTCGCGACGTCTTAACTCCTCTTGTTGCTTTTGTAACCTGGCCAATGCCGGGGTCAGCTTCTTGCCTTTGGTGGCAGCGGGCTCGGGCATCTCGGTCTTTGTTTCGGCAACGGGTTTTACTTCTTCGACAGCCTTTGCAGCTGGTGCGGCGGTCTTCTTTTTTGCGGCCTAGAGTTTCACTTGTATTAGTAGTAATTCTATCAATTTTACCGGTCGTTCTCACCTGCTCCTTCTTTCTTTGCTTCTCGCGTTCCTTCTTTGCCTTTTCCTTTTCCTTCTTTGTCATTACTCGCCCATCCGCACCACGTTCCTCGTCTCCCTCATCCTCTGCCGGCGCACTCTTCTCGGGCCCCTTTGTCTTCGTCTTTGTATTCGGCAGCGAAAATTCGTCATCCATAGTTGCCTCATCAGGTGCCTTGATCGAGGGGTCAAAGGAAGACCCCTCATCAGCGGGCGTTTCTCCGCCGTTTGCGTCGCCAAGCTCATCTGCCGGCTTTCCCTTCGCCTTCTTCTTGTTTCGGTTCTTCTTCATTGCGGCCATAAGGCCGCCAGCAGGGAATTCGTCTTCGCCCGCCTCTGTGCCCGCGTTCGGGGCGGCATCCTCAACATGCGGGGCAGTTTCGCCCAAATCCGCCTCCCAGTCGTCGCCACCCTTCTTGTTGGTCTTCTTTTTGGGAGGCATATTGGCCGCTCTATCGGTTTAAATTTACGTCCACGGAGACGATAGAAGAGGCCCTGGCTAATCAAGTTTGCTTCGCAAAATGAATTAGTGAGTCCGAAGAGATTCAGTAACGAAGTGGTTGTGTTTGGTGGGGCAAGGCTTGGCAGTAGACAAAAATTGTCCAGGGTGGCATGGCAAGATAAGCGAATCGACAAAGAAAGACTCCACAGCCCCGGACTTTCCATTTTCCAATCAGGCTGGCGACCACAGAGCCCTAGAATCAGTCGTGTTGGTCGGCATCGCGCCGGCATCGCACTGGTGTAGTACTAAATATCTTCATCTTCAGCCAAGCTATTCTATTATTTATCATTCAATATAATTTACGTCCACGATCAACCTTATTCTACTATAAGTTATGTAATATACTGCAACTAACTTTCAACGACTTTCAATTTGAAAATATCAGAATTAATGCACTGTGAATCGACTTTCTCAAACTTGGCTGATGGTAGATATTCATTCATTAAATCACTCTACTACATCCACCGGTCCAAGGAGTTGCTCAAGAAGCAGATAAACCATCTCCACACTTGTTCTCAGTCGCTCATTGTCTTGCAACCCAAAGTTTTCATCCGGCCAGTAGAGCGCTACCGCACTCACAAGAGCTTCAGCCGAGGTTTTGGTAGACTCTTGCTTCGTAGACGTAGTTTTAGTGAGGAACTCCCCTAAATGACGGAATGTAAGCCATCCCTTCAGAATATCGCCATCGATGTGTCTTTCCCTTGTATCTTCTTGATCAGGTGGAAGCACAACTCCGCCTTCTTCATCTTCGAAATATGCGGGACAGATTTTTGGATCTTGGCAAGCAATATGCTCGAGAATCCCCAGAAGCTTCAGTAGCGATTCATCCACCAACGTGAACCTTATAATGGAGCCGTCAATGCTGATACCAAGGAGACCTTCCTGGTGCTCTCCCCATGGAATGACCCCTGAAACGGCCGTCTGGTTCTGGCTTGTATCCCAGTTATGTCGCGTGGATGCAAGCCGGAATTTTGTTATGCAGGAGGGCATCTCCGCGTCGAAGAGAGTCGTGTATTCTCGTGGAATTGTTTGGCCGGTGGACGTGTTTCGTTGGTAATGAAGGCCCACCACCGAGCAGTCTTTATCGGAAACCAGTAATACCGTTGAATCAGTCCCAGGCTGCGTATCACCTTCGAGGGGGAAGGACATATGATCCAGTCCTGTACGGGAGTCTTCGTCCACATATTGGAGTTGGAATTTCCCGTTATCTTTGTACAGTAAGGTCATAGTAGAATCTTTTGCTGTCAGCACACTCAAGTATTGGCTGTCCCAAGTCATGGAGACAGCATGAGATGGCAGCTGATACTGGGCCAGAGAGACTAATGTCTCTTCGTTGATGTTTATTGCCATTGAGTGCAAGGAATTCCCTGTGCAGCAAAAAAGAATTTCGCCATTAGCCCCGCCTTGAAGAAGTGCGTGTATCGGGTGGTCAAATCGCTGTTCTATGAATATGCGAAACCCCGTTGCTTTAGACTTCTTCGATTTCGATTTCTTCAAATGATGGTCTTGGCGAAGTATAAATATCCCCCCTGAGCTGGTGCCAGATACTATAAATTCTTCCTTGGCGGATAAATCGCTGGCAATGTTCAGCCACCATTGTGTTAAAGATAGAACCCGGTCAGCATGGCGAGGGGACTGCGCATGCTTCAGGGATATGATATCCGTTGCCGCTGCCTCTTTCCCAAGGAACACAATCGATGGTCGTCCATCCACAGTAGCTCCAACAACAAGAGATTCAGTAGTTTGGCAATATAATATCCGTTGGGCAGACCCTGGCAGCTCAATGCTATTTGGAATACCGGTAATTTCGTTGCCTATTTCAATCCCTAATATTCGTTTTCCCGAAATTGCTAGGAATCCTTTGTCAAGTTGGCACACAAAGTCAATCGATGGTTGACGATATATTGACTGCCACCCAGTTAGCATATGTCCACTTTATAAGGGGTGGTTAGTCTTCATACAATTCCCACATCCTGGAATAATATCCTAGTAATTGACGGAAATGAGTTTGAATATCCATTATAAACGATTCGATACAGCTCGGGTCCGCAGCAAAGTAGAGCCGCTGCTGGAAATGCCGGATCTTTGCAAATATTCAGATTTGTTGTTCCCAATTGTCGAGATGTGGCCATCCGTTGTTGGAATTTCCCATCGGAAGATCTAACGTAGTACGCCATTAATAGAACTCCATTTCCATGGCCAGCAAGCAGCAGCCCATATTGATCCGTTGGTGGTATTGCATCAAGGCCACTATCTAACCGAGACAGCATAAGAATGCTAACACACGAATCTATTGGGGCAGGGCTTGTTTCTGACAAAGATCGTTAATGCCTTTCAAAATATCTCCAATGGCGGAGGTAAGTAAAACTTACGATGTGAGTTAGAAAGAATAAATTCAGATCGTCCATCCGGTATAATACCGAGGGAGGTATCAAACTGATAAATGCCTAAAGTGTTTACGTCGTTCGGGGCGTTCGAATGGTGTGACAAGTCGTGGTCTCGATAGGCATTGATTGGACCATGCCCTATGGCTACAGATTCCGCCTTATCTGCAAATGACAGAAATGTAATATAAGAGCCAACAGAAATGGATGATCCCATCTTAATCAAAGGGGGTTTATGGGATAATTTGGGCTGTGTCCCAAATGGCTCGAATGTTGCAACCCTAAACGCATCGATGCGAAATCCACCGTTCTCTGTCTGAAAAGCAATGCAGACTAGTTCGTTCTGATAAATAGAAGCCGCTATAACAAGTTCATCAGGCTTGAATGCCTTTGAGTAGGCTGTGGTTGAGGAGCTGCCAGATGTTAATCTCAAGATCTTGAAACTTCAAATATAGGAATTTACTAGCCAAAAAAAAACTTACTTGGCCGTCCTGTTGGATATTCGGATATAACGTTCCGTAATCTGAGTAACGAAGCCCCTTGCCGAAGAAGCATCAAACGTACGCGAACTTAGGTCAAGCCACGTCGATTCAACTTCGGTTACTCCTGTTATTCCGCTGCCATGGTTCTCTAGCATAAGCAATATCGATCCATTGCCAGCTGACAACAAGAGCAGCAAAGAGCTAGAAAGAAACTGGTCTTTTTGCGAGGATGCTGTTGGGAGCCAGGGGAGAGTCCAGGCGCCAGTAATCACACTGTTCAGTTCGTCAAGCTCCATCCAAATCTCAGCACCAATGCCGCGATTGATTTCTGAGACGGTTCCATAGGGACCTCTTCCTGTACATCCAAATATCTGCACTGGGTTCGAAAATGTTTGATGACTTGCCTTCAAATGCGGATGTTGTTCTAGGGAAAGCAGCGATTGGCTGCTGGGGATTGTCACAAAATCATTCAATGGAGTCCAATTCTGAAGAGTTGCAAAAAGTTTGGCTGGCTGTCTTGCTTGTACCTGTTTTTGTGAGCGAAGTCTATGAAGTTAATTGCCAGGAACTTACCCAATACAAGCCGCCTGGGCATGAATCTCCGCCAACCAGGAGAATATCGCCAAAGACACCGTCTGGTCCAGGAAATTTCGAATCAAGACTAGTGAACGCTGTGCCGATGTTGCAAGTGATTCCCCCGATATTCATGCCAGTGCACAAAAATTCATCGAAGTTGTTTTCCAAGTATTTAACCAAGCCATCTTCTCTTGCAATATAGATATCATCATTGGTTGAAGCGTATTTTTGGGTGCGGACTGGTCTTGTCCATGAAGTCCAAAGAGGGGCATTCCGTCCTTTGTGAATAGGGCTAGGCTCATCGTGGCCAAGATGGCTTTGATGACATTGCGGGCTTCCCTCCAGCAACCCTTCACAAACTGCCACACTCTCCTCGCAGACAAGAACGAATGCAGACTTGATAGTCAAAGGTATCAATAAAACCGGTGTGCGATAGCATTCGTTAAGCAAGTGGCCCTTCTTATAGTTCTGCCGTATTGCACTCAAAGGTTGTCCACAAATCCACTCATAAACGTGCATTCTCGTTTTACCATTGCGTGATATGAGAAGGAGGAGGATCATATGGTCCGGGTCCTTGAATGAAGGAAATAAAAACTCAATCTTCAAGATGACACCCTTCACTTGGAGGGATCGCTCCTCTCGTATACAAGACAGCGGTTGTCCGGATATATATTGAGCCTCCATTTCTTCCCGGGACTTGAGAGAGTAGATCGAAATAACGTTTTCAGAGCAACCAAGAGCCAGATACCTCGAGCTTGGATCAGCTGTTAGATGTGCGCCAAGGTTCTCACCAAGTAATGGTTTTGCTATATTGTGCCGACTCAGAATTGGTTGGATGAGTGCATCAGGCCCAAAGTCGGGCGCGCAAAGAAACATCAAGTCTCCAGCTTCCAAAACAAAAACAATCATTTGGGGTCCGAGACGATAATTCCCTCGATTGTCAGGTTCAAACATGCTGAGGTCTGAAGAGTCACCAGCTACTAGAGATGAATCGTCGTAATTCATAGAGGAATCGGATTCACCATGGCTGCTTGAGTCAACATTTAGCTCGCCACGCAATCCCCCCCTTTGGCCCCCTCCTTGGGGTTCGCTGTATTCGTCGGACACGCCGGATTTTGGTTTCCTCGAGAACTCTTTGATACTGCCATCCTGCTTCGGAGCCGAGGGGCTCCATTTTATAGAGCCTAAAACTCGTGCGTTACGGATGCGAGATCCTAAATTGGCAACCCGGCCTACTTCAGATAGTTGTCCCGATTTTACCAGCCTCTTGACTTGGAGTAAATTATCCTGCATGTATGTTAGTTTGTATAAATGAGCCATGGAAAATAGTATCGAAATAATATGCGTAATGTCAAAGGACGACAAATACACTCCTCATCGATAAAGGCAGTCAAATGACGATAAAAATTAAGGTGGTAATAGTGAGAAAAGTCAACGCACCCCGATGAATACGACGTCATGGTCTTCGACGTTCCCCAACCTCGCTGGCAATATCCAATTGCTGTTTGGGCTATCTATTACCGTCTGCGTCAGCAAGCCGACTTTTGGCGGCTTGTTGAATTCTAATTTGACTCCCTCCTGAGCTGAGTTGCCTGAAAGTATAGTCTCAATGTCGACTTCGCGCTCCCTGAATCGTCCATCCACCCAAGAGGCAGTGGAAATTAACCCTTCCATGGTTGATTGTGATGAGGTCACTAGTCAGCTGGTGACGGGGCTATAGCATAGCAGAGTTTCAATCCAGCCTCATGTAATGACAGTTGCAGCTCTTTCCTTGCCAGTTCTGTGCGCCATTCATCTTTCACCTGCCGTCGTACGGAAGATGTCACAATTGTTTCCCATCTCATGAAAATCGATTCCGAAGACTCCGTTCCAAGCGACAAATGTGTAGACTTCCATAGAAGGCTCCAACATCTGTCAGAATGAAGGTAGGCCAAAGGTTACCAGGTATGGAGAGGGGTCGTCTGTTACAGTTGTTATGGTGCTGTTGTATTGGGTCCCATGAGCTTGTCACGTGTATATCAGCCTTCTTCGACATTTGCGGCAACGTCCGCTGTATGGGTGGCTCCAAAATGTATAAGGCTGAACCTTGTATTAATGCGACAACTGGCTTCTGCATCACAACACATTAAGATGATAGAAGGTACCTGAAACCAGCTTCCTCCCGCCGGTGTGGCACTGTACTATAATAATTCTACTGGACGCCAGTACCCCAGTCTTTTCCGCCAGCCATCACTGTTTCTTCCTGATGAAACCAAGACGCCAAAGAATTATTCAACACCATGGAGTTGGCTGAAAAGGCAGCTGCCGAGCATCAAACTCTCGTGGAAGACTGTCATATTTCAAGGGCGGCTACAATGGACTCTAACCACGTTCTGCAAAACGATGTCTTCAAGTCTAAACAAATCGATGAAGCCTGCCAATGGAAAGACACCCAGCGGCTGAGGGATCTGGCTTTGTCGGAGGGGGGCTTGGTATCAGACGATATGCGGCGCAAGGCCTGTAAGTCTCTTGTCGAACGATCGCTGAAGATGTGCTAATGATACCGAACAGGGCCAATTCTCCTGGGGTTCTCCGCCGACAAGACCGAGCCCATTGCAGACGACCAACAACGCTGGCAGACATTACCTAGACATGCAGATGAAGACCAGGTTCAACTTGACGTGAACAGAGCCTTCATCTACTACCCTACAGGTAGGCCATTTCAAGACTTCTATCAGCCAATACTCAAATAATAACGATAATATAGACCAAACTGCCAAGCAAATCGACACAAGGAAAGGGGAGCTATCAGACCTTATCACCGAAGTTCTTAGGCGTCAACCATATCTGTGCTATTTCCAGGGATATCATGACATTTGCCAGGTGTTCCTTCTTGTCCTTGGCCACAAAAACTGCTCAGAGGCAGTTTCACGCTTATCAGCACTACACATTCGAGATTTTATGCTCCCGACATTAGCTCCAGCCCTTGCTCAATTACGTCTCATCCCAGGAATTATACGCTCTGTCAATCCGAAGCTATATCAGCACTTGTCCGACACACAACCCTTTTTTGCGCTCTCAGGAACTCTCACAATGTATGCACATGACATACAGGAGTATGGAGACATCGCGCGGCTCTTCGACGTATTTTTAGCACGGGAGTCTATCTTTTCTGTATACATGTTCGCTCAGATCGTGCTGAACCGTTCCGAGGAACTTTTTGATACCCCAGCAGACGAGCCTGAGATGCTGCATTCAATATTGTCTAAACTTCCGAAACCCCTCAACCTAGAGTGGTTGATTTCCGATACAACGAAGCTGCTGGAACAGCATCCGCCGGAGAGTCTTCCCCTATGGTCAAAAATATCACGATCAAGTGTCTTGAAAACAGCAAGATCGCCGGAGCAGGTGGCAAAGCAGAGCCTCAAGGATGGCCAGATCTATTTCGAAAAACAAGTGAAGGAGCTACAATGGGCCGAGCGGCGGGAGAAGATCATACGGCAACTCTGGAAGAACAAGAACCCAGCCATATTAATTGGAGTCGGTGTTATGGTGGGATTGTTGTCGTATCACATGCGGAAGTCCCCAAGCATTTACCACTTGGTATCGGAGCTTTGGAAATGACGTTGTTTAATGAGTATATGAAATAGACCAGCTTATACACTGTAGAGTATGTTCCAAGATATTTGCCGCGTCTCTGGGAGGCATTTGAGCTTTTGTTGGCCATTAACTTCCACAAAAAAACCAGTTCACAAAGTTTGTCAACTCCAGTCACAATTCAAACGGAGTTCCGGACCCATGTCACAATTGCATTAGAAGCTATCCCTGCACACAACCCTGCGTAATTGTAACTTGGTACTGCGCTCAGGCAAATGTTTCATTTCTGATCTCAAATACACGAAGCTTGTGAACAATGTACGAATCCATCTGAACCACCGTCCCTCGCAAACGCCAACCAGACCGTCGCGAGTAGATCACTTTAGCTTCTTCTTTGGGCGGAGCTGGTTGGTGTGGCCGCACTTCTTCTTCCTGCAGTTGGTCGCACGGGGAGGCAGACGGGCCTATATGTCCGTTAGTAACAATCCGAGGGAATATCCAGCCTTTTGACGGTACTGGAGTATTCATGTGGTGTTCTGAGGACGTACGTAGCACTTGCGGCAAATCATCTTGTCGCAGTTGAACTTGGAGGCAAGGGCCTTGAGCGATGGCTCAATAATACCACCACGGAGACGGAGGACAAGGTGGAGAGTCGATTCCTAGAACATTTCTGTTAGCCCTGCAAAAATATCTCCCTGATTGCTGATTCTTGAGGTCCCCTCCATGCTCAATTCTTTCCACCACAGTTTCGATGCATTGGACCTCTCGAATTTCATAATATCTTCCTGATATGATTCGCGTACCTTCTGGATGTTGTAGTCGGAAAGAGTGCGTCCATCCTCGAGCTGCTTGCCAGCAAAGATCAGGCGCTGCTGGTCCGGAGGAATTCCCTCCTTGTCTTGGATCTTCGACTTGACATTGTCGATAGTATCGGAGGACTCGACCTCAAGGGTGATGGTCTTGCCCGTCAAGGTCTTGACGAAGCTGTAGATGCAAAGTTAGTGGTCTGGCCAAGGATGTTCGCGGATCGGTAATGGAGTATTTCGGTATTCAGTGCGACTGGGTAGCTTACATCTGCACTACACAGGAATTAGTCGTTAGCAAAGGTTCAACAGAGAGATACTGCGTCTATAGCAGCCAAGGGAGCAACATACTGATGGCGGTGGTCTACGTCGTTGTCGATGTTGTTCTCTCTCGAGTCGTTCTTTCAAGTGGGGCGAAAACGAAGTTCAACATTCAACATGTGTGCCCTAAAACACTAAGCGATGGCAAGATAGTCCGAACCATCACGTGATATTACCTCAGGTACGTCTACCAATTTTGAACCCCACTCCACATCAACCACAGTGTCTATTGAAAGCGATAATAATGGATCACCATAGTAAAACTGCGGCCCATATATATAATTTACGCCATCAAGTTACTTTCTCCATGAAATTCTTCGTCATATATGTTTCCATAATTTACCAGGTAACTACAGATGAACGGCATACCCCAGAGATGATATGTGATGCCTATTCTTCAGGCTAGATTATGTGCTGGAGCCTACAAGAAATAGATCGATATAATATGTGCATTCTATTAATTGAGACCCAAAGAAGTCATAACTTCGTTCTCTTCGTTACAGTCTATGTTACAGTCTATATGGCAACCAACCCAGACTCCCTTGCCGCTAATTTCGCCATCATCACTATTGCCACAAATTCCAACTCCAAATATCCGACGCCTTGGGGATCCGGTAAACAGTCACCCATACTGCATCTAATCTTAGAGCCATTTCTCAATGCTCTACTTCTAGTCTTTCCTCTCCAGAGGCTATATCATGTAATCTTTGTTCTAGCGAATACACAGTTCTGATCAGAATATCCACAGTCGTGCCAGCGTTCTCAGCTACTCAATATTTGTTAGCATGTGATATGTAAAGAATACACCCTCAAGGAGGATGCCTACCAGTCTTTGCCACAAACGCCCTTTCGTTCTCAGAAAGGTCGCCGTCCCTCTGCCACCGTTTATAGAAAGCGCCGGGCCTGTTGATCGTAGCAACGTACTGCTCGTCATTTGTAGATATAGGCTTTTGAACTTTTAGCCTGCTTTGGACACGGCCCAGACGCTCAGACACGGACATTGCTATTTCTTGGTTCGTTCCAAGTAGGTTTGGTGAGTCCTCAATGGGAAATAGGTCAAGAATTTGCTGGGACACTACAAAATCAGCGAAGCTCTCTCTGGTTCCGTGAGCTGTGACTGGAAACCTTACCTTTACTGTCCCTTTCACCTGACCAGGTTTGATTGTACCAATCCAAATAGCGGTCCAACATATCACCACTCATGTTGAACACATCGGCCTCTGTGACTTTAGCTTCCTGGCCTGGAGTCGCATCACCGCCTTCCGCCGCCATGCCACTCCAGCCATCCCAATCAACCCTCAGTGCACTCGGGTCTTTGAGACTCTCTGGAGTTCGTATCATATTGTCGAAGGGTTGCAAGAGTTTGGTTGATATCACGACCAAAGCAGCAACTTGCAATTCGGGGTATTCGCTCAGTTTGTGCCTTGATAATGTCTTTGGGTATTGAAACCTTATTCCCAGAGCTTCAGCCAGGTGGCAACAAGACCCGTAAATTTCCACTTCCTTTTGGTAAGCAAGGTGTGTTCGTCATGCTGGATGACTGGAGCAACTTACAAGGCAGACAAAGGTCCTTCACAAACCGGAATATTATCAGAGGTGTATTTAATGGCGGGAATAAGATGTTGAAGTTGGTCGTGAAGTTAACCATTAGCTCACCAATACATTGCTGCAAGCGGCCTCTCCTCAGAGATGATCTGGTCTCCAGAGCAGAATAGTATTTTGGTGGCAGATGAGACTTCATGTCAGCTGGGATATCTCGAATCTGGAATCAATTAGCATTTTTGTGCACGTGCAACAGACGACTGCTAAAGAATATTGGATAACGCACCACTCGAAAGTAAGGGATCTCATGTTGTTCAGCCCATTTCTGGAGATCTCCCACTGAGACTGGGAGTCTCAGAAGTAGTATTGCCATATAACATAGAGCCAAGCTCTCGATAAGCTTTGGCAGACCCTTTTCTCTTGCAATCTTCCGATGCCGCCTGCTCATTTCCATCCCAACACCATCATCTTCTCCTTCTGTCTCCCCCTCACTTGTTGAACTAAACCCATACCCGTCCCTCGCACCCCTTTCATCTTCTCCTATGCCCCTAATATTCCTTATCCTCACTGCCCATAAATCTCGGATAACGGTCTCAAGTTCAGGTGGCATTCCTCTCGCGCTGATGAGCCACATGGCCTGCTTCCTCAACACCACCTGCCAGCATTGTGCATAAAGCTTAATGGCTTCGATTCCATCATAAACTATGCCAGTTGCTGCTGCCTCCTTTCGCCTTTTTCTTGTTTTTCTGCCCTCGGTGTTGAAGTCATCTTCATCTGCTGCAACCTGTGTAAAACCTTCCTGGACGTGCCCATGAGACTTGCAAACGCGTTTACCGTCCTGGATATAGTAATACCGTGACCGACACCCAGTTGTTGTGCAAGTCTCGCCCTTTGAGAACTTGTGGAAGTCGATGCTCGAATCCATGATTGCTGCCCCACTACGTAGGAAACATTTCAATACTATCCCAACATTTAGCTCCAGTTCCCACGTGCCGAATCACATGAATGGTCGCAACTTCCTTCCACGAATAAACTTTTTGTAACTAGGCAAAGGTCTGAGAAATTATTGCATTATTATACGAGCAGTGTGTTTGGCTACTCAAGGCTGGTAATTTCTACATTGCTGCCACACAATTCCTACTCTTCGACTTCAATTTAATAACACGTATAGGAAAATTATGGCAGTTTGTCACATGGATTTTAGTAGAGGGACTGTTATTTTATTTTTTGGCTATCTACACGATAACTATCATCGCGTTCGTTACAGTCATTGTTGCAAGCTTGGTAGTCGTAGTCGCGACGTGTTGCGACTCGCTAGCGACAGACTTCACTGACTGTAGAACCCGATGAATGTACCAGTAGAATAGGAAGGCAAAGCGATGCGAACAACCACCAAGTTGCCTTTACAACATGACGATCACAAAAATGTAGCCAGGCGGATGCCTGACTGGCTAGTTATGCCAAGCCGATGAGGGGTAACGAGCCATGATATGGAAGAAGGCTATTCCGTACAGGCCCGGAGATTCATGTCTTAACTTAAACCTCCTTCGCATCGATACAGGCATTCTCGCCCATGGCGGAAATGATAATAACGACTAGATACTGTATTAGCGATACGATCTCCTGTTGCCATAGTTTTAAAAAACTTACCGCCCGACTTCTCATCGTCTCCATCGAGCTCAAGGAGCTTGTTGATGACCTCGAGTCTCTTATCGTCACCGGAAATTGGCTCAGGCATCTTGATATCATCCCTGGTAGTTCCGGCAGCCTCATCGTACAGGTTAAGGAAACCATCGTCGAGACCGAGCTATATGACATTAGCGTTCTGCACCTGCATTTATCGGTTATTTGTGACTTACGAAAGCGTATTCCTTGCGCGTAACGTTGGGGACATCCATGTTGTGGGTGGATGGGGAAAGATCCTCCAACTTCTTCTTGGTGAAGATGTCTTCAGCGATGAGATGAACCTTGGCGTGTCCATGCTTTCCGGTCTTGGAGGTCGACATGTCGATGATCTTGCAAGGACGGTTCTTGATGAGAACGTGTCCACCCTTCCTCAAGGCAGAACACTGCATGGGGTAGGTCAAAGACGCACCCGCATCGGCAGAGTCGATGGTGTAATCTTGCTGTAAAAAAGTTAGTATTGATGATGGGCGCAAGTTCCACCGATTGTCATATGGATTGAAAGCACTAGACTGATGGCGGGGGAAGTGCGGGGGCTTCTTGGAAAACTGCTTACAGATTCGGCGTCCGCCATTTTGGCTGAAATGTAAAGTTAAAATGGGGGTTGTTAGAAGGTTGCGACTGTCGCGAATCTGGAATATGCTCCAGGAGAGAATTTGAGACGAATAGAGGGGCGAGGCGTAGTGGGAGTAGAAATAGAAAACCGACTTGGTGGTGAGTTGTGGGATCTAACGAGTTTAGACCCGCACTAGTTCGCCAATTTCTTAGGTAAGCTTATGAGCCAATAAGATGGAACCGTTTCGGCTCGGTGTGACCATGCGGCCATTGGAACACACCATGGGGAACGCCGACAGGAGTTATTGGCGAGACATTGTACGTACAGACAACATTTTGGCTCTTCAACATTTAGTCACTCGGTAATTGAAAGAACGAAGGGGTCTTTGTAGATGCCTCCGAAGAGTCACTGAGATGTGGCTCGACAGGCTGTCTGGGACTTCCACTCCAGCACCTCGCCCCAACGCGTCCTCCACTCCCCAATCGCGATCGTACTCTCCCGCCCCAAGGAAAACGAGCCGCCTTCTACCCCAAACTGGGCCTCAACGTCCAAATTTTTCTCCACGGTCTTCGTCTTTGTCTGCTGTTTCCAATGATTCTTCAACGTCATTGCTAGGGAATTCTCGGAAACCCACGGACAGCTCCAATTCGAATTTGAGAAACACAACTCTCACTTACTCGGATCCAATCCAGGTCCTTGACAAGCTTCTGGACATTGACCTGGGAAGCTTGCCGGTCGCCCACAAGGATGAAATATGGGACAACTATGAATTACTGGGCGATGTTGACTTCACTGGGTTGGCACTGCATGAATTCGTTCAAGAGGACGACGTGAACAAGGCAGAAGTGTCAGAGGCAGCGACAGCTGCAAAATGTTAGTGTTCTGCAATTGACAATATGGATTTCCATGCTAACCAAGGAAACACAGATGAGATCGATAAAGCTAGATTCGAAGACCTCCATCAATCCATCCGCGCGTGCAACGACATTCTTAATTCGGTTGAACTGAACTTGACAAGCTTTCAAAATGACCTGGGTGACGTTTCTGCGGAGATCGAAACATTGCGAGCAAGGTCAACGACGCTAAGCTCCAGGCTCGAAAACCGAAAGGTTGTAGAACTTGGATTAACACCAGTTGTTGAAGATATCACTGTTTCGCAAACCATTGTGAAAACGATATCAGAAGGCGACATTGATGAGTCGTGGATTGTTGCCCTGAATGTGGTTGGAAAGTGGTCAAAGGCATTAAACGCCAAGGCAATTGAGGCACACAATATAAAGAGTGTTACTGATTTGAAGCCCTTGCGTGACCAGCTTGTTAATATTGTGAGTAAATCAAGTCGTCATTTTATGTGAGCTCTATGTTGACCCCAGGACACAGGCCATCGAAAGGATCCGGGACTTCCTAGTCGCCCAGATTAAGGCTCTACGATCACCGAACATAAACGCTCAGATCGTTCAGCAACGTCACTTTATCCGATATAAAGATCTGTTTTCATTTCTATGGAATCATCATCAGACCTTGGCCGAAGAGATTGGTCAGGCTTACATGAACACTATGAGATGGTACTATTTGAATCACTTTACTCGATATGAGAGGGCGCTCTCAAAAGTTAAAATACATGCAATAGACAAGCATGATGTACTTGGGAATGAAGACAGTCCACGCAAGAGCACGCTGCTTACCTCGTCAAAGGCAACTGGTCCGCCGCATGATGCCTTCAGCCTGGGACGACGCAACGACATCCTCACGACATCGAACCAATCGGCTTTACCCAGCCATTTAGCAGAAGAAGACACGGCAACTCATTACCTCGAGTTCCCATTTCGCAACTTCAACCTGGCTCTCATTGACAACATTTGTGCCGAGTACTCGTTTCTCACCACTTTTTTCTCGCCCTCTCTTTCATTCCAAACCATAGCGCGCTACTTCAACTACATCTTCTCGCCCACATTTGAACTTGGTCACACTTTGACGAAGAGCCTTGTTTCGGAGACTTTTGACTCGTTTGGCCTGTTACTGTGTGTGAGACTAAATCAAAAATTTAACTTCAAATTACAGAGGCATAAGATACCCGTTGGAGACAACTACATCAATGGAACGAATATGCTTCTATGGCCACGCTTCCAGGTCATCATGGACTTGCACTGCGAGTCGGTTCGGAAACTAACGGCTAACTTGCCCACGGCACCGCCAACGTCGAAAGCCGAGCTGGCTAAGCAGTCTGCTGCGCCTTCTTTCATGGCACAACGTTTCGGGCAACTCATCCAAGGAATATTGGAGCTGAGCAAGGAAACTGGTGATGATGAACCTGTAAGCACAAGCTTGGCAAGACTTCGAAGTGCTCTGGAAGCATTTTTAGCCCGAGTGGCGAAATCTATTGAAGGGGAAAGAAAACGCGAGAGGTTTTTAGAAAATAGCTTCTCCCTGATTTTGACAATTATTGGAGATGCACAGGGTAAGCTGGCTACTGAGCAAATATCCCAGATCCAGGCAATGATGACTCCATCGCAAGATTCCAAATGAGAATATTTTTTTGTTTTCCCATAACTGTGATATTTCACGCTCAAATATAATTGCAGTGAGACAATTAAATTATTATTAGTCGGCCTGCTACAGCTCTTTTTGCTAAGCGCTTGGCAATAATCGGGTAGCTTACTCGAATTACTTCTGGACGAGCTCTTCGTAATAGATATTCGGGTAGAATTGTGAGTACTTGAGGACTCGTCGAAAAAAAAGATACTCGGGCAACACTGAGAGCAAACGTTGCAACATCTATATTTGCTTTCCAATGCTTCTGGGCCAATGTTGCCCCTGTCAAGTTTCACAATATGCGTGTCGGTTGGGGCCAAATCAAAGCTGTCGCACGCTACATGGTGCATGAGGCTGGGTATAGGTCGGCGCCTACGAAGCGCCGAATGACTTCGAGGCCACACAAGGCTCAAGGCAACAACGATGATTATACATACTCAGAGCTTGCAGATGCCTGTAAAAGTTTCCTGGAGAATAAATATTTTTCCTAAATATGTCTCTCGAAAACCCGAATACTTACGACGACGCTGGCAGCTGGTAACAATCGCTACTGAAAAGGACGACTCCATTCGAATCGTCCACCGAGTATGCATCTTATTTCTCCACAGGGCTCCAATCTTATGATAAGTAATGGAGGCTGTTGGTGCTATTGGCAGTATTGTCCAGATATTGGATGCAACGGCCAAGTTGATCGATTATCTGAAGGATGTTCGCGCCGCAGAGAAGCAGATCTTAAGTGTCCAGGCTGAGATTGAAGTTATTCGCTACATTTTATATGCTATCAACACATCGGTCGACGAAAATCCAAAGACATTTCATGTAACATTAACAGTCATTGGTGCGGAAGACGGGGTCCTTTACGAATTTAACACGTTCCTCGTCAGCTTCAAAGAGAAGTTAGTGGCGAAACCAGGAAGGAAATTACTATGGCCTTTTGACAAAGCCCGCATAAAACAGGACCTTGAAAAGATACAAAGATACAAGACCATTCTTATTTGTGCTCTTCTAAATGATTCCATGTTCGTATGCCATTTCTTCTTCGAGCGTGCTGGCTCGTCAATCATTACATTGGTGTTTCTCATTTTCAATCACTGAAACCACACGATTTATAAAAACCGTAGCTGATATAAAACCTTATTTAGATTATTAACGAAGAAGATTAAAGATGGGGTCGACATAATTAAACATGGTGTTGAAGAGATTACCCATGGTGTTGATAGCATATCGACGGCACTCGAACAACAAAAAAAGCATGATGTTCTGGAGTGGTTATCTCCATCGCGGCGGATTGACTTTTCTCAACAACAAGCAGCACTTACCGCTAAAAAGGCCAAAAACACTGGACGATGGCTAATAGAGTCCGAGCAATTCAGGCTATGGCTAGATGGAAAACAAGACTCGATAATTCTGAAGGGTGGCGGTGGCATGGGCAAGACAATGCTGGCGAGCACGGCCATCGAGCATCTCGCAACTCTCACTGCAACCAGGCCAGAGAAAAGTGCAGTAGCATATATATTTGGAAACTGGGCTCACGCTGATAAATTGAACGCCCAAAATTTACTTGCGAGTCTGCTGAAGCAGCTTCTTTCAGCGAAGGGTATCAAACTGCCAGAGACGTTAGAGGAGCTGCACTCCTCTAAAAACTATCCTACTTACTCCCAGCTATGTCGCCTGTTTCAATTGGAAGCCGAAAGGTTCTCAAAGACTTTTATTGTTATCGATGCACTCAATGAACTTGACGAAGAGACTCAGGATAAGTTACTGAAGTTTCTCAGTGAGTTGCAAATCAGCTTTGCAATAAAGTTGATGGTAACGACTCGGGATCCGTATCGAATTTTGCAGTATATCACATCGGCCACGCAGCTTGATATTCGAGCAACTAGAGAAGATCTTAACCTGTGGATGGACGAAAGTCTGAGGGCGTTACCACCTGGCTGTTTTGTTGCTAAGTCGCCGCTTGAAACCCACCAAAAAATTAAGGCCACACTAGCGCAGGCTGCCGACGGCATGTGAGTTCAATGACGCCTCTCGCGGGAAACTACAGACTGTATATGGAAGCTCATCACTTAAACAGGTTCCTTTTGGCAAAACTCAGTATGAGTGCTATTTCGAAGGTTCCGAACCGCAAAAAGCTTAATCAGGCTTTAGAGTCTATAGCAAGCGGTGGCTATTCGTTGGATGATGGATACAATGATACCATGAAACGCCTAAAGGCTCAATCCAGCGGAATGCCGACCGATTCGATCATATTACTATCTTTCGTAACCCATGCTTCTAGAGAACTCACAGTCTCAGAGCTAGAGCACGCCCTGGCAATTGAAGTCGACGAGTCATCCTTTGACACAGACAATATTTCAGACTTGAGAGAAGCGATTGATTCATGTAGTGGACTCCTTGAGATTGACCCCGAAGACCAAAAGGTCATGCTGGTCCACCGTAAGTTTATCTCTCTCTAGTCGCCTATGTTATATACTGACAATTATAAGACACCGCCAAGGAGTACTTTGATCGTACGAAAGAAACTCATTTCCCTGACGCAAGCGCAATGATTACTGAGAGGTGTCTCGCATATCTTTCTGACGGCAATCTAACGGGTCCATGTCAATCTTATGAAAGCTACAGTTTGAGAGTAGCGTCCTTCCCATTTTTAGAGTACGCCGCTCAAAACTGGGGATTTCATGCTTCCCAAGGAGAAGTTCAGAGGACTCTAAGTGCAAATATTTTGGCCTTCCTACGCAAGACATCTAATGTCGCGTGTTCTGCTCAGGCACTGCTTCAGTCTCCGGACCACCGGTGGTATGTGCATGGATCAATTGAGCCGCAGATATCCCAGGGCATCTCAGGACTTCACATCTGTGCATGGTTTGGACTTCTCCTTACAGCAACTCAACTCATCGAAGAGGAAGTAGATGTGAATATTGCCGACCATAATCAAAGGGGTCCCTTGTGGTATGCCGTTTACAACAGGAAGAAAGAAGCCGTCACGTTGTTGCTGAAAAATGGGGCAGAGATTTCAACTGACGGGCCTCTATTGCCAGTTTTTGAAGAATGTGTCAGAAGCAGCGACCCAGAAATTGTCAAGCTTTTGGGCGGCTTTCAGAACTACAACGCAGATTGCTGCAGCGATATGCTGAAGCTCGCGGCCCAGAATCCTCACTATGGAGCCGGCATGGCGGAGCTGGTGCTCGATTCATACCCCAACGTTCTAATGAAGGAAATATACGAAGAGTTCATACTATCGAGTGTGGCCAACCACTTGTGTGCGAAGTCCATCCTTAGCATGCTCATCAATCGTGGATGGAAGATTCCTATCGATCTGAATATAATAAGAGTCCTGTCAAATGACATCTCATCCGGTGCAGATATTCTTAAATGTTTATTAGCTCAGGGTGGTATTAAGCTCGATGCTTCTATTTTTGAGGCTGCAGCTAGTGGGATGTCAAGCGATGTTATGGGAGAACTCCTGGATTATCAGCCAGGATTTAAATTCGGCGTGGATATTCTCCCACTCACGGCGGAAGTCAATGAGGAGATGTTCCTCGCAGTTCTCAAACGCCACCCACATTTCGAAGTTACGCAGCAAATGTTGGACAGGCTAGTTCGAAATACTACTCTAAGATCAGCAGCGATGGAAGCGCTTTTCGAACACGCCCCACAAGGGAGCCTAAAAATCGACGACCGCATCATAATATCCTCTATTAGGGCCACATACTGCGGTTCTCCTCTCATGCAGTGGCTTCTTACTCGCTATGTGGACTCTCAACAAGGAGGAATTCCGGAGAAAATATTAGTGGCTGCAGTGGAATGCGATGATACTATAAGAATGCTGAGCATTATTAAGTCATTCGAGCCCAATTTCAGGGTAACATCCAGGGTTATTCTAGCTGCCATAACATTTCGCGTTACGTCTACACCCCCAAAAATCGACGTAGTCGAGTGGTTATTGCAACATGATCCGCATTACGAAATCGATGAAGATCTATTGACGGAGGCTCTAAAGACGGTCAGCTACGACGGGATTCGCATGCTACTATTGCATAAGACGCCACGGCCAACGCTCCCCATGTTTTCAGCCTGCAGGGATTTACCTACCTTGGAATTGCTGGTAACGCAGGAAGAGTGTATTTCCGATCCAGATATTGTCGACGTCATAACAGAAACGGCACTCCGACTGGGGAGTGACGAAGAATCCATTCGCAGAGTATTGGGTCGTATTCCAAAGCAGCACATGCGGATTACTCCCGCTACATTAAAATCTGCGGCTGCAAACACATCTACCATTGGCGCTGTGCAGTGGGTTTTGGACCATGATCCCACATTAGAGGTTACCCCTTCTGTCTTCGAAGTTGCAGCACATGGCTGCGGCAGTCTCAAAAAGATGGAACTCTTAGCATTGAGGAGCCCAGGAGTTAAAATGACGGAAGAGGTACTACTAACAGTTTGTGATTATGGAGATATAAAGGCGCTGCAATGGGTGCTCGATCGAACTGAAGATATTACACAAATTACGTCTCGAGTCCTGGCAGTCGCGGCCGGCGGTCGGTCTTGCAAGAAAGATAACGTTGGCTATATGAAGCTGTTAACTGCCCGTAATCCTTCTGTTGCGGTCACTGAAGAAGTCATGATCCGCGCATGCCGGGTTGCAAAGTGGAGGAATACACACTCCCTAGTATGGCTATTGGCTGAATATCCTCATCAGCAGCTACTCTCGGAAGCTCCAATGGCCCATCTTTTTCGAGAAGGCCAATCTCCTCCAGTTGTGGAAATAGTCAAGCAGTACTTACCCGAACTAAGCATCACATCGGCGTTGTTGGCCACAGCTGCTAACAATCCATTTTCGGAAAAGCCTCTTGAGCTTCTATTATCTTTCGACGTTAAAGAACTCTTTTCTGAATCCCTTCTTATCCTTGTGGTGGAGTCAAAGAAAGCTGCAGCGAAATTAAATGTCCTCTTCAGGCTGCATCCAGAAGTTGTCGGGGTAAACGATGCTGTGCTCTGTGCTGCTTCTGAGAGCCGCCATGGGCCAGGTGCCCTGCAATGGCTGATCGGGTTCTTGGAACCTAGAGAACCAAATCAACCGCCCATCTCAGCTCAGGAAGCGATAATATGGTATCTTAATCGAGATCCACCTCCTTTGATTACCCAGGAAATGATTGTGGCATCAGCACGAGAGCCATGGGACACAGAGGTGTTGGCCCTGCTTCTTAGGCGTAACCCCACATTTACCATCTCCAAAGAGATGGCCGAGGCAGTTTGCAGCAACTGGCGATTTGGAGAACACCAGTTCAGGGTCCTGCTCAACCATAACAAGCACATCCGAGTCTCGGATGAGGCTCAATCTGTGGTCTTCAAATCTAGGACCAAGGAAGCAACCATGATCTATAAGCTTCTAATGGAGCATAACGACGACATTGATTTTCGGTAAGCCTGCAGGCTTACTGATAAATCGATAATAACAATGTTGAACACGATGGCACTACGAAGTGCTCGTTTCACAGAGTATGCCAGCGACATGGCTCTTCATCATCTCTATCCCAGCCAATTCACTTTGGAAATCTGGAGATAAAACGAAATAAACCCTTACGATCTGATAATGATATATGACACGACATGACATGACAAACATTTACTGCTATTTATTCTCAATTTGTTCTCGATGTTTTCACAGCGATTAGTGTCACTGCTTGCAACTGTTTTATGCCTTTATAGAGAGTTTTTTTTGACAGATCAAGCTATGAACTAGACTAGAGAAATTGATGGACGAATGCTTCATGGGTTTATTGGGCAGTGTTCGGCACGGATACCAATATACCCTTGGTATCCGGGTATATACCCGAGTATATACCCTACCCGTCGATATTCTAGAGTATCCGGTGTATCCGGGTATATACCCGGGTATATGCCAAGAGTAGCCAAGCATCGCTAAGGCTTCATTTTACAGACGTCGTCTCGACGATATGCTTAAACTATTGCCTTATAAGCATACTAATATCCTTAATATCTAATTATTACCTATTACTTAGGCTATTTAGTAGTTCTAGTAACCTCTATAGTCTTAAAATGAGTATTTAGTAATAGTAGTAATATTATTATAAAAAGTATAATAAGTTATTACTACTAAAAGCTTCATTTTTATATGCTTTTATTCAGCCTCATGTATCCGGGTATATACCCTACTCTACCCGTCAGATCTTCGCCGGGTATATACCCTACCCGTGAGCTTCACGGATACTACCCGGATACATATCCGCCGAACACTGTTATTGGGTGAAAGTGACCACAGCACTCATTTATGGTGGCGGTTGGATATTGGAGCCTTGGTACCTACCATAGTTAAAAAATGAACAAGATACCCATCCTACAAATATTTCAGCAAATGCACTAGTACACCGGAAGTTATTAGACGCATTGTTGACCTATTTCATTCAAGAGGCAACCTAATAGTACAGTATATCCAAGCCTGATGGCAAGTAATCCCCCCACCACTTATAAAAACACCTCCACACCCCCCATAAACAGCTAGCCTCCATGTTCGCACCTCTATGCAGCACGTATCAATAAGTAAGACAAACAAAAGAAAAAATTCCCAGCCACGTTAGGCCGCCTTGAAACAGCGATATGGCGCGGGTGCGCCACCGCCAATGATCCGCTTGTATGCTTTCACTCCACCAGCCCGCCTCCCCCCTATTCTATACAACTCATAAGGAAACTCGTCAAAATCGTCCTAATCCGCAGTCCCTCACTCCGGTTATGCGTCCTTGTTTGCAGGCTTCTCCGCCTCCTTGGCCGACGATTCTTTTTCGGCAGCCTTGACAGACGCTTCCTTCTCCTTAGCCAGCGTCGCGGCCTCAGCAGCCTTCTTCTTGCCTTGCGCGTGCTTATCCATCTTCTCACTCATATACCTATACGTCCTCGCGAACCCCCCCGTCGCGATCCCCTTCAGACTCTGCACCGTGCTCGGCCATCCAATCGTCTTCTTAATAACGCCTCTCACCTCGTTCCTCAGCTCCTCCGCCGGCTCCTGTGCGATCCGGCGCTCAAATCCACCGCCGAGTCGGCGCTTGAAGCCGACGGCGTCTTCGTCGGTAGATTCTTCCATCATCTTGTTGAACTCGAGCTGGGGGATCTGGAATTTCTTCTGGAACTGGAAGTAGAGCTTTGAGCGGAAGGCTTTGGGGAGGCGGCGCACCATGTTGCCGCGCTTTATGGGGTCCATGTCTTGCTCTAGGCGGGCGTTGGTGTTCGGGTCAGAGGCCCAGCCGGGTCGCGAGCAGATTGGGTCGTTAAAGTCTACGTTCGGGAGATTCTCGATCAGGGGCGCGTATAGGCGGCGGAAGTTGGGCAGGTTGTTGCCTACGATGTTCGCGACCTTGCTTGGATCCTCGGTGGGCAGGGCCATCCTCGGATCTCCCATGTAGCTGATCCCGGCGATCGTTGCGTACAGCTCCATCTCAGTGAAAGAGGGTGGGAGGAGTAGGAGCGAGGTTCGCAACGCGGAAAGCAGGTTGATCTGGTTGGCGAGGCGGACTCGCGGGTCATCCCGCAAGATCTTCACGGGTTTGTGGAGGCGGCCTGCGATGTAGAGGGTGGACCATTCGGAGAGATCGGTGCATAGCGTGTCCAGGTTGACAACGCCGTACTTGATGAGCATGCCATTGACATTGACATAAGGGTTGAAATAAACACCAGCACCGAACTTGTCCTGCACAGAACTGACAGCCCCCGAACCTAAAGAGCCAAGTCCAGAATAGTGGTCGCGGTGCTGGTTAAGGTTCAGGGAGTGCCAATGTTCCGTGTATGAAACACCGAATATGAAATCAATCATTTTCGGTTGGCCATCTTGAGCTTTGGCTATCGCGGGAGGTGCATTTGGATGTATGGATGTACGGCTCGAAGGTGTTGACGATGGCGTTGAAGGTTTCGATTGTGGGAACACCCCGGATCCATAAGCAAACGCATATCGAATTGGAGCTCTGAACTGCCACAAAACCTGGCGCAACGCCTCTTTAACCTCATCATTGATCAGCATGTGCTGGTTGACGCCGAAGTTCGTGTGTGGGAGCTGCGAGAAGTTCGATATGCTGAAATCCGGATTATCTTCCCAATCCACCTTGGTGCCCTCAGGAGTCGAGGACTTCGAGCCTGTAGTTGTTTGAGAGCTTTGACCGGTCGAGCTTGGCCTTGATGTCTCTGATGATGCAGATTTCGGGGAAGCTTCACTCCCTGTTGGGTCCCGGCCAGATTCTCCAAAGCTTCGTGATGACGAGAAGCTCCGTATGGCGGTCTGGTGGCGGTAGAGAGCTTCATAGCGACGATTCGAGGCAAATGCAGACGTCTGCATCCGCCGGACCACCCCATAATGCCCAATCGACTAAACAGAGTCAGCCTTCGTTCAACAATTGCTCGGAATTGGCTTTCTGGGTCGGACAACTCACCCGGAGCTTCGGTAGCGACATGGTCACGGAGGTAAACTTGGAGGGCGCAGGTGGGAGTAGAGGATGGTTGGCAGCGGTGCCGCAGTTTCAATTCACCTCCGTTGACTGTCCATTTACTGAGACCGTGAACTTTGCATTCTGACGTCAATTCGAGGGGTCTTGGAAGTGGAGTTCTGTTTTCCGTGATGCTCTGACGGATTACTTTATGGATAAGGAACTGCTTACATAAGCGATGTCGGCATGCTGTTTGCGAACGCGTTTTTTTTTGTCTTAGGCGGTCAAGGAAAGGCGTGGAGCAATCACGAAGCTGCGAATGAGAGAGAAATTTACAAGAAAGGCATTGATCTATTTACAAAAATTAAGACACGCTTCAATTAAGTATTTATTTACTATATTGGAGACTGTGAATTTTTGTTACAGTCCCACTATATTGTTCCAGAGCCTCGGCCCGGGTACGCTGACCATGATGCCTCGTGCCCCTATATCCAAATAGGAGCCAGAAATCCATCTTCTAACTTTCCTCATCCCTCTATATACCAAAAAACAACGTTTTCGTGCAGCGTCCCCATCTCCCCACTCTACTCCTCCTTATATACCAACCTAACCACCATCTCCGCAATCGCCAAACTGCTCGTCAACCCGGGACTCTCAATCCCCAGCAGATTCACAAACCCCTCACACCCCTCCTCCCTCCTCACCACAAAATCCTGAAACCCCTCTTCCTTCCCCCCCAACTTCGCCCTCATCCCCGCATAATCCCCTCCCAGCCTCCCCTCCTCAATCCCCGGCACAAACTCCCTTATCGCCTTCACCGCCCCCGGTTTCCTGCCCTCATCAACATCCAAATCATCCGCCGAGTCCACCCACTCCACATCCGGTCCAAAACGCGCTTGTCCCGCCATATCGAGCGTAAGATGTGTTCCCAGCCCTGCGAGATCGGGTTCCGGCGCGGGATAAATCAATCTACTCGCCGGCGCCTTGCCCGAATACGAGAAATAGCTCCCCTTAGCATAGTACGCCTTCCTATGCCTCTCCACAGGAAGGACCATATTATTAACCTCACACGCTCCCAGACCAGCCGCATTAACAAGCGTAGCAGCAGTAATCGTAGATTCCTCCCCCGTCGCGGCGTCGAGGGTGGTGAGTTCCCATCCCGCGCCGTCAGGGAGGGCGCGCACGGAGGTGAGAGAGGTGTTTAGTGCTATATCCCCGCCGGCGGAGGAGAGGGCGCCGAGGAGGGCCTGGGTGTAGGTGTGTGAGTCTATGATGCCTGTGGTGGGGGACTCGAGGATGCCGGTGCGGGCGCGGATGAGGGGTTCGAGGGTGTGGGCGCGGGGGAGGGGGATGAAGGATGTGGGGACGTTGAGGTCGTTTGAGAGGGCGTGGATTTGTTGGAGTTTCTGGGAGGGGGGTTAGTGGGTGTGTAGGAGAGGAAGAGGGGGGGCGTACTTCTAATTGCTGCGACGTCTGGGCTACTATCCACTTCCCGCACTTCTTGTGTGGGATGTTCCAGCGCTCGCAGAGGTCGTATAGGCGCTCCCGTCCCTCGATGCAGAGCTTCGTCTTCAAACTATCCTTTCCATAGTATAAACCCGCGTGTATGACCTACTCCAAATCAGCATTCATCCTCCATCATCGCCCTCCTAACCACCCATCACACTCCTCTCTGCAAGGAAACTCACCTCCGAGTTCCGACTACTGCTTTCCCTCCCCACATCCTCATGCCGCTCAATCACCAAGGTTTCCCCTCCGGCCCGCTCCGCTAGCCTCCTCGCAACAGCAAGGCCCACGACACCACCCCCAACAACCTAGATAACGTATCAGCCCTATATCCTATTCCACTTCCTCTACGTCAGCCGCCCAATGCCCCCAGTCGGAGCTTACAGGCAGCGAGGCTACTCACCGCATGCGTGAAATCCAGCCCCCGCGACGCGGCAGCGACGCTAGTTCGCAGTGAAGGCGTGAGCTTCATGGCGCTACGATGGTGGACAAGTCAGATAGTTACGTTGGGGGTTTCAATCGCTGATATTGGAGCTCCAGGAACTGGAGTCGGGATGGACCCCGCGGTACGCAAGGCTGTGGACCGCGAGGGCCGATGTAGCGCGAGGCTGAGGGTCTACGCCTCCCCCCATCCCAGGATATGAGAACCACCACAGCGGTACTGGAGCAAAATACATGTATATCAGGTTCAAAAACGGAGAGATGGGGTAGGGTTTTCCATAATAATAATTAATAATAATACTGTATTCCCAAGGCAAAGTAGCGAGTGCGCCCAACCCTACAATTACACTCCCCAGTCCCAGGCAGTATCCGTCCTACAAACTCAAGACCAAACGCCAGCAGTATCCCCAACTAATGTTCCTACAAGCACAAAAACCCAAGCAAGACTCCACTTCCCAACCCGACAGTGTCAAATTTGAAATCGAAAGCACCCCGCTCACTCGGTCTTCTCGCCCGCGTGCTGAGGTCGCGGGGTAACATCCGCCTCGCTCCGCTCAACCAGCAGATTGGACGGCAAGCTGGGCTGGCGTGTCAGTTCCGAGTGGGCGCAGGTCTCGGCTACCTGTCTCTCTGCGTTTGGTTAGCCCTCGTCCACAGCTCCCGAAAACACACAAAGACAGAACAAGAAGAGAAACTCACCCAACTCTCGAATCCTCAACCTAAGCATCTGATTCTCCCTAACAAGCATCTGCGTCTCCGCCTGATAAAACGCACTCTCATCCCTCCCCAGCCCCTCCTCCCCCAATCCCGCCGTCGACCCCAGTCTCGGACTCGCATGCCGACTCGGCGTCCTCGATCGCTCCCTCCTCTGCAGATCCGCGCGCGCGAGATCAAACGAGCTGCGCGGGTGCTGGCCTACGCCCGCGCTGAACGAAGCACTGGGGGAGCGCGGGATGGGCAGAGGGGTTGCCAAGGCGGAGGAGGCGGTGGTGCCGGTTGTGGAGAGGGGTTCGGAGGGGATGGAGTCGTCGATTGCGGAGGTGGTGGGGGAGAGGCCGGAGGCGGCGCGGAGGGATTGGAGTTGGTGTTGTTGGACGCGGATCATTTGGAGGAGGCGGTTCTGTGGGTTGTCATGTTAGCTTTCATTCCTCCTTCTACCCTTCTTTCATTTCCCCAAACTCAACCCACCACTCCGCTATCATAAAATCAAAGAAGATAGAAAGGGATACTCACAACCTGCGCCTCCTGCTCTTGCTCCAACTCCTGATGAATCTCCCCCAAACTCGGATTCCTCAAATGATGCGGATCTCCCACACCAACCCCCCCCGCAGCCCCAAGCCTCGGCGACGCCTCCAACCCCGTCTGCGCGTGCGGTTCGTGCACCATCTCGCCAGGCGCCGGCACGCTCGGGTTGTTGTGCGCGAGGTTCATGAGGACTGTGGAGCGGCGGCGGCTGGTGTGGCGGTGCGAGGAGATGGAGGAGCCTGTGGTGTTTTTGTCAGCTTCTATTTCTCTATCTCTACTCGAGTTTTCTCGACCCGGGAAGGAAGGGGAAATGGGAGGGGGGGCAAAAACGTACGTCGGGAGTCCTCCTGTGCTAACCCGGCGTTCACGGCCGCTGTAGCCTGCAACGACGTCGTGGCCGCAGACCCCGATCCTGCGCGAGGCGAGGGAGGGTTGTCTTGCAAGGGAGATATGCTGATTGATGGCGATCTCGAGATCGTGGGTGCGGGCGTGGTGTCTGAGTTCGACTCCGCGGGTGGCGGGGAGGTGCGGCCTGGTGGTGCCATTGTGTCGGCTGTTGTAGTAGGTTGGTAGGTAGGTAGGTATGTGTGATCTTGCGTTCTTGCTTGATGATCGTAGAAATATCGGTACTATCGTTGAAAAGAGGTATGTGAGTTTATTGATCAGTCCCTCGATAGCTCTTCCTCGATCAACCCAAGCTGTCGAGCGCGAAGAGTCCAGGTCTCGTATTTATGGTGCTCTCGTCTCCGATGATTCCGAGCTTGAAAGAGAGCGATACAAGTGAAATTTACAAAGTAAAATAAGGTTCAAGAATGTCCCGGTCGTGCAGAGTGAATGAATAGCTTCTTTATCCTTTGTTCTGTCCTTGCCTTCGTAGTAGTGATGCGTGGGCTGTTTCCGTGTCGGACAGCGGGGCGTCACCTGCGTCAGATCCGTAGGACCCCGCGATCGGAAAAACATTATTCCAGCTCAGCTTTGCCGTTGGTCCATCCATCCATCCATCCCCCTACTAGTGCCAAGCGCCACTGCCAATCTCCAACAACGGGCGGTAAATAAAAACCTTAGCCGTTCCCGTCACCAATTCGGCAAACTCTATAACTATCACCGAGAGTGCCCATATAAGTTACCCATCTCCAGCCCGGCGGCGAGACCGGTTCCAATTGTGCCTAGCAAGGGCAAGTCTACGCGTGGGAAAGCAGACTAGGAGTTAGACTTTTTTATTAGTCTCTTATGTGTGAGGTCACACGTGTCAGCATAATTTACGATAACTCTTTGTCTTGGTATCCCAGGGATGATCCACAAGCCCCTAACGTCCCCGTTTTAAAAAGGCCGTCTCCACTCCACACCCAAAGCTGAAGGCGCGCACACACGCCCAACATATATATCACCTTCTTCTTCCATCCAACACCAACTCCCATTTCCCCAACACCTCCTCCCCTAACAACTTTCAGCCGTACGTATTCACGTAAAAACAACACTACGCCTAGACCACCCTCATCTTCAAACCTCCCCCCTTGTCCACCCTACCCATCTTGGCACGAGCCGAGCCGGGCCAGCCGTGCCGTGCTAGTCCACTTATACAGCATTTCCCAATCCACAGCTAAGAAGTCCAAGAGTTATAGTTAGACAGTTTAGACACCATACGCGCGTACATTTCTGTACCCTATAAGGGGGGGGGGATCTTTATATAGACGGTAAGGATAAAGAGATACCTCACAAAAGCCCAGCTCCACTTCACTTCACCCCCTTAGCACATAAATCGCCCTACCGCCCCCCCTACCCCAACGTCACTTTGGACTTTCATCCCTTCTCGCGTAGGATTTGTACTACCCGACCTTCAACTTTACCTTCCAGTCCTTTCCTCTCTACCACTCACTCCTACTCATACTCAATCCACCAAACCAACACAAACCAAACCTCATCAACCAACCCACCACCGCGATGGCAGATCAATACCAACAACAGCCCTACGGCCCCCCTCAACCCGGCTACGGCGGACCCCAGCAATACGGCCCCCCCCAGCCCGGCTATGGCGGTCCACCGCAGGGAGGGTATTATCCCCAGGCGCCTCCTCAGCAGGTATGTTTACCTCTCTCGTTGCCTTCTCCATTGCCCATCTCTCCCCTACGGCCCCTCACTGGCAGAAGGGGAAGAGCAGAAACAAGATGCGGTGGCTAACCAGGGTGAATAGATGCAATACCAACAAGCCCCTCCCCCCGAGGAGAAGAAGGACCACGGCTGCCTTTACGGATGGTGAGTTCTGCCCCCTACATATCTTCCGCCCAATATATATACCAGGAGATTGGCTAACAACTATCCTACAGTATCGCAACTATGTGCTGCTGCTGGCTCTGCGGCGAGACCTGCGAGTGCTGTCTCGAGTGCCTGACGTGCTGTTTCTAAACCCGACCTCTCTCAACCAACTAATTATCTAATTTCTCGGATCTGAGACGACACGGACGAGGGAAACGGGAGGAGTAATGGGAATGCATGGATGGATGGATGGATGGATGGAGCGATGAACGGGAAATGGAGGGAAGAGTGCAAAAGGAATGGGGAAGGAGAGGGGAGAGAGAGAGACTACAATACCCATGGCCATGGTTTTCCTTAAAAAAATAATTCAAACTCGTTGCCGGTGGGGGGGACAAAGTTGGTCTGCCATCAGGAGAGACGAATAGTAGTGAAAATGAAAAATCCACACCTTTTCACCGGCTATTACAAGATAGACCTGAAGCCATGATAATAACCATAAACCTCAAATCCGTGCTGCTACCCCATCTTCACCACCCCACTGGCTCCACCAAACACTGAATGCCAGTTGGTTGTCTACTATATTACACGTAAAAGCCCAGTATATCTATATCCCATCCCCTAGATCGAAACTCCTTCGTTTTGTCGGGGACAACATAAATCGTCATAGTTGTTTTTTCCAAAAATTAATATATATATATATATAAATATAAATATATCATCACAATTTTGACCTTTCAAATCTTGAGAAAATTATTCTTTTATTCATATTTTATGTTTTTTTTTTAATCCCTCTAAAAAAAAATACCCCTTCCCTATATACCCCCACCCCCCATTTCGGTAAGTGGCTGTCGAGAAATAAAAATATGCACAACAACAGAAAAGGTATATCCATAAAAAAAACGATTGTGGCTCCCCAAAACGGTTGATCCCCAAAAAGGTTGATCCCAAAAAAAGGTTTGATCCCCAAAAAAGAAGGAATTGCGCGCAAATAAGTTGGGTATATGCGCCTTTGTCATACACCACTCCCACTCCCCTACTCTTTTCCCACCCCAATCCCACCCCAATCCCACCCCACCAAATCCATCCATAAACCCAAAACATAAAATTCATATAAAACCCATCCCATCCAAACCCCCCCTCACCTCCCCGCACCCGACATCCCCCTCGCCCTCCCCGCACCCCCAGGCGGCACAGGCGGCAACCCCCTCGTAGGCGGCGGCGCGGGCGGCGGTCCTACCACCTCCCCTGCACCCCCTCCCCCTCCCTCCCCACCCTTCCTACTCTTCGGCCTCCCCCCCCCCTCCCTCGTAACCGGTCTCTCCCCACCACCTCCCTGCGCCATCATAATCGGGAACGTCGGTGATTTCAACGCCGGCGGGCTCCTAAGCGCCGTCGGGCTCCTCTCTCCATAAGAATTCCCAATCGAAGCGCCACGCTCGCGAATAACCATTCGATCTACCGCCTTGACGACACGGCCGGTAGTGACGCCTCCTGCGACGCCGCCGTAGGTGCCGTAGCCGCCTCCTCCGCCGGCGCCGTAGGATGCGAATCCACCACCTCCACCTCCACCGGCGCCGTAGGTTGCATAACCGCCTGGAGCGGACGATGCACCGCCGCTACCGGTATACCCAGACGCGCCACCGTCGGTGGGGACGGCGATGAAACCACGACTATTGAGGGGTTTGGGAGGGACGCGTCGTTCGCGCATTACGACTATGGAGTCCCTCTTCTCCCGACCGTCCGCGCCTCCGCTGCCGCTAGAGCGGGCGATGGATATCCTCTTCCCCCCCTCACCCGGTCGACCGATCGAAGTACGTCGTTCCCGACCGGCACCGGCACCAAGACCGAGACCGATCCCAGCGCCTGGGGCGCCGTTGATAGAAACCCTCTTATCCCTCGCAGCCTGCGCCTTCGCGTTCGCGCGCGCGGTGTGTGGTGCAATCACCAGCGGACGCGGCGACAGACTCGGGTCCGAGAATGACGGGTCCTCGGTGGGAGCGGGCGAGGAGGAGGTGGAGGGGGGGAACGGGTATGAGAAGAGGGGTAGTGGCGGCGGGGCCCCAAGACCCGCGATGTGCTCGGAGGAGGAAGACTGAGCGAGCTCAGCCATACCGAAAGAAGGCGACGTAGGCGTGTGAGCCCGCGGCGGGGGGGAGAGTCGGGATGTCCAGTGGTGGAATTGGAATTCATCATCTGACTCCCCCTCCCCCTCCGTCGGGCTCGACCCCATCCCCTGAGACATCGGCAGTGACGCACCACCCGCCCCGCCCCGGGAACTAGGCAAACTACTAGTCCTCTTCCCACTCCTCGGCGGCGGGATAGGCATAGCAGGCGCACCCCTCTGCATCTGTCTCCTCGCCCTCGATTTCGGGCTGATTGCTGGAGCGGAAATCTCATCCATCAACTCATCCGACAGCATCGCGGGCGAAGGCTGGTCTTCTACGATTGAGAGACGGGTTTTCACCGCTGTAGGAGGCGTGCGGCGCGATGGTCGGCGGGGAGGCTGGGAGGGGTCGTTGGGTGGTGTTGTGGGGGGGAGAGGGGGGGTCGTTGTCGCTGCGATTATGGCGTCGAGGGCGGGTGGACGGGCGCCTTGGGCGCTTTGGCGGCGTTCGCGGATGTTGGCTGCGTTGGGACGTTGTTGTTGGTGGTGTTGCTGCTGCTGTTGTTGTTGGTGTTGGCCGAATTCACCGAATCCGTAACGCCCTTCCTCATCCTCGGCTGTGTGAGCCGGGGGGAAGGATTCGTAAATCGGGGATCGGGTAGGTGAGGAGTTGCGCGAGGCGGAGGGGGAGGTGAAGAATGTGCGGCCGCCTGAGGAGCGGGGTTGGCTGTACGTGTTACTATCCCTTAGCGAATCGAGGAGGTGCTCTTCGATTGATTTCGTGCTCGGCACCGATGAAAGGGTGTTTGTAGCGCGACTTGGTTGCGGGGTTTGCTCATCAGCGGGCCAAGGGGGGAGATTGGCAGTACGCTCATCTGTTTCCCAGGGGAGGGGGTCATTGTTATCGTTGGTGTCGTCGGAGTGCGGGGAGTAAAGGGGTTCGTTGACGGGAGAGGGGATGGGAAAGGCGTTCGTTGTTTCCGAGAGAGGGCTGCGTGATAACTCCAGGTTGTTGGTCGCGGGAGTTTCGCTGCTTGCTTTGCCGCCTAGCACGTCGATCTCGTGGCGCACGGCGGTGAGCCAGGTGTCGAGATCCTCGCCGTTATCCAAGATGAGTAGGAATTGCTTGATGGGCTTGACGTATGTAGACTTAGACCCCGGGCGCTGCTTAGCAGGCGGCGCGGGAGTAGCGGATAACTCGCCCGCTGTGATGGCGCTGAGGCCATCGTAGACGGTGGTGATCTGGATAACCCAGTGTCTTCCCGGAATCACATCGCTCGCAAACGCCACCGAATGCCTGCTAAGTCTAATCGACAGCTCCGGCAACCTATTAAACGCCCCATCACACGAGAACTGCAACAGATACCCCGCGGACGTCAACACGAAGATCTTGCGACTCCACTCCGCCTTCCCCAGCGTCTCAACAACCCGCTGCCGATGCTTCTCCTTCGCCTTATCCGCCTTCACCGGATCCGACCCAAAGCCCAAGGCAGCCACATTCTTCCCGGCCTTATCGTGCGTACTCAGGTAGATCACCGCATTCGCAGTTACCCCGCACGTCATCAAGGACCCATGCTTCACCGCGCCCGACAGCCCCTTAAAGAAAGGCGGCGGCTCCCACTTCGCCGGCGGCGCTGCTAGCGGCAAGGAAATGGTAGGCGGTCCCGCGCTCGTCGGCGGCCGCTCGAGACTGCGCTTCGGCATCGCAGCTAGAAAGCTGTCGCGCTTCCGCGACGGAGGCTTTTCCTCGCCCTGCGGATGCATACGCCCGGCTTTAGGCCCCGCGAGCGGGGGTTTCGTGCCGAAGACCCTAGCGAGCTTCTCGCTCATCTGGGGCGGATGCGCGCCGGTGGGCGAATCGATGAAGGACGCACCATCCGACACGCTGGAGCCGCCATTCGTGCTCGTCCGCGAAATCGAGATATCATCGCTCAATTCGGTCGGGGTGAGCTCGACGCGGTGGCGCGGGCCGTCGTTGTACGGGAGGCGGTCGGCGAGGGCGCCGATCTCCGGGATGGGCGGCGGGTTGTAGGTCTGCTTCTTGGAGGAGGACTTGCTGAACATGTTGCGCAGCGATTTGGACTGGCGATGCTCGGATCTGCTGCCGCTGGAGTGGGAGGAGTCGACGCGCGTGAGGCTGGTGGCGTCGCTGATGTCGGATGGGCGCGGGGAGGAGGGCGGCGGTTTGGGCTGCTGGAAGACGCCGGCCCAGTCGCCCATAGGCGCGGTGGTTGGGGCGAAGATGAGGGCCATGATTCCTCGCTTTCGTCGTGATCTCTCCGTTCGGTCGCAAACAGAGAGAGTCAGAAATCGGATCGGTCGATTTTCTAGAAACGGGGTGGGGTGTCCACACGTGGATATAGGTGGGATGTATGTACTATACTGGCAGTAGTCGCGAAATCGCCCGCGTTCTGGTTCAGGCCCCCGGCTTCGCGTTGATAGGACGGCAGAGTGCAAGGATGGACCTGCGAGTTAATGCTGCTCACAAGAGACAGGTGTGGGACAGCCTCGGCATTATTGGGGATCTCGAGAGCTCGTGAAGGAATGTGCCAGCATTGGAAGGTAGGAACGATAAGGCGTGCGTGGGTGCGACGATCTTGAGTTTCCTTTTTCTGTCTGTCTCTCTCTCTCTCGCTCGCTGGAAATATTTTTGGGAAATGGGTTTGAGATGGGAGGGGCGGGAGCGCGCACAGATTAGTGGAAGTAAGCAGAAAGTGGACTGGGCTGGTTTGTTGGAGGGAGGAGGAGTGTGTGATCCCCGGCGTCCATCAGCTCAGCCGCGACGGATGAAGAAAGGCGGTAGAAGTAGTGGAAGCTGGGCGGAAGCAAGCAGCAAAGCAATATTGTTTTTCGTAGAGTAACCAACAACAAGGACGACGCTTTTTTGGCCAGGGTTTGGACGTGGAGGGGAGATTATATTGGAATTGTCGGGCGGGAGGGAAGCAGGTCAATGGGCGTCTGTGTGTGTCGTCCGGACCATGTCCATGTCTTCTGTGGTTGTAGTACGGAGTATGTATGTATGTACTGTAGAGTAGCGGTAGCTAGAGACGGATAGTATATCTAAAATGATCCACGCAGGAAGCACCAACCAGACGGGCCAGAGACACAGGTTGACCCTTTTGTGGGGATATCCTGGGGAAACGCAGGGCCGCAGGAAGAGGAATAAATGGAGAACGGTCCCCTAGTTTTCCCTACTGACCCTAGTTTCTTCTTCATACCCTAGTTTCCACTTTCCAAGACCCCTAGTCATCTAGTCGACCAGGAAGCTAAATAGGCCGATGTGGCTAGAGTGGATAGTGGATAGCAAAGCGGGTTGGGTTGGTTCCTTTCGCTTTTGGCTATAATCGACAGAGAGCGAAGACACATACACATAGACACATATCATCCCATCCCTGGTCGGTGGTTAGGGCCGTTTAATTGAAGATATGCAAGTAAGTACGTACTCTTGTGCGTTGTTGTACTGTAGAATAATCTCTCCGAAAGGCGGCGGCGGGGCGATCAACAACGTTACCCTGTGGTGGTTGTTGCTTGTGTACATACATGGGTTTATGGGAAATGCGAGTGGTTGGTTGGTTGGTTGGGGGGGGGAGGGGAGAGGTGAAGGTGAGCCAATAGTGTAAATCGGAATAATTGAGAATAATATGAATAACTGAGAGAATAACTGGGAATTACTTTCCCCAGAATTGCGATTTTGTGGTCAGGGAGGTCAGCGGCGGACGGACAGGGCGTCATAGTTGTGGTCGTCGGGTGGGTAATGGGGTAAGAGTAGAGTAATATGGCAGAAAGGCAGATGTACGCATGGGCATGGGCACGGGCATGGGCACGGGGAGTCGTGGGGATTGATATGGTAGGAAGGAAGAAGCCGCCTGGGTATAGGAGCGATAATTTAAAAAGTCATGCGAATTATGTATGTGTGTAGTGAGTCTGTGTGTGCAGTGAGTGGGTGTGTGTGTTTAGTGGTGGTGTTTGAGCCACGAGTAACTCCGTATATACCTCCCTCTCTCTCTATCCCTCTCCCTCTCTCTGGCCGCCCACCACTACCACCGCCCAACCACCGGCGAAATCGGAAACACACGTTCGTCCCTCCTCCGGCCATCAACAAAACGCCGAAGAAAGCGGAAGGAGGGAAGTAGAGGAGAGAAGGGACGGAGAAAGGGAAAGAGGCGTGTTTTAGTCCCCGAATAAGCAAATGAGAAGTCACAGAGTGAGACACGGCGAGGGGACCGAGAGGGAGCAGAAGGATGAGAGGTGTGTGGTGTGGATGCGGATTGGCGGGATGAACGAGCGATGGCGGGATGGTGGATGGTGGATGGAGGGTAGAAGGAGTGGAAGAAGGAGTGGAAGAAGTAGTGGCGTGTTCTAGTGTGGGTTGAGGAGAGACACAAGACAAGACAGCCGTTGTTTGGGATGTCCAGTTACAGTATGGGTTATATCCACTCACACCCAACTGGAGTCTAGGGTAAGTACTAGTGATAGAGAGGATATGTACTGCACTGGTGATTATGTGTGATGGAGTACTTGTGAAGTTAGGTAGGGTACTTAAACCACAATGCATACGGGCAAGCTGTTGCTCGTGCTGGGTGTTACTTGTCTTTGTTGCTCCTCCTCTCCTCCTGCGCTGCGACTCTACAACTGCGGGTGCGTGTAGTCATGAAACAGTGTTGGTGTTGGAGACTCCGTTGTCCCAGAGTCGTCCCAGAGTCGTTCCAGAGTCGTCCTAGAGGAAGGAGAGAGGATGGACGCGATGGATGAGCCTCTGTGATGATGGGGGAGAACAGGATGGCCGAGGATGAGTCTGTCTGGTCTGTCTGGTACTGTACTCTGCCCTCCACATTACCTACGTACTATACTGTGCCGTTCACATGCTCCCCCCCATCCCGAGTCAAGCTCAGGGTCACGCACCTCACTCACTGACTGCCGCCTGGTTGATGCGTTTTTGGGTCTTGGATCTTGATTGTTGCGCTTTGATCTTGGTCTTGGTTATTGGCATCTTGTTCGGTAGTCGGTAGTCGCGTGCTTGTATGGGGAGAGGGGAGTGAGTACCAGATATTGAGTTTTGATGGTGGTGGTGGTGGTGGTGGGGGGGTAGAGAGAGGGATAGCACTGCAACCACCACACAACCACGGCGCCATCAGAACCATCACACACACAACCACCACAAGCCATCACCACAACCACAACCCATCATCATCGTCCCGTAGATCTCTCCGTCGCTCCCACCTCTTTCCCTCTCCCCCAATCCAGCAACTCCATCCCCATCCCATCCTCGGACCCAGCCATTCTTTCACTCTTAGCTCACCTCCCATATGACCAGGGTTCTCGGACCCTCGTACCCTCCCCATCCCCGCCTCGTACCCAGCCCAACAAACGGAACCACAACCGAACCGGCATCGTCTGTCCTCCTAGCCGCCTTCACATATCACAGTTCGCCGTCATCGGTCGTCTATCACTCTTACTACCACTACTTACTTACTTGGACTTTGCCTATTCCCCCCCCGGCGCCGGATACATTATCCTTTCTCTCCCTCCCTGGTGGTAAAACCCAACAGCTGGTTGTGTGTGAGAATACCCGATAAACGAGGTTAAAACTGTGCGCCACACACCACCACACACAGGTCGGTTACAATACCATCGACGGTACGGTACCATGGACCGCGTACTCTAATCTGGGATCATTGTATTGTAATTACCACCCTCCCATCCCCTCCCCTCCCCTCCCGCCGAAGGATGCGGAACAAGCAAGCCCACCACCGGCTCGACGGGAGGAAAGGAAGGAACTGAGGGTTCGACGACCCATGTTCCATGTTTAGGGAGGAAGCGTGGTTCGTATGCACGGAATAGTATAGAAGCAAGCCAGAATTAGACGGGTTAGAGATTGGAGAGGCGCTATTGACGGGTTGGATGGTCGGGTAGTAGTTACACTGGAAGGCTGGGAGATAGACAGACTATCGCACACCGACGAGAGAGGAAAGAGGGAGGGAGATAGTGAGTGTTAGAAGTGGTAGGAGTAGTAGGCAAGCGCGCACGACATCTCCGCCTCTCCACGCCGAGTCCGAAGGGGTAGGTAGATACGATACTTACCTGTGCACAACAATCGCGTCCTCCCTCACTCACTCCCAGTCGCGATAGCCACAAACGCGATGAGGAAGGAGGGTGAGGTATTTTTACGTATACCAACCCTACCGATATCCATCTACCCATGTCTCCTCTCTCCGTCGATACACCCATCTGTACATCCGTCAACTCCTTGTACTGTGTGAGTGTACTAAACCTGGCAAAACCCATACCGAACCATCGCCTTTTACCCGCACCACAGACATTTTTTAATTTCCACAATCCCCAAGGTACACATGTGGCATCCCCGTGTGCGATCGTGTGTCTGGTCTGTGTCCCTTTCATCCATCCTTTACCCTGTCCTACCTGTCCTTTCACCCTTCACCCTGTCCCCTTTCACCCTTCACCCTACCCTGCCTACCCTTTCATCCAGAACGTCCCTTGGAACAGTCCCCAGCACCTTCCCCAGCTCCTCTCTTCGGAACCTCCGATGCACCCCAGCTTGGTGCTCAGTGCTCACCCCGTCCAACGCGTCCCCAGTCCAGTGCTCACCCAGCTCCCCAGCCCCGTCAATGCTCCTTCCAGCAGGGTGAGCACAGCATGCCCAGTGCTCACCCTGTGCTCACCTCACCCTGTTGCTGTATACTCCTCACCCTGCTCTCACCCTGCTCACCCTGTTCCCCATACTCCCTCATACCCATACACCTCCCTCCCATCCCAGCCCCCAACACCGCAATACCACCGACCCCCCCGACCAAGCACCGCCCTGGCCCGATTATGTTATGCGTACGCCTTACCCCGTCCGTCGTACAACCGGGTACATTCAGCCAGGTACGGTACAGTACAGTACAGTATACACAGCCCGAGAGCGCGAGGGAGGAAGGAGGAAGGAAGGAAGATGGAAGGAAAGGAAGAAGGAAAGAAGGAAGAAGCCGTCGCTCGGTCGTCGCGCTGACTCGATACTTTCCCTTCCCGTCAGTTCGTCGCGTTCTGGTCGCGTTGGGGCGTCTGCAAGTATGGTAAGTTTACGTGATGAGGGCTGGGCGTTACCTGAGCACAATGGGTGGTGGGTGGGTGTGGGCGTAAATGGGGAGGGAGTGAGTGGGCTTTCCCGTTTTTGACACCCTCCTCTCCTCCACACTTTCACCTCCCACCACCACCACACACACACACCCCTCTCCCCACACAGCCGGCCTGCCGACCTGCCAACCTGCCAACCTGCCAGCTTTCAAGCACCACACCCGCACCCCACTACCATCCACCACCCACTATCACCAGCAGCACCCAGCATGAGAAACTCCCCGCGTGACACCACTCCCCGCCCTCTCCCTCCATCACATGCTCTAGCACCACTATATCCCATAAACAGACCTTCATATAAACCCACCCGCACCCCATCTCCACTTCCTGTCAATCAATGAGAAAAACCTGCTAGCTGGAGATCGAAGATCCCGCCTCCCCACGCGACCACCTTGATTGATGGGAGGGGAGGAGGGGAGGGAGTGATGAGGGGCGGACCACACGTGCCGCCGGATGACGAGGGAGTCCAGTGTGGTGGGGAGAGTGCTGCTGTGGGGAGAGTGCTTCTGTGGAGAGAGTGCTATGGTGGGGAGGGAGGACTGGGGAGAGTGCTGTGGGTTTGGGATAGCAGGGCACAGGGCTGAGATGATCTGTTTGTCTATGCGATGTCGCCGGAGAGGATAGGTAAGGGACCCGACCGAAGACGGCGCGGGCAGCGTGGATCCGTTTTTTCTATATCACTTTTTCTCAACGGATGATGTTTGCGCGAGGTTCCCCTGGCCCTGGGCTGGGCTGGGGTAAGGTAGGGAAGCTTACGTACGCCGGGGGTGAGTTTTTCAAGGGGTTTTTTTTTCTTCAGTACGGTATGGAGTAGAGTATACATTCATCTATCTATCTATCTGTCTGTTTGTGCAGCACCATCGTCGTTGGAAGCATGCATATCGGAGAATACAAGACCAGACGGATCTGGAAAAGCGGAGGCAAGGACAAAACAAGCACTTACCACTTCTACCACTCTACCTTCTACCTAACTACCCCATACTCCACATCCCCATCCCCATTCCTGGGATCTGGTTTCAAAGACCGTTTGTTTGTTCCTGGGACTTGCCATGCGACGTACTTTATTTTACCCCATACTTCTTTACCTTTACTCACGGACGGAGGGGGACGGAGAAATTCTGTTTGGGTGGTGAGGCGGGGAGGGGAGGGAATTTCTCCGTCTGGGGGAGGGTAGATCGATCGGCCGATCGAAGAAAGACCCAACTCTGATCTATCTCCATCACGTGTGTACTTGACTGTAGCCCCCCCTTTCTTAGTAGATACGGGTTTGTGCATGGGGATGAGGATAACGAGGTGGAGGTTGATGAGGATGAATGTGTATTCCATACAGATAATGATAAACATCCCCAAGAACTCTCCCCTCCCCCTCTATACAACAACGACAACAACTCAACAATAATACCCCGACCCCTCCAACCTCCCCAACAACCCCCCAACCACATCCCCCCTCCCCACCTCCTCGAGATCAAACAATCCCCCTCTCCCTCCATATCCACCCCCTTTCCCTCTCCCTCCCCCCTCAGCCCCTAGGACACCTCCTTTCTTCTCCTCCATCCCGCGGCAGATGGTTATGAACACTTTGACTTTACTCTTGAAAGTCTTATACAACTCCTCCACCCCCTTTTCCCCATCCCCTTCCCCATTTTCAGTTGTACGGCTCGCAGCGCTCGCACTAGCAGCCCACCCCCCAAACCCAAGCACACACCCAAGAACCTCCTCCAACACGCCTCGCACCACGGATTGTCTGCCTCGAAGGAGGAGAACACCCATCATTCGCTCTAGCACTCTCTCATGATACCTCCTCAACCCCTCCACCCCCTCCCCAGCCGCCAACCCCACACCCCCAGGCTGTAAACGGTCTTCAACCTCCCTCATCTTCCCTTCCATCACCCCCCACGCCGCCGTAACACCAGACTCAAAATGCGAGCAAATCGCATTAACAAAATGCTGCGCCTCATTCCTAAACCTCGCCGCCGTTCTCCCCTCTCCTCTCCCCACCCCCCCTCTACCCCTCCTACTACTATCCCAAGTCTTAGAAGCGCGAAACAGTTCACCCATCACAAACTGCACCCTCAAACACCTCAACAACGCGCAAAAAGCACGGTCATACATATGCAAACTCTCCGGCGTGATCACCGCATCCAGCGGCGCGGGTGGGTGGTAGACTAACCGCAGGAAGTCGAGCGCGGAGAGGGAGGAGGGATCGAGACAGGCGGAGATCTCGGGGGGTGTCATGTGCCGGACCCCGAAGGAGAGGTCGCCTGGGAGCAGGGTGGGTGCGGTGTAGGCTCTCACCCTTCCACCTATCTCAAATGCCGGCGGGGAGGAGGAGGATGATGTAGATGGTCGTGAGGGAGCGCGGGGAGTGGTGGCGGCGTAACTCTCACTCAACACCCCAGATAGGACGAGTCGTAACTCCGAACCCCCAGGCGGCCAACTTCCTTCCCCCCCTAGCCCCCCAGACCCCTTCTGACGACCGCGACCACCAAGACGTAACCCCATAACCCCCTCCCTCACCACCCCGCGCTGCCGTTCCGCAGTCCCTAAATCGGGATCGAACAGCGCGTGCGCGAGACGGGATGCGAAAACCCCGGAGCCGAGGAGGGAGAAAGACCTGTGGAGACTGAGGTGCGTGGAGAGGTTGGAGGCGAGGAGGAGGGTGAGGGTTGCGTGGGAGAGGTGTGTGGAGAGGGGGGTTAGGAGGGGGGTGAGGGAGAGGTGGGGGGTTAGGGGGAGGGGGAGGGGGAGGGAGGTGGGGTTGTGGGTGAGGTGAGAGGTGGAGGGGGTGGGGGAGGCGGTGAGGTGGTTTGTGAGGAGGGTGGTGAGGGTTGAAGATGGGGTGAGGGGTGCGGTGGTGAGGGTGGTGATGGAGGCGAGGAGGTGGGCTTCCATTTCTGAGGGGGGTTTGCCGAAGAGATTGAGTTCTTCCTTTTTCTCGGCTGGTGGTGCGAGGCGTAGCGCTGGGGGTGTGTGGCCGGATGTAGAGTATTTCTCTATCGCAGCTGTGAGGTCCTTCTCGTACTGCCTAGCCCTCTCCCCAATCGCCTCGATATTCTGCCATGAGAATTCCCACTCCAACACAGGCTTCGCAGCGGCGGCGGTGACGATATCACCCCTCGCCAACGGATGCTCAGGCTGATGCTCCCTCAGCAACCTCAGACTCTGTCCCGCCTCGAATAAGATCTGCATATCCTCCTCCGGCATAAATGACGGGACCCTCGCCTCATCAAGCACGAAATCAGGAGTCCGGATTTCCATCCCATGCTCATCGATCCAGAGTCTATCCTCCGCCTTAACAAAACTCTTCCCCACGCTACCCTTGACTAGAGGCATCCCCGTTTCGCGCTGGATACCGAGCCATTCCCCCGCGAAATCCAGAAAGGGGCGGGAGACGCGTGAAAGCACTTCGAGGAGGATAGTCTGTGTCGAGTCCGTCCTATGCTCGGTCTGCTCGATGTATTGGAAGAGGTTCGAGAGCATAACCTCGTCATTCTCGGCGGACCCGGCGAAGAGGATGAGCTCGTGGAAGATGGTGAGGAGGTGCGAGACAGGCTGGAAGAGGGATTGCAGTTTGAGGATGCTTTGGAGGGAGGAGGCGGGGATGTTGAGGTGTGATTGCAGGGTTGAGAGGACTGTGGATATGGCGTCGGCTAGGGCGATGCGGCCGGGTGAGCGGTGTTTGTGGTAGGTTTTGTTGGTGAATGAGCGCAGGGCTTTGGTGGTGTTGCCGCAGTGGAGGAAGAGCGCTGTGATATCGTGGGTGAGCTCGGTGGTGCAACCGGATGTACGGACGGATTTGAGTGTGCATTCAAAGTCTTTTGTTTCTTCGTTCCAGGTGAATAGCACCGAGTCCCTGCCTAGGCCTAACGCTAGAAGTGATGATGCATATGTTGACCCGCTGACAACAACTGCATCTTGGTTGTCGATTTGGAGGGGGTTTGTGTCGTCGGCAACTGCGGCGTCGAATAGTTGCGGCCCTCCTTCTGAGACGTAACAGGTTTGTGGCGCCTCCTCCCTCTGCTCATCGAATGCATCCCATGTGAGATAATTTGCGCTTTTCAGCTCTTCCTCGGGCGCAAACGACCATATATCAACATATCCGTCGCCTTCGTCATTGTTTATTTCCTCGCCCCTTTCGCTCAGAGGCGGCGGCGTGCTGGTAGAGATGATTGAAGCTTCTGGGTTTTCGAATGGGAAATCTGGTAAGGCAAAGAAGCCGCCATTGCCTCCATGGCTGAGCGTCTGTTCCGGTAGTTTCTCACTGATATCTACACATCATTATTAGCACGGGCAACGAATTCCGTTTGAGCGCTATTACCGTCAAATTTAAGTTGCGAGAACAAGAAACCGTACGAATCTTCGGGCTCTGGAAAGTATCTCGACGATGCCCATAGATCTGGAATCGCAAATGCGTTCCCCGGATCTTCGCCATCCTCCATTTTGTGTTTATGTTGACTCAATGCTTCACTTTCATTCGGTGGACGCGTCTGGTCGCGACAACTGATGCAGCTGCGGTTGTTCCCGGCGCTAGTGTCGGCCTTGCATTGAAGCCCAAGGCTGAAGGCGCAACCGTCAGAAAATCCAAACAGATTTCCATCAGACCCTCAATTAAGAACGTCAATTCCTGAAGCACAAACAAATCAATCCAAAGTTTTGTGCTCTATATATTCATCCTACAACTAGCGGCACTGTTCAATTCGGGCTGAACCTCGAAATGCCACCGCGAAAGAAGACTAGGGGTGGTGGGCGCATCGCGTCAACTCCTGGCCATGATGAGGGCGATTCCATGGTTGTCGACACACCAGAAGAGCAGGAATCGCCTGATAAGCCAGCATATGATCCATTACAAGACCCGTGGACGGATGAGCAAGAGACGTCTCTGTATAAAGGCATAATCAGGTGGAAGCCAGCAGGTAAGACCCCTACGTCTTTCACGTGGGAAACAGACAGCTAATCGGTCTCAAGGGATGCACAAGCACTTTCGCATGATCGCACTATCAGAATACCTCCGAAATCACGGATACAAGGCGGACGTGCACACTAGGATACCTGGAATATGGGAGAAATTGGGCCGATTATACAACCTGGATCTCATCGATGAGCGCGAAAACACACTAGACTTCGCCGAGGACGAAACGGGAGAGGACAAATTCCTGGAATTCTCCCTACCAGAAGATGAATTCGGCGAGATGATGTGGATTCGCGGCCAAGTGTCCAGCGAGGCGCTCTCCTCACCTCCCCAGATAAATGCGCCGCCAGATCTCCCGCCGCCCAAGAAGCGCAGGCGCGGCGAAGCGGCTTCGAACAGAGCCAGCACCGTCGAGGATACTGATGACGCGCAAACATCTCCGCCGCCGCCCTCCTCGGCGACTCGGCCTGGTCGTGGCCGAGGCGGACGACGTGGTCGCGGGCGAGGGGTTGGAAGGGGCAGGGAGTCGAGTGAGAGGCAGGCGAGCAAGGAGACAACAGCTGAGCCTACGGATCAGGAGGAGGTTGAAGAGACGGGGGATGATGGGGATGAAGATGAGGCGGAAACAGCGGAAGAGACCGCTGAGGACGGGAGTCCTTCTCCGCAACCTGCCAGCACGAGAGGTCGGGGAAAGGGAAGCAGGGGAGGCGGCAGAGGACAAGGCAAGAGCCGGCGTGGAAGGAAGCGGGGTAAGTAACCTGGGTGGTACTTGTTTATACGCTGTATAGCTACTCCAAATGTTGATACGATTCATGAGGTTGAGAATTTGAAGCTGTATATGTTGTCTTCGCTATATCGCGATTGAAGGCGCCGGAATAACCAAAGCTCCGAGACGGCTGGACCCGGCGGTTATCATGTGGATGTATCTTTCCTTACACCCGGCTGTGTTGATGATTAAAATTCACAGTATGATTGCCTCAAGGATGGTCGATTTGGAGATTCCGAAGCTGCCGTACTATAATTGTACCATAATGTAAATAATCATATGTACCCAGTGGCAAATTGTGGAGTTGTTGTATATGCGGTCGACATGCATCTGACGCGTGTGACTGGAAAGGCGGCGGGTTGGAAAAGCCGAGGCTCAATCCCCAACCCACTCCGAAGCCGAAGACATCCAACTAGTAAATGACGCTCGGTACACACCTCCCAAATTTATTTACGTGTGATATCTCATTTCAGAACTCTCTCCCCTTTCTCCCCGTTTATATCTAAGTCGTGAGGCATGTTGAACGTGTTTGCAAAGAGCCGTGTGTCGTCATCAGCGCTGAGAAGTGGTTTACAGTCTATGCGAACGTCGAGAGTAAGTCCGGAACACAGAGCTTCCAACGGGCTCGAGAATCCCCGCAGAAGCTGACATTTTTCACAGATTATTACTCCAGCCATGACACGAAACAACAGCTCTCTGCCAGCTGGTATGTTCTTCTCGCCGCTCGAGGCGTTGCCCGCCCGCATTGAGCACATGCTAACCCCCAGACAGGCTACAAAGAGGATAACTCGAAGGGTCCTATGCTCCGATATGAGGAGTCCCTTCCCAAGCTCCCAGTGCCAACTCTTGAGGAGACGGCGGCGCGCTATGTCAAGTCCGTCCACCCGCTCGTCTCGGCGACCGAGTTCGAGCACACAAAGAAGGTCGTTGCCGATTTCATCCAGCCAGGCGGTATCGGCGAGAAGCTCCAGAAGAAGCTGATCGCCCGCCGCGATGACCCCAAGACGGCCAACTGGATCTACGAGTGGTGGAACGATGCTGCATACCTCTCATACCGTGACCCCGTCGTGCCATACGTCAGCTACTTCTACTCACATCGCGATGACCGCAGGCGGCGCGACCCCTCCAAGCGCGCTGCTGCTATCACCACCTCCGCTCTGGAGTTTAAGAAGCAAGTGGACTTGGGCACTCTCGAGCCAGAGTACATGAAGAAGCTCCCAATTGCCATGGACAGCTACAAGTGGATGTTCAACTGCAGCCGTGTCGCAGCTAAGCCGGCTGATTACCCCATCAAGTTCAACCACGAGGAGCACAAGTACATTGCTGTGGTTCGCAAGAACCAGTTCTACAAGGTCTTCACTGAGGTCGACGGCCAGCAGCTCAACACTGCTGAGCTCGAGGCTCAGTTCCGCCGCATCTACGAGATCGCCGAGACCGTCCCAGCTGTTGGCGCTCTCACCTCCGAGAACCGTGACGTCTGGACCGACGCCCGCGAGATCCTCCTCAAGGCCCACCCAGCCAACGCAAAGGCTCTCGAGGCCATTGAGGCCGCCTCTTTCGTCGTCTGCCTTGATGACGCCGCCCCGGTCACCCTCGAGGAGCGCGCGCACCAGTACTGGCACGGTGATGGCAAGAACCGCTGGTTCGACAAACCCATCCAGTTCATCATCAACGACAACGGAACCTCCGGATTCATGGGCGAGCACAGCATGATGGACGGCACCCCCACCCACCGCCTGAACGACTACGTCAACGACGTCATCTTCAACAACAAGCTCGACTTCTCCGCCACCAACGTGCGCTCTTCCCTCCCCGAGCCCGCCCCAGTCAAGTTCCACGTCACCAAGGAGGTCGCCTCCGAGATTCACCGCGCCGAGAAGGACTTCGCCGATGTCATCGGCCAGCACGAGCTCCGCGTCCAGGCCTACCAGGGCTACGGAAAGGGCCTGATCAAGAAGTTCAAGTGCTCCCCCGACGCATACGTGCAGATGATCATCCAGCTCGCGTACTTCAAGATGTTCGGCAAGAACCGCGGCACCTACGAGTCCGCCGCCACCCGCCGCTTCCAGCTCGGTCGCACCGAGACTACCCGTACCGTGTCTGACGACTCGGTTGCTTTCTGCAAGGCTATCAGCAACGCGGATAGCGACTCCAAGGCTACCGTTGAGCTTTTCCGCAAGGCTATCAACTCCCACTTGGAGTACATCGCTGCTGCATCCGACGGAAAGGGTGTCGATCGCCACCTGTTCGGTCTTAAGAAGCTCTTGGCGCCTGGAGAGGAGGTGCCAGCTATCTACAAGGACCCAGCGTTCTCGTACTCTAGCAAGTGGTTCATCTCCAGCTCGCAGCTGAGCTCCGAGTACTTCAACGGCTACGGATGGTCCCAGGTTGTTGACGACGGATGGGGAATCGCCTACATGATCAACGAGAACAGGTAAGCACATTCTCGAATTCTAATTTTTGAATAATACTGACAATACATACAGCTTGCAATTCAACGTTGTCTCGAAGGGTCTTGGCAGCGAGAGGATGAGCTTCTACCTCAACGAGGCTGCTGGTGATATCCGCGACCTGATGCTCCCAACTCTTGAGGCGCCAAAGGCCAAGTTGTAGATGTGGATTGAAGAGTGCTGGGAGCAGCAAGGTGTAGACGAGCGTAGATGGTGGTGATGTGACATATATCCTCACTGCGGTTTTTTGTATATTACGGTGGAATGGGCATGGGATGAGGGAATGGGACAAGCATTAGATAGCTTACACATAAACATCATCCATTTGACTGCATAGTATCCAATCCATTGAATGCCTTAGTAGACACATGTATTACTCAATCAATATGCTTCACATGATCAGAACAACCCATGATTCCACAGTCAAAAAGAGGAAAGACCGGAAATAAACTTGCTGGAGTTATATATATTCTTGTACGCAAGACAAAAAAAAGGCTATTCGCCGTATATAAAACGAGCGCATGTGCTGTGCTGTGGTATCTACTTCTACACTCCTCCGCTGATCCCTTATTCACAAAGGCGGTGCTCCTAACCTATACCTCTCATCACAGCCAATTCTTCATTCACAAACCGTTATTAAAGCCAACAAACCCCGTCATAACCTCCCTTTCAACCCTTTCCCATCTCATCTCGCTGGGATAATTATGCCTGGTCAGCTCCGGTGATAGCATCGTACTTCCCACTGGTAACCTTTCGTACACTCTCTATTTTCGTCCATCCATTCGCCTCTCCACTATCGGCGCCCTTCGCCGCGTCCTCGTCTGCGAATGGGTCCGGCTCCGCATTCTCTGGACCCTTCCCCTTCCCCTCTATTTCTTCCGCCACGCCGGTCTTCCAGCTGACTCCGATGCCACTGCCAACCACGGTTTCCGCAGGTACGGCAATCTCCCATTTCGCCTCTACAACACCCGGCAAAACATGTCCTCCCTGGTCACCCAACAGACGACCCAGAACCTTGTTCGTAACTCCAGGCTCGAGCAGCACGTCGCCTAAGCGCCAGAAAACCAGGCTCTTCTCCTTGACATGTGTACCCGACGGCCTCGTCTGCGCGCTGATCGCTTTTGCGCCTTCGTACGACACGATCAGCGTGAGGTTGCTCAGCGTCAGTGGTTCGGAAGAGTATGCCTCGTTGAGCGAGTAGTCGACTACGACGCCGAGTTTGTCGCCTTGGGACTTCCACATCGGCTTGATGAGAAGCGGCACTTGCGCATAAAGGTTGTGGGGCTCCGTGTGAACCTTGTATTTGAAGGCGCAGTTGGTCCGTTTGATCTCCGAGAGCTGAACGCTGTATTCGCCAGCCAGACTTGACTCATTTAGGAATGCCTTGTTTGGCGCGATCGCTTCAAGGCCGGCAAAATTGAAAAGCCGGATCGCAGCAGTATCTGATTAATTATTAGTCTACCTTCGATTATAGTGTTTTGGTTTGCAATAACTTACCTGGTATTTCCTTAACAGATACCGGGTGCACATAAGACAAAGCTATTTCGCCAATAGTAGTAACGGTTTTGATCTCGCCGTTCTCAGAAAGTAAGTTCACCGTCTCGATGATGGACGAATTGAGACCTGGCCTAGTCATCTCAGGATGCTTAATGTGCCCGCCTCCTGCAGATGTCGCGGAACGTATCGAATCAGCTGACGAGCCGAGATCACTAGCTGATGCAGCCAGATTGGCAGCTCGACCAATCCCTTGGGATGCGGCAGGAGGTGCAGAAAAGCTGGCAGCACCGGGGCTACGTTGTGCCTCAGATACAGATACTTCGGGCCCTGGGACGTACATCGAATTTCTGACATCTCGGCGTCCTCGCACAGTGCCGACTTTACGTGACGGCGCAGGGAGGTTGGCAGTACGGAGAGTATTTGCAACATTTGACAAGGCAGCCTGAGCATCTGCATCCTCTTCTTGAATGGCCTGCTGCGCGATGTTGAGCTTGAATGCTGGCGTCGCTTCGTTCTCACTGTTTGCTTCTCTCTGGGCTTGGGATATAGCATCGTTGGCGGCGGGCGGAACGGTGAATCCTTCTTCATCTAGTTGGGCGGCGTTAGAGCTGGCCCCATCGACTTGCGGTGGCGGTTGAGGGATTGCAGAATCTATTAAAGATCCGTCTCCTGCTGAGCCTCCATTCGTGTCACGTGTAGTATCGTCAGGTCTACTTTCACCATCGGCGGGAACGGGTTGAACGGGTGGAGGTAATCTCGATGTTCTGGGTGATGTTGCTGGTGATTCTGCCACTGCACCCAGACTACTGTTCTGTCGCGTGTTGTCGCGTAGATTGCTAGACGAGGCTCGCGGAGACGGTGCTGGTCGACCGTCTCTGCTCCGAGGCGGTGCGCCAAGAGCAGAAAAGCCTTTGGATGGAGAGCTGGATCGTCCAAAGGATCCCGCGTGAATGCTCTGCCTTCTTCGGTTCATTATTGTGCCAAATCGCTTTAGCGTACTCTCTTTCTTGTGTTCTATGACGAGACGTTAGGTATAACACTCGACTCACGAGTTGATTGACTTACCAGACGACGCGTCATTTCTAGCAGAGTGCAAGCTTGAGCTGTCTTCAGTGGGCATTCTCGGCGGCGGAAGTGCTAGGTTGGCACTGCTAGCACTGACAGTGGAGCCGGTGCGAGCAGCAGTCGCCCTCCGCTCGAGCTTGGGCTTCCCCTGTGTAGCATTGGTAGCGAAATTATGGATCTCCACGGCAGTGTCTACCTCTAATAGCGAGGTAAGAGCTGCCTCTGTCGATACTCTGTTCCTTTCAACCTGGTCCATCTCGTGGGTTTCGAACTGGGTGAGCACGTCCCGGAGGTGGTTGAGTCGAGTCTCATCGATCGCCTGGAGCTTCTCGAATATAAACGGGGCCTGCGATTCCCATTCTGACGTTACGGAGTTTAGCTTCTGTGTTGCCTGCTGGGTCTTTGCCTGGTTGGCCTTCGAGCCCTTCTTTGCCAATTTATCCACAGTATCTTGAGCTGATTCATATTCCTTCGCCATCTGTGCCAGATGCCCTTGTATAGTGAGAACAGATCCCATCTCTTTGTTTTTCGTGGGGAATTGTCGCAGCGCCTGCTCCACATCCTTCTCTATTCCTTTCGCAAGAATTGCATGTGAGGTCGCAGTCTCGTCGACCCAGGCCACTATCTGTGACCATGGGGCATTGAATATCCTACAAATCATGTCAACTACAGCTCGTCGATCGGCAATTAGAGGGTTTCGCACCCTAACTCGGACGCGGTATCTGGCAGCGGTCGCCTTGCAAGCTTCTTAAGGCCTTGTACATATAAATCCTCGACCTTCCGTCGCTCCTGAGAGGGCGTTAGTGAGGTCATTGCAGTGACGTTTCTCGACAAAGAAACATACCTGGAGCCAGTCCGCTATCTCCGCATTGAGCTTTCCCACGCGCTTTACGCGCTCACTGAAGATATGAACTGCCTGTGAGGGTGGCAGCGACACCTGTAGAATGTCAATTACGTCCCGCGCAAGCCGGTGCTAAAGGACAACACTCTTACCAGCATTCCAGGGTACTCCTGTCGCACGAGACCCTCCATTGTGAGGTCTTTGGATCAGTTTGCGATCTGAAGGTGTCTGGTAGCGTCCATAAGACAGTATCGGCTGTCAGCAGTAAGAATAACAGGTGTGGTTGTGAGAGTCGGGTGCGTAGTCAATGATGCTCATAATGTGTACTGGCCGTTTGTGTTGACATGGAAGCTCGTCCTTAATCGACTGACCATCGCTCTTGGCGTGCGGCCGCATTAATCCCGGTTATTGTGGGTGGCAAATACCCCACGAACTGAGACCCCCGTCGTGTCGCTTCGGAAAAATGTCAGGTAGAGACGATGAACGTCAACTCAAATTCTCATCTGATCGTCATCAGATGAACACTGAAATAATAAATAAGAGCAACTAGAGCTCTTAATATTTTTTAATATTCCACTGTTGACAAAGAGATCAGGCGCTCATAGAGTACAGTGTTCCAAAGGAAACCTCTTGTATTCCCTCCCATATCAAGCGCCAGCGGGGTATCATATTTCGCTATGGCTGGCGTCGCAGATTGGAAATCGGGTCTTCCTGCAACGGTTCGCTTTGAGAATGTCGAAAACATGCACGTGTGCTTTCCCTTTGTAAAGAAAAATCCTAACATTGCTCAGCCAAAAGGGAATAGAAGCTGCAGGAGAGCCGTCAAAGGCCAAGGCCCAAAAGGCCGCCTTCGCCGCCGAAACTGAAGCTTATAAGGATTCACATTCCTTGGTAAGTCTAGATTTTTGTTATTGTTGTGTTATCTCTACTTATGTTACTGTGATTACTACCATAGTGGTTGTTCAGGAGCTATGTCGTCATAGCAGGCTTGTTCTGGTTTCTCTCTTGTGTCTGCCTCCTTAAAATGGGGGGAGAGTATCGGTTTCGTCTGCTTTATGCTACCACCCTTTAACAATAAATGTGGTGCTAGAGTAGTGGCCAACTCGCATCTAGCTACTTCGAAAGAAGAAGTATTCAATGAATTGAATCTTACACTTCCAGGAGACAGTGGTTCGAATCCGTTGCACCGCAATATTCTTTAATTATTTTTACTCTTAACCCCCTTTTCAGATCATACATCTCATTATTTACTCTCCAGATCTGCACATTGTCTTCCTACATGATTGAATTATCGCCTTCTCGTACTAACAAATATTAGGAAGCATACACAGCCGTCTGCCTGGCCCATTCTTCTACCGCTTCATCAACTTCACCCACCTCGCTGCCCATAGCCCCAGCACCGACAAGAACATCTTCAGAGCCCTCCACAACAATTGGCCCCTACCACCCCTGCCATCTCATTGCCACATCACCCGTCTCCTGCGTCTACCACCACCCTGATTCCACGACCCCCCTGGCTGTGAAGCTCATCACCACCTCGTCTCCAACCCCTCCACACAACCCAGCCCGCGAAGCCGCCATCCTCAAGTCACTCACGCACCCCAACATCATCCCTCTCATCTCTACACTCCACGACTCCGACGCCCACCTCATCCTAACCTTCCCCTACTACCCCCTCACTCTCGCCACCGCCCTCACCCTTCCCTCCCCCCCAAAGCTCCTTCCCCTCCTTCACGACCTCTTCGCTGGCCTTGCACACCTCCACGACAGAAACATCATCCACCGCGACATCAAGCCCTCCAACCTGCTCCTCACACCCAACCGCCTTGTTATTGCTGACTTCGGCACTGCCTGGCACCCCAAGCTCTCTACCGACGAGCCACGCAACCAGAAATGTCTCGATGTCGGCACGGGTGCTTACCGTGCTCCTGAAACGTTATTTGGTGACCGCAAGTATGGCACAGAGCTAGACATGTGGGGTGCAGGCTGTGTGATGGCAGAGTGTTTACGTGAGCCTCATACGCCGCTATTTGAGTCAAGAGGGGCACACGAGGATGGGAATCAACTTGGTCTGATTTTGAGCAGTATGTCTGTCCTCTATATATTTCTCTGCCTTTCCCCTTTTCCGACCCAGCTAACCCCATCAGTCTTCAAAACCCTCGGCACCCCCGACCCCTCCACCTGGCCTTCAGCCACGAAACTCCCCACCCCACCCTTTGAGATGTACGCCACATTCCCTGCGGTGCCGTGGAAGACGCTCATTCCTCCGACGTCGAACCCAGAGTTTGCAGGGAAATGGGATCAACTGCGTGAGATCGTCTGGTGGCTGGTTATGTTCGAGCCGGGGTATAGGACAGCACCGGAGGCAGCGATGGAGATGCTTGAGTTGGCAGGGGTGAAGGTTGATGGACGTGAGTAGCATCTTGATATGGCATTCTAAATATATAGAATAATTCATCCTAAGTTACTTCCGCTCTCTTGTCTGGAATCTTTTCTCATTCGCTAAATACAACTGCTCAGAAGGAGCCTAATGCCAATACTTGGGTGCCACCGCTTTGGTCGTCAACCACGCCTTCTCCAGCGCCTCAACAGCGTCATCCGGCAACGGACCCTTCTCCAAATCCGTCAGGTTGCCCTCGAGGTGCTTTGTGCTACTCGCCCCAATGATAACAGCATCCCCCAACTCTGCCTTCAGCTGCGAATGGTGATGTAACCACCTCAGCGCGATCTCCGCAACGGTAAGCCCATGCTTCTCCGCGACACCATTAATGATATCCAGTGCGTCGAAGTAAGAGTCGTTCCAATAGCGTCCACGATGAATGGTACCTTGAAATATCTTAGGGTCGAATCGGCTGCCTTTTTCGAAGGTCTCTTGATCCCGCGTGTAGCGCCCAGTCAAGAACCCACCTGCGAGAGGCTGGAAGGCATAGAGAGAGATGCCGTAGTGGCGGAGGCAAGGGAACAGTTCCGCCTCAACAGTGCGCTGCAGTGCATGATAGACGCCCTGGTATACGGTAGGCTTGATCCATCCATTTTCCTCACAAATCTCCACGATTTTTGCAACCTCCCAAGACATGTAATTGCTAATTCCAAAACGCTTGAAGTAACCCTCCTTATAAAGATTGTTGACCTCGCGGAGAGTGTCCTTGAAGGGATTCTTGCGATCAGGCCCATGGAGATAAAACATGTCGATTTTGTCGGCCTTCAGCGCCTTGAGACTCGCCATGAGGCCTCTGCGCACATCCTCTGGCTTATGGGTGTATGGATCATCCTTACCCATCTCCATGCCAGCGTTTGGGTATAACTTTGTGTCCATAACAATGCCTCGCTTCTGCCAATCGATATCTGCGAGTATTTCCTCCGTTGTGCCGTTCCCATATATCCGAGCACTGTCAATTTCGTCGTGGCCATGTTGCTGGAAGATGTCCACGATCTTTCCTGCTTCCTCAGCAGTATATACTCGGGAACCTAACGTATCTGGAAATTCGAGTTAGCAATAGGTGGATCTTGGAGGGCGTCACACTCACTCTCTTTGCCAAATGTCATGGAGCCAAACACTATCTTAAGATTTTGAGACATCCTTGCGGTAAATAGATCAAAAGTGATCGGCTTTAGACGTAAAATAAGTTGTTTAAGTAAATGGTAGCAGAAATTTGTGCTGGTTAGAGGTATTTATCCCAAACGCACGAAACTGGTGAATGAAGTTATAACATTCGTCAAAAGGGCGAGTGTGAGAGTAGTTATAGAAGTTACTACGGTTTTAGAAGTTGTAAGTCCATTCCTTAAATCCGTCGACAACGTACGTCATATCGAGGTGCATAACTGCTCGGAGATATCATAGTGGAGGTTCAGATACACTAGATTTGTAGCTTTTCGACTAAAGCTTCCCGCCGATTCAACTGTAATAATGGTTGCGTCTAACTATGTAGGTAGTGATTAGTGGTGGCGATTGCCGCACCATTCCGTACCGTAGATTATCCGACGCTAGTGGAGTAACCATAAGCAGGATGCATGAAAAGGAGTTAAGCCCTCAATATGACCGGGGAAACAAGCAATAATAGCCACACTTCGTGCTTTACGATTCTTGAATCGCTCTGCTTCACAGTAATTAAGGAATCCGTAGATACATCGAGCACGCTGCTTTGTGCACATTCTAAAATTATGGTCAACATGTGCACCGCAATAAGTATAGTAACATAATTGTAGGTCGATCAAGTATAAGACCGCATTTGAAACTCAATCTCCAGATTCAAGCATCTCTAGTAACATCGAAGATATCCCCTCCCGGTCTATATGTACATATTCGCTAATCAACTGCCGGGTATCATATTGTCTTATTCTTGACTCCATTTAGCAATAAAAATTGCCATGAGCGTATTCAACAGCATAATAATCCAGGCCGCAAATCCCATCGCACCCTGAAAATCTTGCTTGTAAATATCCCACAACAACGCCGCAGCACCGCTCACCCCTAAAATTACCAAATTCAGGACGAAGACCTTGAGATAGTCAGGGCCCTCGTCAATATGCACGCCCCATCCATAAGACACTGGAGCGGTAGATGCGAATATACTTTGGTCTAACTTCCGCGGAATGCGGGGAAGCCAAATCAGGTGGCGGGAGGGGATGCAACCGGAAAATAGGTAGTGTAGAAAGAGATCGGATGAGATAGGGAGCTCGTTCTCGAGAGGACATGGGTCGTAGTGGTAGCGTTTTGCTACCACTTCGGATTTTGGTGGTAGTGCAAGGGGTTTGTCGAGAATGCCTACCCGGTAGCGGTCTTCTACTGAGAACTGTTTCGTTCGCTTAGTTCCCATCAAGGTAAGGGATAGGAGTGGAATGGTAAATTTACTCGAACATAAGAGACATTAACAGGTTTCAGGAGCCAAAACCGGGCGCGGAAGCTTCGAAGTCGAAGATAATGCGATTTGACTACGCCGAAAAATTCGCCGTCGGTGTTAATTGAACTTACGTCAATCTCCCCGAGAGTCTTCAACAATTTGCCCGAGTTAACACAAAGCTCCAAAAATTTGTAGCTTGATTCTGTAGGCACGGCACTAGTAGTGGAGTTGGTCCCGATTTGAGTTTGAGTAGGGCTGGAAGAATGTAGTCTTGGAGCCGGGCCTAATTGAGTGGTAGAATTTTGAGAAATATTCCCTATCGAATGGACTAGCATTGGCATGCTTATGGCTCTGAGTAAAGATCGATTAGGTATATCAGAGACTCTTGACAGCTGTGAATCTTCTAATGAGGAGAAGAATAGCGCACTTATTGTTAGAAGGCTTGTAGAGTTACTGTTGAAATCCATATAAAGCAAGTCACCGCACCCCTATAAATTGTGATGTTAGTTCAATTCACAAAATAAGTTAAAAGGTAAGCCTACGCATATCCATTCGACCCGTTGAGATCCTTTCGGAATAGGCGGTCGTAGTAACCTTCGAAAGAAATTTTTACCCCGTCTGAGGAAGTCCTTTAGTTGCTCTATATCGTCTAATTCCTTGACATAAGGCTATGACGGCGAATTATTAGATCTTCTGTGAAGCAGCTGTCTTAAGACTATACTTACATAGCCCCTATCCTGGGACATTACAGTCGCCGGCGCAGGAATGCTAGGATCACTACCTTCAACCTTCTTAGTCGCTTTATCGTGTGGCGTGGTTGAGATTATAGCAGTGTCGTTTTTAAGAGCTTGAGATAATTCGCTTCTCTAGTTAGTCGTCGTGTTTCTAGTTCGTGAACTATGGTTAGGCTTACAGATGATCCTTCTGAAGCGCGATTTCGATGAGTAATTTCAGTTGCTTAACTTTTGACAGTACGCTAGAAACCTCTTCTTTACTAGATTCCCAGGTAGTCGATGTTAATTTTAACTTCAACTGCTGAAGTGTAGACGTGTACTGATCTACAGGTCCATCAACAAGAGCCTTCACCTGCAAATTCCACGGCTCATTTGAAGACGCTTGTTCATGAATGTGGTAGTTTAGGGCCGAGAGAAGATTAGAGACGTGTGATAGTTCGATTTCACACTGCGTATGATCCATTGGTAAGCCTTTCGCATCGTGTAGACATGTTACAATATCGCTAGTGAGTCGTATGGTACCAATAATTCTAACGACGACACTAAAGGAATCCATATTAAGCACTCCAAGATTTTAGGGACAAGATTGCTCTAAAGGATAACAAAGTACTTGCATCAGAGCAGTAAATCAACTAAGTAAATGGGAATCTTTGTCGTAACGGATTTTGTAGGGTGGGAAGAATGTGCCTTGCATTTATGTTAACGATGCAGCTTCTATGCCATCGAACGACGATGGGCTGAGGCTAAGGCTCAGCTCGGGGTTGACACCACGGCTGTACGAGACGGAAACGCCCGGAATTTATTAACGTATTGGAGCTCAAGTTTGCGGGGCTTATCCAAACTAGACATTGATTATACAACCAAGGCTATGCTTCATAGGCTGAGCTTCACGGCAAGACCTTGACCGGTTGGTCTAAAGGGTTACGCCAAGAGCTAGGCTACATCTGCAAGTTACCAACAACCTGGCTGCGATGCAGACCACGACATCGACAGCCCCTCCGCCCTACTCTCCCCCCATTCCACAGCTCTCCCTCTCCCCATCCCAAGACGTCTACATAGGCCCTCACCACTCCTCCAAACCCAACCCAACCACACCCATTACTAACGACATGATACATGATCCACAGAAGCCCTTGTCCACCACACGTTCACCGCCTGGCATCTGCTTTGTCCATGCCGCAGCGACGGGTGCGAGGTCGGCGATGGGATAATGTGGCGATGATAGGGGGCGCCAGTCGTGAAAAGGTACCAATGACTGCAAACCCCAACCCTCACCCCGCTTTCTCCACAAATGCTTGATCTTTCTACGCCTCCGCGGTAGGCTTTCACAAGCCCTTGAATTTGTTGGTGAGTTCGTGAGAAGGAAGGTCTGCCGTATGCTTTTGGACGTTAAAGACCGAGTCACGTCCTAACTTGGGCGAGCAGGTATGATTTTGCAGACTGACATATGCTTCCCCCGCCACTGTCTCAACCACCTTCCAATCCTCTTCATTCTCGGCCCCTCCCCTGAGATACCTATATGACTCCCCTTTCTCTCACCCAACTCCCTTCCACATACATACCACCAATCATGATGGAAGAAAACAACGGATTTCAGGACAAAAAAATATACCAGGAGGGACGACTACAGAGACTCCATCCCCCAAGCGCCGCCCCCGCTTTCAGTTCAGCGCAATACTAACGACGGCAGACTGTTGCGGCGACGAGAACACAGCAGTGGCTGTAACGCGTGGTGAGAATATAGCGGTGGTGGCACACAGTATCAGAGACTAGAAACGCAGCAGCGACACGGAACGAGCAATCCAAGTCTTATCTTGCTCTACTTCGTGTATTGGTTCATAACAAATGCATATGACATCCTTGACCGAGAGCTAAAAACAGAGGTAGGCAGAAGCATATCTTTTCAAGGGCCTCATTTGGGTGATCGTTGTGCTTCAACTTAAGTTTCAGACGAAGAGAACAATATGTTGCTAGCCTCCGCTCTAGCGCTTGGGGGAAATGGGGATAGCTAGATCAGCACGAATGAGTTTATGGTGCGGCTGTATGGAGAAGAATAGTCATATCTTTTTGCAATAGGGGGTTTCGGGGACGGATAGAGCGAGATAAATCTGGGAAAAGGGGATAAAAGATGACTCCACTCACTGAGCACCCCCGGGACAAGAAATTATCCATAAGTACCAGAATGAAAAAGGTACAATACCCAGGCTCATTCCTCTTCACGCATCGCTTTGTAAAGTGTATAAGAACTAAAGTCCGAGTTCTGATTTTATGATTCCCGTAGCCGTGAAAGCCAAAGACGTCCACAAATCAGCAAGACGGTATCAAGTGACGATTATGCGAGCAAGATACAACATTACACGTAGTGTGGAGTGTATGATATCGCCATGAGAAATGGAGGGTAATAAAAATATGAGGTGAGAGCGCAGTGGTGACAACCCCCAGTCAGTGACGAGAACCCAACGATAACAACATAGCACCGACAACGCTACCCCTCCTACCACTCATCCATCTACCACCAACACACTCCCCGCCTTCTCCCTCCAGACACCCCACCGCTTCCGCACCAGAGAGCGGACAGCGTAGGTAGAGGATAAGATCTCCAGATAATTGTTGGTGCTGCATTGGAGAGGGGGGCGGGGGTGGTTTTTAGAGTTTTCAAATGGGAGAGAGCGTTGTGGGTGGTACTTGGGATGGGGATGAGGATGACGAGGGGTTGGATAGACTGATAGATAGAAAGATAGAAAGACAAAAGCTACCGCACGCATATCTACTTAGTCGAAAGGATATCAAATCATTACCGAACCTGAAATATCCTTCCATTCCGCCCATCTCCCAACGTCTCCTTGCTAGACAACTATATAAACCCCTCCCCTCCAACCCAAAATTTCCTTCTCCTCTCAACCAAACACCTGATCGACTACATGCAGTTCCAGAACCCGTCCCCCACCACCGCGCAATCCACCGCGCAATCCACCACGCCCCCCTCCTCGCCTGTGCTCACCACCCCGTGCTCTCGCGCCGTCTATACCCTGCGGCACTGGCGGTGCAATGTGGTAAAAATCTAGCGGTGACAAGATATTGATAGTGGTGAGAGGGTGCGGTGACAATAGTAGGCCCCCCTCTCAACGCCGCACCCACCCACCCACGTTTATCGTGGAGACTCATATTCTTCCTAAGTCCATTGCGGCGAGAACAACGCAACATGTGCGTTGCGGACATCTATCTCGTGAGTTGGAATTGGAAGAAAATAGTCGCGCGGACTGGTTTTATAGATGGAGAGCATGGGGGTGGTGCATATGGACACGTGGGAGTGACGAGATGCTGCTGGCGCATATAACGGGTCTATCGCCCTTTTTGTGGTATTCATATAATACACCACCAACACTACATCCAACCACACCCCGTACACCCATCTAATATATAAACACCATATCATACACCTCCCCTCTCCTCACCTCACTTCCTCCCAACCCTCTGCTTCAACAAACAATGCTCCCCATACACCCTCTCCCCCCCCAACCCCAACGGCACCCACCCCAACCTCGCCAACAACCCCGTCCTCCCCGCATCCATAAAGCGTTCACACTTCACCACCTCCCACGTCTCTGTATCGAGCATGTATGCAAGTTCCAGGGCTGAGGGGGTGGAGGAGGGGAAGTGGGTGTCGACTAGGAAATCGCAGGTGGCGATATCGACCTGTTTTTCGTTAGCATTCTACCCTTATCCATTCACCTATCTCGCTAAAAACAAGGAAAGTAAAGGGGGAAAGGGGGATAACGGGGGCGAACTGACATATTTCCCCACATCCTCCAAATTCTCATCATTCATCCCCTCCGGCACCACCCACGTCCCCGGCCACCACCCCCCTTCCCCCCCCTCTCCACCCTGCTTCCCAAACTGCCCCGGCAACAACCCCCTAAACTCGCTCCTAACAAACCTCGCCCTCATCCCCTCTGGCAAAAAATACGAAGAAGGAAATCTATACCAATCCTTCCCCAAACACAGCGACGACCCCTCCACCGCGACCCCTGGTGATTGCAGTGGTTCGTAGATATGCAGAGGTGCAGAGAAAGCGTCATAGGCGCCGAGGATGCGAGAGAATCCTAGGATGATGGAAGTTCCCAGCGTGGAGACGACGAGGAGGAGTTTTAGCCCTGCTGGGACGCGACCGATCAGCGTGCGCGGCGACGACTGCCCCAGAGCCGCGAGGAGGATATGCAGCGAGATCGCCGCATTCAGCGCCAGCGCCGGGTACGCCGGGTACATAAACCGCTCCTCCTTATGCGGCTGAGCCGAGAAAATCGCGAGCCACAGGTAAAACGGCGTTATAAACACCAAGGTCCGCAGTCCCGAGGCGAGGGGCTGGCGGGAGAAGAGTTTTAGGAGGATGAAGAGCGGGAGGGAGGCTAGGGCGAGAGGGAGGAAGATGTGGAAGTTCAGGAGGAGGTTGCGGATGTAGAAGGACCAGGGCTCGGTGCCGTAGATGTTGGGGCCTTTGTGGGGGGGGCTGAAGACGTTGTAGAGGACTATGTTGAGGGGGACGAGGGTGGGGAGGCGGTAGAAGGTTGAGGAGATTGTGAATTCGGCGAGCTGTTTACGTTAGGATATTCCATTCCATCGATTCCCATTCACCCCATCTCTCACATCTCGCTGTCAGGGGAATTACTCACCACAACCAAAAGCGACGCCCCCACCCCCTTCACCAACCTCCTCACCGCATCAACAAACGCCTCCCTCCCATTAACAACCGCCAAAACCCCCTCCTCCACCAAAAACGGCACTGCTAACGCCACCGAAAAAGGCCATCCCAACACCCCTCCCACCGCGAACCAAAACACCCCCTGCGCCGTCCTCAATCCCCCCCTCCAATTAATAAAAGCCGCCATCCCAAGCATCGTAGTATACATCGCGAAACTACTCGGCAGAAACGCCGTCGCCGCCCTAAACACCCCCGGGCTGCTTATCATAGCAAGTAAGAAGAACAGCGCGATGCGTGGGTTGAGCGTAATGCTAATAACACGGAATAACTGCGTCTGACACACCGCACACACAAAGGCCAGCGTATACCTTATAAAATAAAACTCCCCCACCTTCGTCGGGAAAGGCAAGAGTCGTCGGACACTCCCAACAAGGGCATGGAGACCGACATACGCCCAACTCCGGATCGAGTACACGGGGGAGTACTCCCATGTCTGTAGCCCGGAGGAGTGGGCGAGGTAGTGGGTGGGCTCCCAGTAGTTGAATGTCTCGTCGCAGTCTTCGATGGGGGAGGTGAGGGCGGCGAGGAGGTTGAAGAAGAGGAATACCCACAGGGCTGTGATGGGCTTCATGGCGAAGGGGGTTGGTGGGGGACTGGCGGGGACAGGTCAGCGTGGAGCTTTGGGGGAGGGATTGGGATTGGCAGGGCGTACGTTTTTTTGGGCTTCGCTGTCCCTGACTGGGCAGCTATGCCCTTTGATTGCGATGCAGGTGGCATCTTCGACGGCGGAGGCATAGCGACGACTCAATGCCTGTGTGAAATCGTCACCGTTCTAGGACACAAACGTGCATAAGAAAGTTGACAGCGCGCGATCCCCGCGGCTGGCGCCGATGAGGTATGTCATCCCTGTAGCTATAGGGAACCCTGTTGGACGCCGGGACGCCAAGACGCTAGTATGGTGCTTGGGTGGGTGGGAAAAGCTCCGACCGAGACTTTTATCGGTAGCCTTGTGTGGTTTCTTATCGTGAATTTTATTTTGTTCTGCAACTTGGAAACTTCACATACATTTATTTCCACTTCACAACTTTGCTTAGTTGCCACTTGCTTAACTATACTAAGCTGAGGAGAAGAAGGGATTGGAGAATAAGAATTTGTTCCGAGCGCATCTTGGATACCCCGACTTCAGCGCGCGCGACCGATCATGGACTCCACCACCTCCAACCCTGGTGGCCACCCAAACCAAACCACCACCTCCCAACAAGACCAACAGCCCTCCATGCCTTCCTCAGACCTCACCTCCATCCCCGGCCTAGGCGCCATCCCCGGCCTCGGCTCCGCACCTCCCCCATCCGCCCCCTCGCAGACCACCTCGATTTCACACCCCGCCCCCTCCACAGCCGCCACCACCGAAGCCAAGCCAGAGCCACGCGATGAAGGACCCTCCGTCACAAACGCCCTAGAAGCAATGCTAGGCGGTCTCTCCCCCGAGTCCTCCACCAGCCCTCTGACAACAGACACCCCCCTCCAATCCGTCCCCGCCGCGGAGGTGCCAGAGGATATAAAGATGGAAGATACCAAGATGGAAGACCCCCACACCTCCCTCCCCCCCGCGCAAATCCCAGAGGGAGGAGTAGTCACAACAGCATCCGACGACGCAGCGATGATGGATTACATCCCCCCCACCAACCCTACCACCGACTCCGCCGCCGCCGAAGACCAAGAAGGCGGCCCCGCAGAATTCGAAGCCGATTCCTCACCCTACGAATCCTCCTCCGACTCTTCAGATTCCTCCGACTCCTCAGACGAAGATAGCGATGACGAAGATGCATATAACCTCCTCTCCCCCGCCGAACAAGCGCGCATCCTGATGCTCGGGGACGGCGGCTCCGACGACGAAGGCGGTGGGAAGGGTGGGAAATCCAGCGGTAATCAACTACGCACCAAGAACGAGGTTCCTGAGGAGGTGATTCCCAAGCCGGACGTGGTGTTAGCGGCTGATACGCCGGTGACGGAGTTGGGGAGCGTGACGTCGATTGTGGATACGATGGTTCTTATTGCCGCTACGACGTCTGGGGAGTTTAGGGTGTTGGAGTCGGGGTCATTATTGTGTCTAGAGGACAGGAGCGTCATCGGTGTAGTCGCCGAAACCCTCGGACGAGTCCAAGAACCCCTCTACGTCGTCCGCTTCACTTCCCCCCCCGACATCACCGCCGCGGGTCTCGAAAAGGGAACAAAAATCTACTACCCCGAAACCCACGCGACATTCGTCTTCACGGCCGCGCTGAAGGCGTATAAGGGCTCTGATGCGTCGAATTTACATGATGAGGAGGTGGGGGATGAGGAGATGGAGTTCTCGGATGATGAGAAGGAGATGGAACATAAACGCCGCGTCAAAGCCAAGAAACTCGAGAAACGCGGTATCCTCCCATCCGCTGGTGGGAGGGGAGGAAGGGGAGGGAGAGGAGAACACCCGTTGAGAAAAGAGGGGTTGAGTTATGACGACGAAGAAGAAGGACCGTATCGTCCCCTTGCTCGCCCGACAGGATTCGCATCCTCAGCTGGTCGTAGTGAAGCACCCGAGGAATCACCACGGGGTTACAACGCCCCCGCCCCTTCACGTGGTGATCGCGGCGGGAGGGGGAGAGGCGGTGATCGTGGACGAGGCGACCGTGGACGTGGAAGAGGTGGACGAGACAGCCAGGGCCGCGATGGACAGCAAGCACCGCGCTACCCACCCGCCCCAGCAGATGCACCCCAAGATCCGCGCAAGATGGGCGGAGGATTCGGGTTTAACCCGCAGCAGTTCCCACCACAACCCTTCCCATTCCAACAATTTGGACAACAGCAGCCACAATCCCCAGGTCAAGGTTTCCCGGGTCAGGGACAGCAGCAGCAGCAGTTCCCATACCCCTACGGCATGCCACCCCAACCCTGGGGCGGTCCTCAGATTCCGGGTGGTGCATTTCTCAACCCCGCTTTCTTCGGCGCGCAACAACAACAGCAGCCACAACAGCAAGGACAGCAACCACAGCAGCAACAACAGTGGACACCACCAACGAACATGACTCCCCCCATCCCCGGGCAGTTCGGGGGATGGACACCACCACCACCACCGCAGATGGGACAGCAACAGCAGCAGACTCCTGAAGCAGCACGAGCAGTAGCGGAGATGCAGGAGAGGTTACGTGTGCTACGGGAGGGTGGGCAGCAGGGACAGCAGTAGGGTATTTGGGTATACAGTGAACAGGAGGAGGAGGGGTGTATGAGTAGAACAGAATTAGAAAGGAGATATAAATATTATCATCCACAGCATGAGCTTTTACACCCCCTTGATCACGTGACATTGTTAAACTCATGCACGTGGTCACATCAACTTTCTTTACCACGTGACTACACGATTTCACAGTTGCACGTGATCATCTCCCTTCCTCGCTTTCGGTATTCGGGGTCTTCGGTCGGTCGGTTCGGGCCCCATCCCATCCCATCATCCTCTCCACCCACCCATCCCATCCCATCCACCCTCCGGTCCAGAAATAAAAACTCACTCCCCCCCCTCTCTCCTCTCGCTTAGAAGTCTACACTGCAAGGTACGACATCCTAAGGAACGCACTTACTACACCCATCCTAGCTTCTTCACACTCACTCGCTGGGATGGAGAGGAAGAGAGAGGAAAGAGCACGGAGAGGGCGTCAGTGGCGCTGAGATGGGGGATGATCGTTATCTTACTATCGGCGCAGCGGGGGATGGGGCGGGTAGGTGAAACGTGCTAGTTGGGGTGGTATTTCCACTGGCAAGTACGTACCTGTCCTTACTGTCTGGGAGAAAGAGATGAGAGGGCAGAGTAGAAGGGGGGGAAAGTGATGGGGGAGGTGATGTACAGTAAGGAAGGTACTTCGCCGGATTATGTGTCGGTATATTACTTTCGAGGTGGGATTGGTGGTGCTTATGCCGTGGAAAGTGGATGGGGAGTGGATGGGGAAGGGTGGGTTGAGGTGGTAGCCGTGGTGGTGATGGATGTGGGATTAAGGTGGTAGCCGGTGATGATGGCGATGACGCTCCCAAAACTGACCTGTCTAACTGTGATACCGTTGAGTTTTTGTAGCGGTGCGCTGCGGTGTGGTGCAGTGAAGTGCAGTAAGAAGTGCAGGAAGTGCGTGCAGTGCAGTGCAGTTCGATCTGTCTGTCTGTCACACACTCGATCAATACATACAGCTGTACAGCAGTCGATCAGCCGTCGTACATACAGTAGTGTTAGTAGTGTTAGTAGTGTTAAGAAGTCGAGTCCAGTCGAGTTGCATTGGTCGTACATTTAGTCTAGATAGATATCTCGTGTCTTCCCTTAACCCTTACCCTACTTACTCTTCGTACTACGCCATCCATCTATCTACTCACCTTCACCTTCACCTGGACTAGATTGGACTGTTGACCGTGAACTGTATGTCTCGCTCACCACGGTCTTGCCACGGTCGCGCGCGCGACGGGTATAGGGCTGTCTGTCTCTCGCGTTGTGGTGGCGGGTAGATGTCTCTCTCTCGTGTCTCTCGTCGGAGGGAGACCTGTGTCGTGCAGTACAGGCGGGTGGTGTTTCTAGGTTATCAATCAGTGGTAGGGGGGTGTAACTAGCTCTGTACTCTCTTCTAGCTGTCCTTTATTTCGTAGAGGTGAGGTGATGTGGAAGTGGTAGAAGTGGTGGAAGTGGAAGGTGGGTGGTTGAGTGGTGTGTGGGATTCTGTTGTGTGATCTTTGGTGTGTGGTACAGTTCAGTTACAGTAGAAGAAAGGTGTGTGAGTTTATGTGTGTACCCTCATCCCTCATCCCACCCCTCTGTCTTCCCTCCCTCTCTCTCCCCTTCCACCTCTCCCACCACCCCTCTCTGTTCCCTAATCCTCCCTCTGCTCCTCCCAATCACCACCCACCCCTCCCGTCCGTCCATCCAGGTACCAATCCTGAAACACAAAACACACCACTCCCCATCCAGCCTAGGCCCCCCACCTAGCATCTCTACCCTGCCCCACCCCTCCCTAGCGTCAGGAACAACCATATGACAGACCTCGCGCCCCGCCCGGCCAAACCCCCTCCTCCCTCCCATTGGCTCCTTTCTGTCCGCCTTGCACCTCTTTGCCCCCTGTCACATCCCACTGAGCTGTCTTGGCGCGTCCCTTTCAACCCCTGTCTATTTTCACTCTTCCCCCTGTTATCATCTCATCCCTCACGTCTTCCCTTGCCATTGGGATTCGGTGGCTGTGAGGTCCCTGCCAATCAAGGCAACCCTGTCGTTGTGTTAGTAGTGTTAGTATTAGTAGTAGTGTTACCAGTAGTGTACCTGTTCTTCCACACCGGCCGAACGAACCAATCGCCGTGGGGTGCGAGGTGGGATTGCACGTTAGACCTGACATGCGCCCACACCTTCTTGCGCCTATTTTTGACCGGCTGGTGAATTCAGGTACGGACGGGGGGTAATTTGCACAATAATCCTCTGGGGAGGGGGGGCAATCCACTCTGCAATTCACTCACCCGCCCGCTCACTCACGCTCTTTCTACCCGTTCATATTACCCTTTCACTACTCTACTCTATCCTACCTACACTCTTTCACTCTCTTTCATCCTCGCCGTCGCGATCGAGTTGTTGTTGTCTGTCGTTCATTCATTCATTCATTCTTTTTCAAAGTCACCGACGCACGCATCTCAACTGTTTTATACACACGGTTCTGTCTTATCCTCTTTGATTTAGAGGAAGGAAGTTACCCTGTTGATTGATCGATTACTTCTCGTCGCCGGATCGTCGCTCATTTTATTGGATTGTTACTGTACTGCGAAAAGAAGGGAAACAATTCACCTCGACTACTACTACGTTCTGTGAACAGACACAAGTGTTCTTCCACCTTACCACGCCCGATCCTTCTTAAAAGAGACATTGTCTACGAGTTGTGTTCTGCGAACATACACGACTATCACAACCCAGGACTACAATCCGTGTCCCAAAAACACACTCTCTCTTTCAAACCCCCCCACAAACCATCACAATGGTCCACCAACACCACCGTCACCTCCACGGCGCCCGCGACTTCAGCGACTTCCTCGACGACCTAGGAAACGCCGTCGGCCTGGGCAACAGCGAAGACAAAGCCGCAAAGCGCGAGGGCAGCACCCGCTACGTCTACGTTACCCAGTCCCCAACCTTCACCGACCCCGTCGCCGGCTACTCGACCTCCATGCCCGGCAGCGGCGACACATCCACCCCCGTCCTCGTCGACTCCTCCACGCCGAAGCCAACCCCCAAATCCACCTCCACCCCCGCCAAGCCGACCACAACCGCGCAGAAGCCGAAGACGACGCCCACACCGACCGCCCTCTCGGGACTCCCCGATTCAATCGTCCCCAGCTCCACAGTCGGTACGTCTAACTCGGAAGTCCTCCTCGCCTCGCAGACAGAAGCAACCTCCGAAACCTCCACCCCAACATTCTCCCCCTCCTCCACCCCCACCGCCATCGCCGACAACGCCGCCTCCAGCGGCATGACCGGCGGCGCCAAAGCCGGGTTGGCAATCGGAATCATTGTCGTGATCGCCGCCATCCTCTCTCTAATCTTCTTCTGTTTCCGCCAGCGCAAGAAGGCCGAGGAGCGCGAACGCATGGACGACGAGAAATTCACCAACGTCCCACCCCCCTCCGCCGCCGCCGCCGCTGGTGGTCCAGCAAGCATGGCCGGCCTCAAGCGTCTTTCCACCGCGCCGAGATTGGATGTCCGTCCTACCACCGCATTCTTCATGCCCAACCGCGCGAGCCAGATGCAGAACCCCAACGCCGCGAACGGGAACGGTATCCAAATGACCTCTCAAAACCGCGGCATGGAGCAGAACCGCGCGAACCCCTTCGGAAACCACGCTGAATCCATCGACCCCGTCAACGCTGCCGGTCCCTCTGTCGTCAACGGCGTGTCCGCTGCTGGCGTCGTCGTCGCCGGCGCAGCGCCTGTTCGCAGCACCTCGAGGGGTGCGCAGAATAAGTACAATGGTAACAAATCCGCGCAATCTCCCTTCAGTGATGCGGCGCGCACGGATGGGAATAGAGCTATGAACACGAGTCAGCAGATGCACAACACCGGTGTCATGCCACAGCCGTTGGCGGGTGTGATTGAGGAGTCTGGGAGTGGGCCGGTTTCGCCGACTTCGGCTGCGGCGGCGGTTGTTGGTGCGGGTGCGGTGACGACGAGTGGTGCGGCGAGTAATACGAATTTGTATCGTGTGCATCTCGATTTCACGCCTTCGATGCCGGATGAGTTGAGGGTTAGGGCGGGAGAGATTGTCAAGTTGTTGAAGGAGTTTGATGATGGATGGGTGAGTCTCATTTTTATTTTTACCGTTTCCCCCCTTTCTCTACCATCCCACCTTTCTTTCCCATTTTCCCCTTTTCCACTTTCCAACCTTCAACCTATCAAACCCGTGATAAGATCCTCATACTAACGAACTACAGTGCATGTGCATCAAAGAAGACGGCTCCTCCGAGGGCGTCCTCCCCCGAACATGCATCTCCAACTCCCCCATCGCCGCCCGCCGCTCCCCCTCCAACAAATCCGTACCCGGCCCCTTCCAGAATGGTCAGCGCCGCCACTCCCCCACCAGCTCCAACGCTCCTCTTTATCCTTCCATCCAAAATCAAGGTCCAAACCAACAGCAAGGCCAGCAGCAAGGACAGCAAGGTCCCAACCAAGGCCAAGGCATGAACCAAAACCGCGCCGGACCACCAATGAACGGCAACGGCCGCGGCCCACAATACCGCCCTCAACAACAGGGACCGAATGGGCAGGGACGACCACAGCAGGGACGTCCTCAGGGACCAAACCAACAGGGTGGACGACCGATGTCTCCCGCTATGTCAGCCAACGGCCGCAATTCCCCGGGGCCAGGTAACTACGGTCCTGGTCCACAATACCGCCCTCAACAAGGCCCTGGGCCAATGTCGCCGCGTGGTCCTCCTCAACAGCAGCAGCAACAGCAAGCCCAGCAGGGTCAGAGACAGGGATCGTCTAGCCCGCCTCCACATGCTATCTCACCCTCCTCCCCCTCGTCGTCCGCGGCGCAGGTGGGTAGTTCGAGTCCGGTAGCTGCGGCGGTGCCACTGCCTAGCAGTCCCGCCTTGTCGCAAGCCAGCAGTGGGTTCTCGATCCCGGAGGTGACTATTACTGCGCCTTCTGGACCGGCGCCGGTGGTGGTGGAGAGGAAACCGGTTGGTGGAGTTGGGAGGAAACCAGTTCCGGGGAATTAGATCCTGTTCTGTTCCGTGGGTGGTAGATGGGCGGTGTTGATGTTTTGAGATGATGGTGGTGGGATGGGAGTTTTGTGGATGGATGAGGTGGTGGGATGGATGGTGTATGGTGTTTACTCTTGTCGGCGTTGCTGACGTTTTCTTCTCTTACCCCCTTTTTTTTTGTTTGTTCCCCCGACACACAAGCTTTTTTCTTTCTTGTTCACTTTTTTTCATGATGTGGATGTATGGCTTTTTTACAGCTTTTCGTCGCGGCTTTTTGTCGCTCCTATTTTTTCCAGAGATGATGTATGTTCGATTCTTGGGGATGAGGGTTGTTTAATGTTTTATGTATCTCGATGAGTAGGGGGGGGGGGGGAGGTACTATTTTACTTATTTCTACGGGGAGAGATGGGATCAGATGGGTAGCGTGAGATAGGGATCTTACGGTCTCTTATCTCCCTACTCTCGTCTGGATCTCGGGAAGAGGCTGGGGACCTTATTTACCTTACTTTTTCGTTCTTGGGGATGGCTTGGCTTTGGGGATGGCTTTTTATTTGCTGTGTTGTGGGGGGGAAAAGGGGGGAGAAGAGAAGAAGAGATGGGGGAGTAGGAGAGAAGTGAAAAGGGGTTTATAGGAGAGAAATAGGGGGAAGTAGGAGAAGAGAAAAGAAAAGAATCTTGTTGATTACACATACACCTCTCTGACTTACACATATCCATCCATCTCTATACGTGCCTGTCATGTCCCATGTCCATCTACCCATCCATCACAATCCCAATCCCAATCCCAATCCCGATCCCAATCCCAATCCCAATCCCCACCTCGCCCTCCTAGCTCATCCATCCCCGAACTCCGAAAATAGGGGTAGCGTAGCGTGCTGAGGAGGTAGACTTGTACAAGGTGAGAAGGGGGGGGGGGGGGTGGGGTATAAAACCCCGGCCAGGACACGACATGACATGAAGATCGTGGCGAAGTAACTGGATGATAAGAGAGGATTATGCCGTCCTCCGTCGTCCGTCTTCCGACTGAACTGGTAAGACGTAAATAGTAGGGTGTGGTTGTGGTGGGGGGGGGGGGGGGGAGGGGGGAGGAGGGGGGGGGGGTTGGGGGGG